GAATCCAACAATATGTTGTGTACAGGAGATGTACTTGAAACAAAAAGACACATGCAGAGTTAAAAGAATGGGCTGGAGCAGAATCTAGTATGCCTCAGCTGAAGTGAAAAAAGGCAGGGGTAGCAATCATGATCCCAGACAAAGCAAAAGCAAAAATAGACCTAATGAAAAGGGGGTGAGCAGGGAATCTACCTCACACTAAAAGGAACCATAGCCAATGAAGTAATATCAATACTTAACATATTTGCACCAAATGGCATAGCATCCAAATTCTTAAAGGAAAAGTTAAGTTACAGGAGAAAACAGATAGTAAAAGTATACTAGTGGACAACTTCAACTTTTCCTTCTCAGAGTTGTATAAATCTAACCATAAAATAAATAGGAAAGAAGTCAAGGAGATAAACAGAATCTTAGAGAATCTGGAGAAAATTGAATGGGAAGAGAAACGAGTGTACCTTTTTCTTAGCTGTATGTTGTACCTTCACAAAAACTAATCATGTATTAAGGCATAACCTTACAACCAAATGCAGAAAAGCAGAAATGTTCAATGCATCCTTTTCAGACTGTAGTGCAATAAAAATTACTTTTAATAAAGGGCAGTGGAAGCGTAGATTAAAAGCTAATTGAAAACTAAATAATCTAATCCTAAAGAATGAGTAAGTCAAAGAACAAATCATAGAAATAATCAGTAATTTCATTAAAGAGAATGACAACAGTGAGACCACTTTCCAGAATTTGTGGATGGCAGCTAAGGCAGTAGTTAGGGGGAAATTTTTATCTCTAAGTGCACACAACACTAAAAGAAAAAGAGCAAATCAATGAATTGGGCATGCAGAAAACTAGAAGAAGAACAAGTTAAAAATTCCCAATTAAACACCAAAATGAAAATGAAAGGAGAGATTAATAAAATTGAAAGTGAAAAAACCATTAAACTAATAAATAAAACTAGGAACTGGTTTATAAAAAAAAACATTGGTTTATTCTTTTTTTTAAAAAAAGGGAAGAAGAAAATTAAATTACTAATTTCAGAAATGAAAAATGGTAAACACACCATCAATGAAAATGAAATTAACACAATAGGATTTATTTTGTCCAATTATATACCAGTATGACAATCTAGGTGAAGTGGATGAATATTTACAAAGTTAAAAACTGCTAGCAGACTAGCAAAAGAGGAAATGGAACACTTAAATAACCCAGTCTTAGAAAAAGAAATTGAACTTGCCATTGATGAGATCCCTAAGGAAAAAAAATCTCCAGGCCCAGATGGTACTGTATAGACTATTTGAAAAAATAGGTATAAAAGGAGTCCTACCCAATTCATTTTCTGACACAAGTATGATTTTGGTACCTAAACCAGGGAAAACATAAACAGAAAGAAAACTGTAGACCAGTTTCTTTAATATATGTAAAAAATTTTAATGAGATTCTAACAAGGAGATTCCAGTAATACATCACAAAGATCCTACACTGTGACCAGATGGGACTTATGCCAGGAAGGCAGGGCTGGTTCAATATTAAGACTATATCATCATAATTGACCATATCAGTAACAGGATCAACAGAAATCATATGATAGATGCAGAAAAAGCTTTTGACAAGATACCATACCCATTCCTATGAAAAACAAGAGAAAGCATAGGAATAAGTGGAGTTTTCCTTAATGTGACAAAAAGTATGTGTCTGGAATGAAGAGCACACATTATCTGTGATGGAGATAAATTAGAAGAAGCCTTCCAGATAAGATCAGAAGTGAAGCAAGGATGTCCATTATCACCACTGTTATTCAGTATTATACTAGAAATGCTAGCTATAGCAAAAAGGCAAGAAAAAGAAATTGAAGGTATGAGAATTGGCAACAAGGAAGCAAAACTCTTACTCTTTGCAGATGATATGATGGTAGACTTAGAGAACCCTAGAGAATCAACTGAAAAACTAATTGAAACAGCTGACAACTTCAGCAAAGTTGCAGGGTATAAAATAAACTCACATAAATCATTAATGTTTCCATATGCTACCAACAAAACTCAGGAAGAGATGGAGAAATTCCATTCAAAATAACTACAGACAGTATGAAACACTTGAGAGTCTGCCTGCCCAGACAAACCCAGGGATTATATAAATTACAATTACAAATCACTTTTCACACAAATAAAAACAGATCTAAACAATTGGAGAAATATTGTTTACTGATAGGTAGGCCAAGTCAACATAATAAAAATGACAATTCTGCCTAAGTCAATTTACTTATTCAGTGGTATACCAACCAAACTACCAAAGAATTATTTTATGAAATTATTTTTTAAAATTATTTGTTTTAGAATTTAGAATTATTTTAGAAAAAAATATAACAAAATTTATCTGGAAGAGCAAAGGTTCAAGAATATTAGGGGGATCAATGGAGAAAAAAATGTTGTAGTAGGCAGACTAGCAGTTCCAGATTTCAGATTATATTACAAAGTAGTAGTCATCAAAACGATCCGGTACTGGCCAAGAAATAGAGCGGTGGATCAGTGGGATACATTGGGTACACAGTCTGTTTACACATTTATAATAGTAAATGACCATTATACCTTCATGTCTGAGAAACCCCAAAATCCATGCTTTTGGGATAACTCAACATTTGACAAAAATTGCTGGAAAAAGTGGAAAGCAGTTTGACAGAAACTAGACCTGGATCATTACTTTATGCCAAATCCCCTTCGTAAAACGTTTTGTTCTGTAAAACTTGGACTCAGTCAAAAGGCCTCACCTAAGGACCTAGAAGGCCACCCCTGGTATACTATAAACAAATTAGGAGAGCATGGAAAACTGTACCTCTCAGATCTCTGGATAAGGGAAGAGTTTATGACCAAATGAGATGGAGGAGATTATGGGAAGTAAAATAGATAATTTTGATTAGATGAAATTAAAAAGCTTTTGCATAAACGAGATTAATGCAACCAAAATTATAAGAAATACATGAAGTGGGGGGAAAAGTTTTGCAGCAAGTTTCTTTAAAAGAGGCCTCATTTCTCAACTACATAGGAAACTCAGCCAAATTTATAAAAATAAGAGCCATTCTGTAGTTGATAAATGGTCAAAGGATATGAACAGGCAGTTTTCAGAAGAAAAATATCAGTTATCAATGGTCACATAAAAAAATGCTCTAAATCACCACTGACTAGAGAAATGCAAATTAAAACAATTCTGAGGTACCACCTCAGACCTGTGAGATTAGCTAGCATGACAGAAAAGGAAAATGACAAGTACTGGAGGGTGTGTGGGAAATTTTGGATACTAATGCACTGCTGGTGGAGTTGTGAACTGATTCAACCATTCTGAAGAACAGTTTGGAACTATACCCAAAGGGCTATAAAATTGAGCATACCCTTTGACTGAGCAATACTACTACTAGATCTGTATCCCAAAGCAGTCAAAGAACAGAGAAAAAGACCTATTTGTACAAAAATATTTATAGCAGCTCTTTTTGTGGTAGCAAAGAACTGGAAATTGATAGGATGCCCATCAGTTAGGGAGTGGCTGAACAAGCTGTGGTATATGGTTGTGTTAGAATACTGTTGTGCTATAAGAAATGATGAGCATGATGGTTTCAGAAAAACCTGGGAAGACTTACATGAACTGATGCAGAGTGAAGTGAGCAGAACCAGGAGAATGTTGTACACAGCAGCAGTAACATTGTAGCAATGACTGTGAGAGACTTAGCTACTATGATTGAAAATGATCCAAGACAGTTCCAGAGGTCCCGTGATAAAACTTTTTTTCTATCTCCAGAGTGAGAATTGATGGACTCTGAGTACAGATTGAAGTGTACTTTTAAAAAACTTGCTTTCTTTTGTTTGTGTTTTGTTTCGTAATGTGGCTAGTGTGGAAATGTTTTGCATGACCTTACACATATAATAAAAATCAGACTGCTTAAGGGAAGGTTGGGAGGGAGGGAGAGGATTTGGAACTCAAAATCTTAAAAAAAAATTGTTAAAACTTTTTATATGTAATTGGGAAATATTTATTTATTTGTTTGTTTATTTATTTCATTTTTTTCATATGCTTTTGAATTGAAAATTTTTCTCCCTTTTCCTCCCCCCTACCCTCCCCAAGAGAGCGCACAATCTGACATAGGCTTTACATTTACATACCCATTAAACATATTTTCACATTAGTGAAGTTGTAAGTAAAAATTAAAACCAATAGGAGGAACCATCAGAAAGATGAAACAAAGCTCAACAGAAGGTAAAAAATAAGTGATAGCGATTCGACTTCCATAGTTCTTTCTTTGGATGTGGACAGCCTTTTCCATCCTGAGGCCTCTGGAGATGTCTTAGATCCTCTTAATGCTGAGAAGGGTTCAGTTTAACATTCTTAGTCATCGCATAATGTGGCTATTATTGTGTATAAAGTCCTCTTGGTTCTGCTCACTTCACTCAGCATCAGACCATATAAGTCTTCCGAGGTTTTTCTGAAGTCAGCCTGTTCATCATTTCTTATAGCACAATAGTATTCCATTACATTCATATACCACAACTTGCTCAGTCATTCCCCAATTGATGGGCATCCTTAATTGGGAAATATTTAAAGAAATAAATAAAAATGATTTTTTATAAAAAGAGTGTTTTTTGTAATTGCAACTGTGTGTATTTCTTGGTCTGAAGACTCCCAAGAGTTTTCTACAGCCTGTAGTTATTTTAAGTGGAATTTCCTCTTCCAGCTCTTCCTGCTGGGTTTTGTGGATGGTACACGCTATCGTTTCTTTTTTTCTATGCTTAGTCCTTCACCTTCTTTTTCTCAACTCGTTCCCACAGTTAGCGTCTTTCACACTCTGTAATATAGTGGTGGTAACAGTGGGCCTCTGCTGTACCGAATCTTGATCTTCACAGAAAGGCCAGTAATTTATCCCTATAACATATCATGCTGGCTCTTTGTTTTGGAGAGATGCACAGTTTGAGAGAGCTTCTTACCTGATATAATACTGATCGCCACTGTACTGCTTCTTCTTTGGGTAGGTGTGAGAAAGGCGTGATGTCCCTAGTAAATGTGAGGAATTGTATCCGTTTCTACCAAACTGCCGAAGAATTGAATGCCACCGCTTTGATGAACTATTGTGCAGAAATCATCGCCAGCCACTGGGTAAGTTCTGCTCCCCATCTCTCCTTGGTGTGTATGCTTTGGGAGACCCGGGGCGGGGGCAATGAAAAGGCAGCTCTTCCTGTCTAGGAGCGAAGGAATGAGAAGCATTTAAGTGTGCCCTTTGGGTCAAGCTCTAGGGATACAGACACCAAAGGGGACGGTCCCTGGCTTGCCTGGGGGATTTCCTGTTGTGGTAGGAAACGTTCTGGGTGAAGGGGCACCGCTGCTAAAATAAGCCTACCATGAGGCAGAGTTTATGTGGTGCGTAAGCCCAGCTCCAGGGGGAAAAGGAATCGCCCTGAACCACGATGAGCATTCTCACAAGGCTTTCTGTGGACAAAACTAAGTCACAGAGACAGAGAAGTAAATTCTTTTGCGTCTTGCAATCTCATGTATTCTTGTAGGTGGTAAAAGTGAAGAGAGAGATTCATCATCCCCCACCTCCTTGAGTGTTGTCCAAGTTGAGCAAACTTGGTTAGGCAGAATCACAATCTTATACAATATCTCCCAGGGAAATAAACCTGTTGGGGAGCTCCCCCCTGCAACCCCACACCCCACCTCCCTCACTCTTTTTATTTATTTATTTTTTTTTGTCTAGGCAGTGGGGTTAAGTGACTGTCCCTAATAAGCGTCCAGTGTCTGAGGCCGAATTTGGACTCAGGTCCTCGTGACTCCAGGGCCCGTGCCCTATCCACTGTGCTTCCCTCACTTTGCAGCTTCCTTTTGGGTTGTCTCCCCATTAGATTGTAAGCTCCTGGGGAGGCGGGGACTGTGTCTGTGTTTGTATCCCTGTGTTTTGCACAATGGCTTAATGAATGTTTATTGACTGACTGAGGTGTGGAGAGAAGGCCTTCTGGGCTTTGGGGCAGCTTGTGAAAAGCCAGAGGTGAAGCGCTAGCCTTCCGGTGTGGAAAGGAAAGTTTTTATATGTGTATATCCATACATGTATACACACATACACATTTATGATAGGTACACAACTACATAGACATATTTACCCATATATACAACTTTTATATTTATAGTTATAAAATATGTACAAATATTTTATACATATTTATGTGCATATAAAACTGTATATAATAACACATACACATACATAAAATAAGATGGAGAAAGTTTTTTGGGGGCAGACTTTGAAGGGCATTTGATGCCCAGCAGGGTATGGGTAAGAATGGACTCTGGGAGTCTGTTGACTAGGGCAGCAGCACTGTCAGACCAGCAGCACTTTGGGAAAGTTCCTTTGGCCGCCTAGTCAAGGGAGAAGGGGGTGAAGAGGCTTGGTATAGATAAGTCCGCTCAGACAGTGGCCCCAGTGGGAGTGGAGAGGAGACAGATGGTAGAGCTGGGGGAGAGCTGGAAAGGGTGATCTTTGACGACAGCTTGGCTGTGGGAGGTGACAACAAGGTTGGGGACCTGGGGGACCTCAGAAATGGTGATGTAGTTTGGGGGAAAGAGAATGAGTTTTGTCTGAGGTGCCCATCAGCCGTGCTGTTTGGAATGCATGCTAGGCACTTGGTGATGCCAGGGCTCCATGGGTCGGTCTGGGAATTGTCTGGTAATTGAGTGAGTTGGGACTGGTGAGGTCACCGAGGGAGAGGCAGGGCAGAGGGCCCAGGCCTTTGCTTGGATCTGCCTCTTCCCTTAAATAACTTAGAAACAACCTACAGAAGCCAACGTTTGTGTCGTCTTTAGCTTTGCTTCCCAAGCTCAGCTCATGTGGAGCCTTAGCGCTCCTTTCTCGTCCTTGGTTTTCTAGTTTGTAAAATTGGGAGTAGGGACAGTAGCTGCCTCGTAGCACTGTTGTGGTGGCCGTGTGAGGGAATGCTTGTTCAGTGTTCTCTGTGATGGGTGGCTCCCAGCAGGGACGTGACAGGTCCATGTCCTGCTTTGTGGTCTTTCTGCATTATCTGTCCTGGCCTCCGTGTTTTAAAATCCCCTCTGGCGGGTGAGCTCTCTGTGCGGCTACATCTGAGTCATCAGAAAACCACCCCTTTCCATCCTCGATGGAATTGTTTCTGCCTGTGCCTTTAGACTTTATTTCCTGAGAGCCTTCCACCTTCTTGGCTAAGGGAGAGTTGGGGGTGGGGAGGGAAGCAGAAGACAGCCCAGAGGGCTGGTTTAAAGGTGTGCTGCGGACCATGATGGCGCTCGGCATACAGAGACAAAAATGAGGTACTTCCTGCTCTCCAGTAGCTTGCATTCTACTGGGAAAGTCAGCCCAGTGAGGAGGGAGGTGGCCAAGGAAGGGAATTCCGTTTGGGCACTCACAGAGATGGCGAGTTGGTATACAGGGCAGTCCAGTGACAAGACCTTTCTAGGAGCAGTGGCCCAGGGCAAGAGGTGGAAAGGAGGTGGGTGAGGGCAGCTGGCAGGGGCATGATGATGGCTTGGCTGGATGGCATGGGAAGGGGACCGACCATCCGGGTGGGCTGAGTGCTGTAGTTTTCATTGAAGTCGGCCACCATGCAAGACAGCTGCGCCCTGTCCTGGGAATCTGAGGGGCATGGATTCTGGGGCACCAGTGTGTGGTGGGCTTGCTGCTCCAGGGGGCAGACGGGGAGCTGCCGCTGTTAGCAGGTGTTGTGTCCAGCTGGACAGTGTGCGAAGGGGTGAACCCCTTGGAATTTACATCAGACCTGGGCGGCCTTCGCTGGCCTGGCCTCTATCACAGATTGTAGGAGAAAAGGGCCACTTCTCCCCACGGTTCCCATCACCTCCACCCCAACAGCCAGCACTTCCTTGGTGGTGAGAATGGTGTCTAGGATGAAAGATGCTGCCACCCCAACCCCAAGTAGGTTCCTTTTCCTTTTGATGGGTGGAATTCTCCTTAAAGCAAGTCCAGAAGCCATTCACCTGTCTGCTTCTGAAGAGAGAGGGAGAGTGTGCCACGCCACGGGGCTGGTGGTCAGCATCCTCCTGGAGCGTCTCCAAGTGGGGCTGGGGAGGGTGGGGCTAGCCACTGGGTCTCTTCAGCTGGTGCATTGGTTCCCTGCACAGGATGACCTGAGCAAGGACGACTTCAGTAGCATGAGCGCCCAGCTGCTGTACCAGATGATCCGGTCCAAAACGCAGCACCCCCTGCACAAAGCCATCCAGCTGGAGCGCGAGGACGTGGTTTTCCTGTACCTCATTGAGATGGATGCCCAGGTACTGAGCGCCCGGCCTGAGGCGAGGAGGGAAGGAGGGGCAGAGGGGCCCTCAGGGAAAGACATCTGCACCTGTATGCACACGCACTTTAGGTTGTAAAAGCTCTATCTGTCTGACTGAATTAGAGGTGAGAACAGTACAGTCTCTTTGACCCCAAGCCCCTGGAATTGGCGTGTACCATGTCCCGGATGAATGCTCACCACTCGACTGTTTGTAATAGCTGCCCCTGAAGCTGAATGAGCTGGATCCCAATGGAGATCTCGCTTTAGATCTCGCCCTCTCTCGAAGACTGGAGAGCATCGCCGCCACGCTGGTGAGCCACAGAGCCGACGTGGACATGGCAGACAAGAGTGGCTGGAGCCTGCTGCACAAAGCAATCCAAAGAGGTGAGGTGGGCAGGCAGGTGGGTGGCACCATCCCTGGGAGGGCTGCCCCGGTGGGCCAAGACCAGGGCATCCTGGATGCTTCTGGAGTGTGGAAGCCCCTTGTGTCCTTCTCCGGTCATTACCTGCCTCTGTCCTGGGCTCCTCAGCTCTGATGTTGGGGGGGATTGACCTAACCCCATCCTAAGCAATTTGGCCATGACCTCTAAAAGTGAGCTGCAGAATCCTGTCATGTAGAACAGCATCCCCTGGTAAGATCTATGGACTTAGCTGGAAGACAAAAATCAGTGTTCTCAAAACAGCCCAAGCGGCTTCAGTGCACTCGTTAGCCTTCTCATCTGCCAGTGGAGAGAGAGGCCAAACGGGCAGAGGACAAGGCTCTGGCTCCTTATCTGAAAATGGAGTTTCTGGGTTGCTGTGACGGTCCAGTGAGATCATGCGTGTCGAGTGCGAGATCGGACAGAGGCGTAATGCTGTAATGTGGAGTAGGTTCCGATGAAAACATAGCCTCGTCATCTGGGTGCCTCAGTGGCTGGAGCGCTGGGACCAGCATCAGGAAGAGCTGCGTTCAGACCTGGCCTCAGACCCCTAGCTGAGTGACGCTGAGCAAGTCATCTGACTCTCTGCCTTGCTCTACTGCCCCCTCTTCCCCTTTCCCTCCTATGTCCAGCTCTGTGTGTGCGCAGTTGTGTGCGTGTGTGTGTGTGTGCGCGTGTCTGCGTGTGTGTGTGTGTGTGTGTGTGTGTGTGTGTGTTCCTTCTTTTCATCAGGGACGCTAGCAAGTCCTCTGAAACAGAGGTCCACGTTTCCCTTGTAGCATGGTGCTCGGCACTTCTGTGTGTGCTCTTATGGGCCCTCACACAGCATCCTTTGCCTTTGGGAGGCCAAGCCATGTTCCCAGCCCTCTCCTCCGGACCGTGGTAGCTGCTGCGTTGTGTGGGATCCTGCCTTGGGCTCCCGGGCTCAAATCGTTGCTCTCCGGCTGCCGACCGGGGAGCTCTGGGCTTTGGCTCAGAGGTTCTTCACTGGGGGGTTCTTTCAGGAAGTGACCCGTGGGTTCTTTCTATCTCCACTTTGCCCTTTGGTTCTGAGAGATCTGGGCAGCTATCACTTCTTGAAATAGGATGTTCTAAGCTCTTGTTTTGGTCATGGCTTCAGGTGGTCCAGTGATTATGATTCTTAAATTCTTCTTCCTCTCCTTCTTCTTCTGTTTCTGCCATGAGATGCCTTAAATTTCCTTCTATTTTTTTCAGTCTTTTGACTTTGTTTGAATATTTCTTGCTGTCTTCCAGTCACTGCCTTCTTTCTGGTCCGTTCAGAATTTCAGGGAGTTTGTTGCTTGAATGAGGTCTTGGGCCTGTTGTGCCAAGACGTTCCCTCCCTCTCCCCTTCTTTCTTCCCTAGTTCTCACTGCTTTTCACTTTTTTCCTCTAGTGCTTTCACTTCACTTATAAAAACATTCAACTCTCTTTAAAAGAAATTCCCATTTCATCTCTTGCAGGGGTTCTGGTGGAGTTTTGCGCCCAAGCTGGGTTTCCTCGCAGGCTTTGGAACCAATCTCTTCCTCTGTGTTTGTGTCTTCCCAGTCACCACAGCAGCTCTCTAGGTCGGGACTTTTTGTTTGTCTGCCGATTCTTCTGGCCCGCAGCCTGAGTTTGGACTCGATCCTAGGACTGGGCCCTGTGAGCCTTCTGGGGCAAAGGTCTGGGCTGGTCTTGCTGCTGCTTTCCTCGTGTATTGAATATTAGGTCATTTAAGGATCTCAGGGACACGTGGGCAGCTGTAAGCCATCAGTGCTCCCGGAGGGGTCTGATCCAGGGCAAGTCTGACTGCTGTCCCCCCCCCCCGGTCTGAGTTTGGGTCTGAGCTGCTAGAACTTGTGCCTTTCAGCCAACAGGGAAGGTCTGTTGGTTCAGAGCAGCAGAATTCTGGGTTCCCCTCTGATGTGGGATTCCTCTGCAGACTGGGCTATATCACAGGAATGAGGCCCTGCTCCGTGCCTAAGATCTGAGGTACACTGCTGCTGCTGGCTTCTGAACCTCCTCCCTTCTTGGCCTGTCACCCAAGGCTTGCTTTCTTTTTTTCTTTTGTTTAAAATTTTTAAGCAATTGGGGTTAAGTGACTTGCCTAGGGCCACACAGCTAGTAAGTGTCAAGTACGTGAGGCCAAATTTGGACTCAGGTCCTCCTGACTAGGGCCGGTGCTCTATCCACTGTGCCACCTAGCTGCCCCGACACCCAAGGCTGTCCTACCTGGCAACACCACCTCCACTGCAGGACCCCGGATTTGTGAGCCACACCTGGGTGATGGGGGACAAAGCCGTCCCCGTCGCTGCATCCCAGTGACTAGGCCAGGGCGCCCAGCCTCTCATGGGCACCGGTGTGCTCCCATGTGGCATGCGCCTGGCCCGAGTGTTTATCTGCAGTGTTCACAGGCTGCCCGTCTGTCTCCCGTGTCGCTCTGGGCCGCGCCTTTATCTGGGTTTCCCCGTCGTGCGTTTTTTAGATCTGTTTGGGGGGGTTTGGTGACGGGGAGTGTGCTCGCGCTGGTTCCTGCTGTGCCAGCACAACTTGCCTCTCCTCTAAAACAGCTTGGTGACTGTGAGGTGAGGCCGCAGTCCGTAGCCAGGCCAGATGTCTCCCTTCCCCTTCCGGAGCGCCGTCCTTGTGACAGAGATTAAGAGAAGCCAAGAGAGCCCGCACGGCCCCTCCTGCGCATCCTACGCGGCATTGCGCACGTCACCCCGCCTCTGTGGAGGCGCAGGGGGAGCATCATCTGTCGTGTCTCTGCTTTGGAGGTTTTCTTCCGTTGCCGCCGTGGCCCTGATGTGCAGGCCTGCGCCCAGCATCCCTCTTCTGGGGCCACTGTCGCGTTCTCATTCCAAACTAGGCGGCTGTTCTGTCCTCCCACAACCTCCCTGTGACCATTGAGGGTGGCGCCGTGCTCCCGGCTCGCACCCTGGGAGTACTCCAGGACTCCCCCCTCAGGTCCCATCTGCCGTCAAGGCCTGTTGGCTCTACCTTCGAGCTTTCTGTCCTCTGACCCTGCCCCCACCCTGGTGTAGACCCTCATCTCCTCAGGCCGGGACCACCGTGGTAGCTGCTGGCTGCTGGGGGTCAGCCTGCCTCAGTCTCTCCTCTCTCTGTCAGAGGGATTTTCCTAAAGTGCAGGTCTGCCCACTGCTCGGCAGACTCCAGGGGCTTCCTCTCCCTCGTAGGACTGGTGCCAAGCGCTCAGGTTGGCTTTGGCGCCCCTCCTCCCTCTCCAGTTTTCCAACGCTGACCCGATGGCCCGGCCTCACTGCAGAGCCCGGGCGCGTGCCCAGCTGTGGTTCTCCCTGCCTCCTTGTCTGCCCTCCCCATCTCCCTCTGTACCAGCGCCTTCCCCTCTTGGTTCTCCCCAGGTGGCCTGCATTCCGTTCTCCGCACGTAGCACGGTGCCTGGCGTGTAGTGGCTGCTTAGCGCACACTCTCTGACTTCCAGCCGCGTGTGGCGCCCCACATTGGGGTCCTGCTCATGTGTGCCCGGGGCATTCTGTTGGTGCAGGGCCATCCTCAGAGGGATGGCCACAGAGCCCTAGAGCAGGAAGGGCTCCTAGTCTTTGGAAAACTCAGAGATAATCCAGTCCCAGCTCTCTATTTTACAGAGAAGGAAACTGAGGCCCAAAGAGAGGGAATTCTCAGGGCCAGGATTCCCAATCACTCCCACACTGCCTTGCTTCCTGCCTCTCTGCTAGGGGTTGGGCATCCGAGGCACTTGTGAAAGTTCTCAGATCCAAGGCTTAAGCTCTGATTTAAGGCCTCAGGAGACTTTAGGGTTACTGCAACAGAGCACTGGACTGTGGGCCCTCCCAGGGACTCCTGGCCAGGGCTCGGCCCCTCCCTCCGGCCTAATGCTTAGGACTGAGCTGGGAACTGCCAAGTGACCGAGGGAAGGAGCCACAGGGGCTGCCTGATGTCAGGATCGACCCCAAGAGCCCCACGCAGCAGCTTAGGGAATCAAGCAGCAAGCATTTATTAACTTCCTGCTGTGTGCCTGGGGAAGGCAGGGCGGCTATGTGTAAACATTCACATGAGGTCTTTCACATTGGAGAAACTTGAGAAGCGTCCGATGCTCCTTATCAGGTATCTCTGAGCGGCCCCTAGGCCAGATGCTGGTGGGGGGTGGGAGTCAGAGTATAGAACGCATCCTGCCCCCGTCTCCCTCTCCTGGAGCAGAGAGGGATGACCGCAAGGGGCTGCCAGATCTGCTGCCTGCATTGCCCCTCACCTCACCTCTGAACCAGGATGCCCACCCCTCTGGATCAGTATGCTGACATGTCTCCTCTGCCTGGAGCTGTCTACCAGTAGAGTCCTGGGGGCCTCCTGGCCAGAAGTGCCCCCTCAGCGCTTTCTCTGTGCATGTGTGTGTGTGTGTGTGTGTGTGTGTGTATGCATGCGCGTAAGTGTATGAATGTGAGTATACCTGTGTGACTGCATGTATGAGTGTGCATTGTGAGTGTACGTGTGTATGAATGTGTGTGAATGTGAGTGCAAGCGTGCTGGTGAGTGCATATGTGCACGTGTGAATGCAAGTGTGCATTTGTGTGAATGTATGAGTATGCATGTGTGTGCACATGAGTGCATGCATGTAGGGGGAATATGTATATGTGTGAATGAGTGCTAGTATGCATGTGAATGTGTATGTGAGTGTGTATGCATGTGTGAATGTGTGTATGTGAATGAGTCGGTGTAAGTGTGCACGCATTTGTGAATTTGAGTGTGCATGTGTACAAGTGAGTATGCAGACGTGTAAGAGTGAATGCATGTGCATTGTGAATGTGATTGTGTGTGAGTGAGTTCGTGGGCATGTGTGAGAGATGTGTCATGGTGACCTCTTTGGCAGGAGACAGCTTTGCGGCCACCTTCCTCATTAAGAACGGCGCCCTGGTGAACGCAGCCACTGTGGGGGCCCAGGAAACGCCGCTGCACCTGGTGGCCTCGTCCAGCTGCAGGAAGGGCCTGGCCGACGTCACATCGGAGATGGCGCACATCACCGAGTCCCTGCTACAGGCCGGGGCGAACCCCAATATGCAGGATGGCAAAGGCAGGTGAGTGCCATGTCCTCGGAGGGCCCCCGGCCTGCATGATTCAGGCAGGGTTCTGCTCATTCAGTCCGTGGAAGCCAGGCTGCCTCTTCAGCTGGGCCCTTTGGCATCGTTCTCCCCGCCAGCCCCTTCTCCGTGACGGCATCATCTCTTTGGGGTTGCCACATGGGGAGTTTAACCATGCAGGAGGGTTGATCCACCCGCCTCGCCCACGGCCTACAAAATGCCCTGGGTCTCCCCCAGGGCATCCAGGCAGTCAGAGAGTCTGGCCTGGGCCCCAAACACGAACGGGCCAGCTACATGTCATCGTCATTGTATTGGGGGGCAGTGCACCCCGGCTTTTGCAGGTAGCAGCTCCCCACTTGAGTTGTTTTTAAGGGGCTCTGGCCCAGCCTCATGAACATGCTTGTTTTGTCTGGCCAGGGGGGTGAGTGGTGCGGGGATGGCCGCAGGTACCAGAGGCCTCCCAACATGCCATTGGCTTTTACTCTGAGAGAGGAGAGCCTCATCTTGTTGGCCTGGTGGGAAAGTTGTCTGGGGCCCTCTTGTTGCTGAGCCCCTTTCCTGGGCGGGTCTGGCTGGAACTCTGGCCTGGGAAAGGAATGAAGATGTCAGTGTGTCGGTTCTGTTGTTTGCCGGAGAGTGGGACACCTGCAAGAGCCAGTGTGGGGTCTCCTCTGACCCTTACCCCCAGTGGTCCCGGGCAGCTTGTCAGCTGTAGCCCCTGCGAGGTCCAAAAGGAGTCAGGAGGAGAGGGCAGCCCCCACTCGGTGTCCCCCCTTCACATCACTGAGGAGGAAGCTGAGGCCCGGAGGGGGCAGACGCCGCAGGTCACAGAGCCGAGGCTGGGGATGATTGCTGTCCTCGCCTCCCTCACAACCCTCCGCGAGTCAGGGGGCCTGGTGCTGGTAGTGGCCTCTTTTAGAGGGGAGGTTGGGGGGCTCCCACCTCTCTGGCTCTCCATCCCCAGAGAGCATCACACAGTGACCGTATCCCGCTCTCTCTCCCGGCAGGACTCCATTGCATTTGTCCATCATTGCCAGGAATGACGTTGTATTCAGTCAGCTACTGCAGTGTAAACAGTACGTACGAGGGTCAGAGTGGGGGGCCTTCCCTTAAAGTGGGCTCTGAACGTCCACGGCCACATCCCTTGAGCTTGGCCAGTGCCAGTCCCACTAGCCCCAAGGTGGGCTCTTCTCCTGAGCCCCGCAGATGCACCATGTATGTCAAAGACAGAGACTTGGAGGGCATCCCCAATCCAGAAATCGCTTCTGGAACTTTAGCCGCATCTGGAACAAGCGTCCAACTGCCAGATTCCAGGCAGGGTCCCCACGGAAAGCCAGGGTCTGAGGGTGCCCGTCCTCGGTTTCTTGTAGGTTAGATTTGGAGCTGAAGGACCATGAGGGCAGCACAGCCCTGTGGCTGGCTGCCCAGTACATCACGGTATCTTCAGACCCAGCGGTGAACCCCTTTGATGACGCGCCTGTTGTCAACGGGACCTCCTTTGATGAAAACAGCTACGCGGCCAGGCTGATTCAGCGAGGCAGCAACACGGACGCACCCGACACAGTGACGGGTAGGCAGTCAGCCCGCGGACCCACCCATGGACCTCAGCGGCAGTCTGGTTATGCGGCGGGTGGGCCCCCTCTGGCCAATGCCGCGATTCTCCATCTTGGTCATGGGGCTGCCATGGACTGTTCCTTTGATAGGCCTTCTCAGGGCCTGCTGGCAATGCTGTCTCAGGGTTGGCTGGGTCTCCCCAGGCTCCCTGAGCCGCTGAGGCCTTGCCCCGTGCCCACCTGTTGGCCCAGCTTCCTTTCGTTCCCTTGTGCTCCTGTGATGCAGATCACACTGGGCTCCTCATCCCCTGCTCCTGACCGCGACCACCTTGAGTGCCCCATGTCCTGCCCAGCCGCTGTTCTCACTTCCCATCCTTTGTCTTGGCAGCCCGCCAGCGTCCCGGCCCCCAGACCCAGCCCAAGAGGCCCATGTGGCACTGGCCATCCCTCAAAGCCACGATTCCTGGCAGCCCCTCCCTGCCCCCCCCCGCCAACCCCACAGGGTGTTGTGTGGAAATCCACCCACATACTGTCCTTGTCTCCTTGTAGGAAGCTGCTTACTCCAGAGGGCAGCTGGGTCAGGCAACGAGGCTGCAGCCCTCTTCTTGGCAGCCAACGGAGCCAAGGTCAATCACAGGAACCGGTGGGTAAGTGACAGTGGCCAGGAGTCCTCCAGGCTCCATGCCCTTTGGGTCTGCAGAATCGCCTGGCCATCGGGATCAACGCAGGGGTGCGTGGTTACCACCAACGAGGAGAGTGGCCTGGCTACCCCAGAGGGAGAGGGGAGAAATCCAGGAAGGCTTCCTGAAGGAGTTGGCATTTTTTGGTGAGGAAAGGAAGGGAACAAGCATTGTTTAGGTGCCTGCTGTGTGCCAGGCACTGGGCTGAGCTCTTGGCAGGTAGAATCTCCCAGGATCCTTACAGCCACCTGGGAGGGAAGGCTGCTTTATCCCTGCTTTACATCCTGACAACCTGAGGCAGACGGGGGAGTGACTTAGCCAGGGTCACACTGTTAGGAAGTGTCTGAGGCTGGATTTGTACTCAGGTCCTCCTGACTCCAGGCCCAGCACACAGGGCGTGGTGGCGCCCCCTCATTGCCTGGCACCCTGAGTGTACTTGAAAGGTGGATAGGATTTGGATGGATAAACTCTGGGAGGAGGGGGGACTTTCAAGTGCAGTAAATGGACTGAGCAAAGGCATGCAGGTGGGAACTTTCAAGGCCTGTTTGGGGACATCAAGTGGTCTCCTATGCTTAAGGCCAGATAGGTGAGATGGGAGCAGGCTGGAAAGGACTTTGGCCTCTATTGGGCTGAGCTTTGAGCAGACCGATGCTTTAAATCTAGGCCGGGGGGTGACTGTCTGAACTACCTTGGTGAGGGTCCTTGTGCTGGAGGCCTTGGGCAAGAGCTGGCTGACGGGAGGTGGCCTGGCCGAGTCCTTTGTGCCCCTCCGAGGCTTTGTGGCCTCACTCACAGCTGGCAGAGCAGCTGCTTTTGGGAAGACTGTCCCAGTGTGTCAGGCCTCTCCCTCGATGACGGCGCCATTCAGTCCAGGCTCCTGCGTGTGAGGCACTGGACAGACCAGGAGGAAGAAGGAACTTGCCCCATGCTGGGGCTGTGAGGGATGGTTCAGAGCCAGGCGAGGGAAGGGTGCCGGTAGGAGGCAGAGTAGTAGGGAGGTGGGGGTACTGGACAAGAGCCCGGAGTGGCTGCTCATCTCCTCGGACCAGCCCTGGGAGTGTGGGATGGCATCAGGAGATGCCAGCCTGTGCAGCTGGTGTTTCACCACGACCCCATTTCATTTGGGGTTTCTGGAAGCCAGCAGCCTGTCAGTGGGTAGAAGGCTGGGGAGGGGGAGTCCAGGACCACGTAAGTGGGGGCTGCTGTGGGTTTTTTACCTCCTGGTCACTTCCCATATGGGGAGGCAGGTTAGGTGTGGGGCAGGGAGGCAGGGAATATTAGTGGGCAGAGTTTGGCCCCAGAGAATCAGGAGGGCCAGGGCTGTCCCTGGACAAACCCTGGGGAGGCTGGGATGTCAGCCGAGCAGACACGCAGGCCCAGCCTCTGGCCTCACATGGAGGCAGGACCTGGCTGCGTAAACATGGCAGCCGCTTAGGGCCTAGGTATCGAACGTGGGCCAGCTCAGGGGCTTAATTGTAGCCTTCTTAGGGTTGGGGCGGCGGGGCGGGCAGGAGAAAGGAGGAGAAGAGAGCAGAGGAAAAGGTGCCCAGCACAGAATGAGAGGAAAGCGCAAGGAAGCAAGGAGCAGCTGGCTGCTTGGGCGCAGCGCAGAGTGTTGCTTCGGTAGACTTTCTTGAAATAGAAATTTATTGTTGTGGATTTCCAGTCCTCACTTACCTTCTGCGGTACGCATGGCGGCCCCTTTTTCTTTCCTTATTGGGTATTTAAGCTTAAAATAAATTGATTTTTAAAAAAGGATTAGGAGGGTTGTGCCTAGAGGCCACCACAGCCAAGGGGCTCCAGGGCCGGCGGGCTGCTGGTGATGCCTGATGGGCTGAGGACGGGGGGGAGGGGCTTCAGTTGAGCCCAGGACAGATTGAGGTGCAGGCTGGGGATCGGTGGGGAGGTGGCCCAGATTTCTTTGGTTTGCTTTTCACGATGGGCCGTCTCACCGTGTGTTTCTGTTTAGGGAGAAACACCGCTACACACGGCCTGCCGGCATGGCCTGTCCACCCTGACGGCTGAGCTCCTGCAACAGGGCGCTAACCCAAACCTTCAGACCGAAGAGGCCCTGCCCACGGCCTCAGGCCTGGGTGAGGGTGTCTACCTGCAGACCCCGCTGCACATGGCCATAGCTTACAACCACCCTGATGTTGTGTCTGTCATCCTGGAGCAGAAAGGTGAGCAGCAGCGTGGTGGGGGTGAGTGGCTGTCTCCCTGGGGTTCCCGCCCCTTCTCCTTCCCCTGATGTGTCCCCTGCTCTTGAGCCTGGGGGGCTTCCTGGGCTCTCTCAGCCCCCCACCGCCCTGAGGCTGTTGGCTATGGTGCCCTCTTGGACTCTGCAGAGCCCCTGGGGTGGGCTGGGCAGTGAGCGAGTGCTGTGAGAAGTGCCCAGGTCACTCTGCAGCCGGGGCAGCAGCAGGACCTTCACCCAGACCTTTGGGGGGGTTTCGCTTTTTTCAAATCAAGGAGAGCACTCCAAGTCTCTCACAGGGACAACTGAGCCTCTGTTCACTCTTTGAGATGGGTATAGTGATGAGGAAGGATGCCAGAGGGTGGGTGTCCAGGGCGCTAATGAGCCCTGTAGCTGGGACTCAGTGGGTACCTTGGGTCTGGGAGCGGCTCCCTTGTGTCTGCTCGGCACCCACGGGTGGAACAAGGAGCCAGGGGACTGGATGGCGGGGAAGCCTACTCCTGGCTGGGGCTGCCCCAGAATGAAGTGGGCTTGGGGAAAGCCCCCTAGCGGGGATGGCCGTGGCCCTGGGGAAGGGGGGGCTGGTTCTGACGTTCGCAGGGACCGTTAGAGGTTGGCTGGTTGATGGGGACCAAAGTGGCATCGCAGTGTCGGGCTCAAGGTGCGGTGTGTGCTGCCGGGGCTGCTGGGCACAGATAGTCTGTGGGTGTTTGGGGTGGAGACTCGCCTCTCACGTTTCCTTTGAGCTCCCGCAGTTTCTGCTTTGCTCGTAGAGCACGGTGCCCTCTTGATGTGGGTGTGCCACGCTGGGTGGTTCTGTGCCAGCATTTCCCATGCCAGGAGTTAGGAGGCATGTTGGAAAGATTCTGATACCTAGATTTCATTGGAGTTTGGTTTCCTGGGCAGACTTTGGGCACCAGCAGTGGTCTGATCCAGCCTTTTTGTTTTTCTTTTAACTTAGCTAATGCCCTTCATGCCCTCAATTCCCTGCAAATCATCCCGGACTTCAGTCTCAAGGATTCCAGAGACCAGACTGTCCTGGGGCTCGCACTGTGGACAGGTAAGGCCAGGTGCCAGGGTGAAGGAAATGCCAACGTGGGCCACTTGTCTAGGGCCTGTCGGCACTCCCAGAAATACCTAAGGGACCCGTGACTTGAGCAGGCCCCACCAGTGTGACCTGGGGCCTCAGTTTCCTTCTCTGCTGAATGAGGGGGTTGGCCTGAGGACTCTAGGATCCAGGTGGATTACCCTCACCCTCGCCTGTGACTGACCCCAAAGATCCAGGGTGTGTGGAGGCAGACCCTTCTGGGGGTTTGCTCTTGCTCTGTCCATGAGCGTGAGCAAAGCCTGCCTCAGGCCTGCCGTGTCTGAGCCGCGTAGCATTGTCTACATCAGAGAGCCCAGGATGCTGTTGTGTGTGGGTTGGGGTTTACAGTCTACACTGTGGATTGGGGCCTGTTTCAGGGATGCACACGATAGCAGCTCAGCTCCTGGGGTCAGGAGCCTCCATTAACGACACCATGCCCGACGGCCAGACGCTGCTGCACATGGCCATCTGTCGGCAGGACGACAAGAGTGCCCTCTTCCTCCTGGAGCACCAGGCGGACATCAACATCCGGTGAGGCGGGGCTGCGCGGCAGCACTGGAGGGACAGACCTGGCGTTGGGGTGTGCTTCTGGGCTGTGGCTTGAGGTACTGGGTGTGCGTGTGTACGGGACACGTGTGTGCGTGCAGAGCGTGCTCCTGGGGTGCCCCTCGAGGTGTGAGGCATGCATGTGCATACGGGATGTGTGTGTGTGTGCAGGGCATGTTCCTGGGGCACACTTAGAGGTGTTGGACATGCGTGTGCATGTGCATACAGGATGTGTGTGTGTGCAAGGGGTGCTCCTGGGGCGCCCTTCCAGAGCCGTCCGTGGGATGTCTGAGAAGGCCCATGAAGCCTTCCCACCCTCTGCCCCCTCTGACCTCCTCCGCTCCCTTTGCCGCCAGTCTTCATGAGGCGCGGTCCAGATCTCAGCACTCTCGTCTGGGATCTCCACTGGCTCCCCGTTTCCCAAATTCCTTAATCTGGCACTCAGGCTCCTCCCTCGTTAGAGCGAAGCCCGTTTTTCCTCCACCTCGTGCCCTTTCTTGTCCACGTTTGTCCTATTTTCTACCACATCCACACGTTTGTGTGGCTACGCCCCGTGTCTGGAAGGCACTCCTTACACTTCTCTTCCTGTTACCGTCCTCTTTCTCCTTCACAGCCTGGCTTACATGCCGCCTTTTCCCTAAAGCCTTCCTTGGTGTCCCCAACCCAAAAGGACAGCTCCCTCCTGACCTTTGGCATGTGGGGCCCCGAAGAGAGCTGGGCCATGGTGTTCAACTGTGCCTTGTTTGTGTGTGTGGGAGGCATTTCTCCATTGGGTCGTGCCTGCCCGTGGGGAGAGGGCTGCCCCTTTCTCCTTGGGCCCTCACTTCCTCACACACGATGGGAGCCAGCCAGTCATCACAGCGAATTGACCCTTGGTGTCCTGGCCCCCCTGGCATGGGTAGAGGCAGAGAGTGAGAGAGGCAGGCCCTGGGCCGTGGCCCGGCCAGGGGGCCCTCCTTGTGGCCCATCCCTGGCCTCCGACAGGGATAGGACAGGTGTTCATGTAGCTGTGTGGGTGGGCTCTCCTAGGACCCAGGATGGCGAAACAGCCCTTCAGCTGGCCATCAGAAACCAGCTTCCCCTGGTGGTAGACGCCATATGTACCCGCGGGGCTGACATGTCAGTGCTGGACGACCAGGGAAATCCCCCACTGTGGCTCGCCCTAGCAAGCAGCCTGGAAGACATCGCCTCTACTCTGGTGAGACTCTGGTGTGGAGAAGTGGGCAAAGGGACTGGGCAGACATCTCTGCCCAGGGATTATAGTGTGGTGGGGTGGGGGTGGGGGGTGGGGGGAAGGAGAGAAGGAAGGGAGGGAAGGAAGGGAAAGAGAGGAAGGAAGGAGGGGAAAAGAGGGAGGAAGGAAGGAGGGAAAGAGAGGGAGGAAGGAGGAAAAGAAGGGAGGGAGGGAAGGGAAAGAGAGAGGAAGGAAGAAAGGGAGAGAGGGAGGAAGGAATTGAAGAAGGAGAGGAGAGGAGGAGAGGGTTCCTCTGAGCAGCGGCCAGGCCAGCCCTCCCAGGGCCAGGGCACTGAAGGGCTCCCCCAGCCCCGAGCTCCAGCGTCACCGGTCACAAGCACTCAGCGGGGAGTGCACCCGGGTGGCCTCCTGCCATGCTCTACCGGGCCCACAGCAGGCGCTGAGGCATTTGGCAGCTCAGCCGTCTTCTTGCCTGACTCTTCGTGATCCCATTTCAGGTTTTCTTGGCAGAGATGCCAGAGTGGTTGGCCATTTCTTTCTCCAGGATCCTCATTTGACAGATGAGGAAAATGAGGCAGAGTGAAGTGACTTGCCCAGGGTCACACAGCTAGCAAGTGTCTGAGCTGGATTTGAACTCAGGTCCTCCTGACTCCAGGCCTGGCACTCTATCCCTGCGCCACTGAGCTGACACCAGGAAAATGGATGTTTCTGTTTGTTCATTTATTTATTTTTGAGTGTGGCTGAAGAATTGGTCATGCTGTGAACTTACCAAGAAGTTGAGAAGCTAGTCAGTGATGAGCCTAGCTATGGACTGATGCCAAGGTGTGGCCGTGGGGCCGCAGCTTAGGGCTCAGGCTAGCCTGTTCTGGGCTTTTCCGTCAGGTGAGGCATGGCTGTGATGCCACGTGCTGGGGCCCAGGCCCGGGCGGATGTCTTCAGACGCTCCTGCACAGAGCCATTGATGAGAACAATGAGTCTGTGTCCTGCTTCCTCATCCGCAGGTAGGAGCCCAGCCTGTCTCCCCTCATTGTCTCTCGGGCCATGCCCTCCTCCTGCCCAGGCCCCACCCCACACCCCAGGTGGCCCTTAGGATAAAGGAGGGCCCCGTAGTTCCTGTCATGACCCTCCCTGCAGCCTTGCTGTCCCCCTGCCTGGGCCGCTCGCCCTATGCTCCTCAGGCTCTTCTGAGAGCTCAGCTCGGGGCCCTGAATGGTGCCCCGTGAGGCCTTCCCTGGTCTCCCTATTGTTAGCAGGGAGCTGCCGCCGTCACTGTGGGCCTGTGTGAAGGGGCAGCAGTTGTCCCTGGAGGGGCTGCAGGCAGTGTCCTTTCCCTTTCGGACCATCACCTCCCAAGTCTTCTCTTCTCCAAACTAAGCATGCCCACGTCTTCAGCTGATCCTTGGATGGCCTGAGGTGTAGGTAGATGCCACATTGGTGAAGGAGAAAATGGGGCCATTTCTGGAAGAATCTCGTTGGCCTCCCTGGTTTCGTGTCCACCGTCAGCACTGGGAAGGGGCCGGCCAAGCCCATCCGTGTTTCTTGGGGTTGGTGCTGCCCCATGGAGCCTCAGAGGCCAGGGTGGCTTGGCAGGCAGGAGTGGTTTTGTGCCAGCCTTGACCTAGAGACTGCTGGAGGGCAGGCTTGGGCTCAGGCCCCTCCCAGATTGGGCACGGCACCTCGAGAGGTGGGGGGCGGTGCAGGCCAGGCCAGGCCTTGTCTGAGCTCTTGACAACCTTCCTTCCTCACAGTGGCTGTGATGTGAACAGTCCAAGACAGCCAGGGGCTAACGGAGAAGGAGATGAAGAGGCCAGAGATGGACAGACCCCCTTGCACCTGGCAGCCTCCTGGGGCCTGGAGGAGACAGTCCAGTGCCTCTTGGAATTTGGGGCCAATGTCAATGTGCAGGTATGCATCGTGGCCCAGCCCCTTGGGTATGTGTCCTCCACTGCCTTCTGGCTGGCCCAACCCAGGCCCCTCCTCTCCTGCCTCCAGGCTTTTGCTCAAGCCATTTCCTGTGCCATTCTCTCATAAGGCTCATCTGTTGCCCCCTCCCTTGCTCTGGCTTGTCAGTCATTTCCTTGGCTGGCTAGGAGCACCTGCTTCCTCTCCGCTAACCTGGCCAGGAAGCTCCCTGAGGGCAGGACCTCCCCAGCACCTGCACAGAGGCTGGCACACGTTCAGTGCTTGATCATTTTCTCTTTAGCTGAAGTGGGATCTTCAGCCTGAAGCCATAAAACGCTAGGGAAGTCTGAAGATCGTTAGTCTGAGATTTCTGAGGGCTTGGCCTGGACGGAGCACTGTTTCACAGACCTGCGATCAGGCCGCTTATTGGCTCCTGTTTGAGTTGATTAAAGATTTGGGGTTGGTGCCTGCCTCCCCAGGGTCCTCTTTGTCCTCCCAGCTCTGTGTCTCTTCCTGTGTTGTCTGTGCGTTGATGGAGGCCCTGCCCAGCCCCGGGGGTGGGGGGGCAGTATTCACACCTCTTTAGACTGCCCCACCTTCAACATCAGAGCAGTGCCCCCTGACATGGGCAGGCGAGTCTTCTGTCTATGAAGAGAAATTTAGGGTTTGAGAGTTATAGCTGCTAATGGGGACTGGCTACTTCAGGGGCCTGTCATGGGTCGTCCCATCTTGTCTTTGTTAAGTTTCTGCCTTTTCTTAATTTAAAATGTGATTTCAACTTGAGGTTTTTACCCTCCTTGAAAGAGTCACTGATTTTGTGCTCTTGCACATGGAATATTAAAATGTATTGTCTTCTGTATCTCCTTGTAGTGAGAAAAATAGTTTTGCTTTTAAAAAATGAACATTGAAATTCTTACCTTCTCAAACACTGGGTATTGACCAATGTCTCACACTGGATACCTAGATAAAATCAAAATGGGAGCATGATTTAAACATAAAGGGTGATACCATAAGCAGATTAGGTGAGTGAGGAATAGTTTACCTGTTAGGTCTGTGGATGAGGGGAAAATTTAGGACCAAACAAGATGCAGAGAGCGTTATGAAATGTAAAATGGGTAATTTTGATTATATAAAATTAAAAGGTTTTGCACAAATAAAACCAGTGCATCCAAAATTAGAAGGAAAGCAGAACACTGGAGAAAAAATTTTATAGTAAGTATCTGATAAAGGCCTCATTTCTCAAACATGGAGCAGTGAACCGATTTTATAAGAATACAAGTCATTCCCCAGTTGATAAATGGCCAAAGGATATGAACAGGCAGTTTTCAGACAAAGAAATCAAAGCCATCTATATCATATGAAAAAATACTCTAAATCACTACTGATCAGAGAAATGCAAATTAAAACAGTTCTCAGGTACCACTTCATGCTTATCAGACTGGCTAATATGACAAAAAAGGAAAATGTTGAATGTTGGAGGGGATGTGGGAAAACTGGGACACTAATGCACTGGTGGTGGAGTTGTGAACTGATCTAACCATTCTGGAGAGCAGTTTGGAAGCATGCCCAAAGGGTTATAAAACCATGCATACCCTTTGATCAAACAATGCCACTGCTAGGTCTATATCCCAAAAACATCCAAAAAAGGGGAAAGGACGTATTTACACAGAAATATTTGTAGCAGCTCTTTCTGTGGTGTCAAAGAACTGGAAATTGAGAGGATGCCCATCCATTGGGGAATGGCTGAGCAAGTTGTGGTATATGAATGTAATGGAACATTATTGGGCTATAAGAAATGATGAGCAGGCAGACTTCAGAAAGACCTAGGAAGACATGTATAGACTGATGCTGAGTGAAGTGAGCAGAACCAGGAGAGTGTTGCACACAATAACGGCCACGTTGTGCAATGACTAACATTGATAGACTTAGCTCTTCTCAGCAATGCAGTGATATAAGACAGTCCTGAAGGACTCGTGATGAAGCCAGCTGTCCGCCTCCAGAGAAAGAACTGACGCTGAAGACAGACTGAAGCAGGCTGCTTTTCACTTTCTTCCTCTTTTCTTTGCTCGAGTCTTCTTGTACAAAATGATGAATATGGGGATGTTTTACACCATTGCACCTGTAGCCTGTATCAGATTGCTAACCCTCTCAGGGAGGGGTAGAATTTGGAACTCAAAACTTCTTTAAAAACATTTTAAATTGTTTTTAACACGTAATTGGGGGAAAATAAAACATTATTAAAAAAAGAAAAGAAAGAAATTCTTGCCTTCCCTCTAGGATGCCGAGGGCCGGGCACCGATTCATGTCGCCATTAGCAACCAGCAGAGTGTCATCATCCGGTTGTTGATTTCCCACCCTGACATCCGCCTGAATGTTCGGGACCGCCAAGGCCTGACCCCGTTCGCTTGTGCAATGACTTACAAAAACAACAAAGCAGCCGAGGCCATCCTAAAGCGAGAGCCTGGAGCCGCCGAGCAGGTACGTGCGTAAGGCCGGGCAGCTAAGGAGACGGCGAGGCTTGCACTGGGACGTCTTTTGTGGCTGTGCTTGGTGCCAGGGACACAATGAATGAATACTTGAGAGCATCACATGATTAAAGTAATAGGGCCAGGGTTGAGGGCCTGCGCAGGGAGTGTGCTGCCAGGGAGCTGGGCCTCTGATCACCTGCCGGCCCATGGCTGAAGCCCATTCGTGCTCAGGAGCCCAGCGTCCCCAGGGTGAGACAGCCCAGCACATAGTAATTGCTTCATCAGTGCCTGTCGACTGACTGTGAGGCACCCCCAACCATGCACAAGATATGTTTGGGTATTGTTGGGGGCAGGAGGATGCACTGTGTGTGTGCACGCATGTGTGTGTGTGTGTGTGTCGGCCATGTGTGGAATTGTGTTAGAGAAAGAGGAACCTTTGAAGCTTCTTGCTCAGGATTTCAGGCCTCAACAGCGTCTGTCTGCTTTTCCGTAACTGTGACTGAATATTGTGCATGGGCAAAGATCCTGAGGACTGAGAATGTTGGTGAATTCTGGGCAAAGCGGCCCGCTCAGCCAGCGCAGGCCAGGGCTCCCTAGGTGTGTGTACGCGTGTGCACATGGAGGTGCCACCCTGCTGCTGGCCTCCTCCCTGTCCGCGCACAGCCTGGGGACACGGGTGGCAGCTCATCTCCTCTGCTGAGTAAACCTTTCTGCCTCAGGGAGAGAACAAAGCCTGGGAGCTCGGGAGAGTCTTCCGCCGCCTCGGCCCAGAGAACGTTCTCTCTGACCTGGTGCCCTTTGTGTGGGGAGCAGGGCCAAATGGCTCAGACCCTTCTGGGTCCTGCCCCCTGGGTCGTCTTGTTCTGCCCTACCTTCAAGCCTTTGCCTGCTCTGCCCCCCTGGCTGGGCTTAGGACTGTGTCTTCTAGGCACCACCACCAGGGGCCTGGCCCTATCCCCCCCTGCAAGGACAGGCTCAGCCACAGGCAGGAGCTGGCCTTGGAGAAGGCCTGTACAGCATTCGGCCCACAGACCACCTACTGCCTGCCAAAAGATTTCGGGCAGCCTGTGAAAAATGTAGAGGTTGTAAAACCGGTCTGCCTTGGAGGCTGCAGCTAGCCAAGCAGCTTGTGCTGACTGCCCTTCCTGTTCTGTATTCGTGCTTCTCGTCACAGGTAGATAACAAGGGCCGGAACTTCCTCCACGTGGCGGTCCAGAACTCGGACATTGAAAGTGTGCTGTTCCTCATCAGCGTCCAAGCAAATGTGAATTCCCGAGTCCAGGATGCCTCGAAGCTGACGCCCCTGCACTTGGCAGTCCAGGCAGGGTCTGAGATCATCGTCCGCAATCTGGTACGGAGTCCAGGAAAGATGGGCGAAGCACTTCCTAGGCATTTCCCAATGTAGACGTGAAAGGACAAGTAGGCGCCCTGGGTGGGAAGGGAGGAGTGCCCGCCACGGCCTCGTGGGGTGGGGTGGCCTGAGCTCCAGAAGCACAGTGGAAGAGTAAAGGTGAAGACCACTTTACAACCCTGTTTGTCTTACTATGCTTCTGTTATATTTGAGGAAACTGAGGCAGACAGAGGTTCAGTGACTTGCCCAGGCTTACGTAGCCAGTAAGTGTTAGAGGTTGGATTTGAGCTCGGGTCTTCCTGACCCCAGGACTCTGTGTGCTGTGGTGCCCCCAAGCTGTTTCAAGTAGGGGGAGTACCTCCACCTAAGGAGAGGGGCAGAGAAAAAAGGACTACACACACAGGGGCCCCCATGCCCAGATCCTGCGTAGTAGGAGGATAGTGGGGCCATGTCCAGGCTGAGCTGCCCCATAGAGTGACTCCTGGGGCGTGGACAGGTTGGCTCTTGCTTGGAAGCCCCTCCCTAGGTCAGTGATTCTTCTTTTGTGGTCCCTAGAGCCAGAGGCCAGAGACTCCCTGGTGTTCTCAGACCCTAGAGGCCACATCATGTGGCCCTAGGTCTCAAAGGGAAGAAGGAACTGTTGCCCGTATTTGAACCCAGGACTGGGGTTGATTCTTCTGTCCCCACCTGGGAGGTCTGGAGGACCCCAGAGCAGCTTCCAGGCTTGAGGGGCAGTGGCAGGATGTTTGAGCAGGAGCTAGGAGGTTTTCACAGCTGGCCCTGAGGCACCTTCGACTTGTGTCGACTCCTCACTAGCCTGTTTCCTTTGGAAATTCCCGTAACAGTCAGAGTCCTCCAGGTTAGCGTGAGCCATCCCTATCTCCAGGGTCCTGCTCCGCTTTTCACCCCCGGCAAGGGTTAGCCCGCGTGCCAGCGAGGGTGCTTATGCTTGGCTCTCGCGGCAGCTTCTTGCAGGTGCCAAGGTGAATGAATTAACCAAGCACCGCCAGACTGCCCTCCACCTGGCTGCCCAGCAGGACCTGCCCACCATCTGCTCTGTGCTCCTGGAGAACGGCGTCGACTTCTCTGCCGTGGATGAGAACGGGAATAACGGTAATGTGACTGGTGCTGGGCCTTTCTGCTGCATGGGTACGGCCTGGCTCCTTCCCTTGGGGAGGAGGCTCTGGAGCCGGTATTTCAGGTGCGGAGGGGATGCTGTGGGGGGAGGGGGTGCCTCGTGGTCTTCCAGCTGCTGTCCACAGCGTCCAAGTTACTGAGGTTTCCTTGGTGGGATGGACAAGCTGCATGAGGGAAACCCAGACTGGTGGCGGTCTCCTAGCCCAGGCCCTAGAGAAGAACAGCCAAGACAGGGCAGCGGGGGGGAGCCAAGCTCATCCTTGCCCCTGGGCGCCATGCTCCGGGCTCCTGAGCGGCCTTTGACCTTTCTGTGCAGCTCTCCATCTTGCGGTCATGCATGGTCGACTGAGTACCATCCGGGCACTCCTGACTGAGTGCAGTGTGGATGCAGAGGCCTTTAATCTGAGGTAAGCGGCATCCTTGGGGACAGGGAAGGGGCCAGGAGCAGCGGTGGCCCATAGACAGAGGGCTGCAGGGCTGCCCACTTTGATGGTGGAGGGTCAGGCCCTGTGGCCGTGGCCACTGCATGTGTTTGTGATGGTGCTGGGCTGGAGAGGAAACATGTGACTCCCATTTGTCGCCAGTCTTGAAGCAGCCCGTGTCCGTGTTTGAATGATCTCCACATGTGTCACCTCTTCCTCTGCTGGACATCTCTGCCCTGGGCCAACCCTCCTCGGGTGGGCCCCAGGCATGGAACATTTCTGCCCCTTCCCTTTCTCTCATCCCAATGGTCAATCACATGCCAAGTTTGTCACCTACTCCTCCAGAATCTTTCATGCCCCAGAATAACCTTTCTCCTCCACATCTTCCTTTACACCTCTTGCTGCATGCCCTGTAGACATCACAACAGATGCAACGTGTCCAAAACTGAGCTTATTCTTTTCCCGAAATCCCATATCCCCTCTCCATAACTTCCTTGTTACTCTTGAGTAAGTTGTCTTGCTGAATTTTGGTCTTGTTGCAAAGGTGTTGTTTGCCCTTCTTTTTTAGTGGTGAGGAGAGAGGAGGCACAGAGGACAGGCTCTGGGCATTTTCTCTGGCTGTACCCCTTGCTTGGCATGCCCTCCCTCTGCCTCTCCAATCAAGTCCCACCTCCTGCAGGCTCCCACTTTCACTCTGAGGTTACCTCCCATTTACATTAGAGTGTGAGCCCCTTGAGGGCAGGAAGCTGTCCTCACCTTGCGTGAAAACAGGAAGTGCTCCATCACTGATATTGACTATCTCTGCTCATGTGATTTCTGCATGTCTTCAGTGCCCCCGCCCGCTGGGTTTATTGTGGCAGGGCCCAGCTCTGAGGCCCCCTCCTTGGCAGAAAGTGCCTCCTCCCCCTGACATCCTGGAGAAGTAAGCCTGGACAGCAGGGCTGGCTGGGTCGGGTCAGAGACCTGAGTCAGCCTGGGGAGCCATGGGTCACCACCCGCTTATCTTGTGGGATCAGCCTGGGCTCCAGGATGCCCACGGTGAAGGCCAGATTCAGACTCCCTCCCTTCTCCCACCTGTCAGGGGCCAGTCACCAATACACATTCTGGGCCACTATGGCAAGGAGAATGCGGCCGCCATCTTTGAACTGTTCCTGGAGTGCATGCCCGAGTACCCTCTGGACAAACCTGATGCCGAAGGGAATACAGGTGAGGGGTGGCGGCCCAGAGCCCACTCTTCTCTCCACATCTGCCCCAGAGGAAGTGCCAGGCTCCAACCCAGAAATACGAGGCCATTCCAGTACAGGGGATTGGGCAGCAGCAGCTGGAGAGGGTCTACACACGATGGGCGGGGTGGGGCTGGCCGTCCTGGAAGATGGCAGCAGGGCCCAGGCTATCCTCAGGCAGTACCCATCATGCGTGTCTGGCTGTTTCAGTGCTCCTCTTGGCCTACATGAAGGGCAATGCCAACTTGTGCCGTGCGATCGTGCGTGCTGGGGCTCGCCTGGGCACTCACAACAACCAGGGAATCAACATCTTCAACTACCAGGTGGCCACGAAGCAGCTCTTGTTCAGGCTCCTCGGTGAGTGGGCGGGGCCTGCCCTGTCTGGCCGCTCGGCTCCCCTCCGCACTGCCCAGCCTCCCGCCCTTCCCTGGCCCCCAGGCAGGGTCGTCTGGGTGGGGCCCCCCGGGTAGGGCACAGTGTCCCCCTGGACCTAGTGCTTACCAGGCGCCGTCTGGCCATGTCCCCTCTTCAGACATGCTCTCCAAGGAACCTCCCTGGTGTGATGGCTCCAACTGTTATGAGTGCACGGCCAAGTTTGGGGTCACAACGCGGAAGCATCACTGGTAAGGCTCTGCTCTCTTCCCGGGTGCCTAGCTCAATTGGCGAGCCCTGGGCGGGGTACTGAGCAAGAGCCAGAGTCCCTCCCTCAGGGAGTGATGGTCTGAGGGAAGGGATACAGAGTGCCAAGGAGGCCAGGGCCTAGGAATGAGGTGGTCAGACCTGGGCTTTCTTGGGGGAGGGGCCCTGCAAGCCTGGCTGGGGAGGCAAAGACAACAGGGACACTGGGGTGGGGTGGAGCTGTCACTCCAGAGACCTCCCACCTCAGAGGGACGCTGTGACTCTGCGGTCCTGGGCACCCTGCAGATTTCTGAACCAAGAGGAAGGCTAGGGTCAGGCCAGGGGCTCAAGAAGATGAACCTGAGCGCTCAGGGGTCGTCTTGTCCAGGCTGGGCACAGCCCCTGCCATGTGTTCATCTTCTGTTTGCTTAGAGACCTCCAGGGATGGGGAGCTCACCACCTGCTAAGGCAGCAGAGCAGGTGGCTATCGTGAGCAGGGGCTTCCCCACATCCAGACATGGTCTACCTCAGGGGCCAACAAGGCCACATCTCTCCTGGGGCAGCCCTTCATTGTGCTTCTCCAGACTCGCTCTCTGAGCTCACTCAGCCCGGGCTTATGGTCCCCGCTCCCTCTTTGGTGGCCCTCACATCTGGCGGTCCCCCGGATGATCCACAGTCTGTCTAAACTGTGGCTGCCTTGCTTGGGACCCTCAGCTACCCCCTTTGTATGTCCTTTCATCCATCCTCTGGAACTCTGGGGAGGTGTTATACTGATGAGGGTTAGTCAGCAAGGATTAATTAACTGCCAGCTAGGGGAGGGAAAAGAAGAAACATTTACAGAGCTCTTACTAAGTGCTAAGGGTACAAAGAGAGGCAGAAAATACAGCCCTACCCTTGGGGGGGCTTCCAGTCTAATGTGGGAGACAGTGTACACATGAGAGATAGATGGGGTGAGGCACTAAGATGGAGGAAGAGTGGGAAGAGATTCTGGCACTTTAGCTGAGGCCTCCCTCCTGGAGCATTGCAGTGCTGCCCTGCATCTCTCCCCGCTTCAGCCCATCCTCCATTCAGCTGGTGCTCAGCAGACTCCAGGGGCTCCCTGTCACCTTCAGGATCCAGTACAAAATGCCTGGTTGTGAGCTGCCCCCTCCCAGCTTTCCAGTCTTCTTACACCTGGCTGCCCCTCGTCCCTTCAGTCCAGTGACATTGCCTCCCTGGAATGCTTTCCATCCTCTGTTCCCATTCCTGACCTCCCTGGCTTCCTTTAGCCCTGTGCCCCCGCTTCTCCAGGAAGCCTTCCCCCAGCCCCCCCTAATTCCAGAGCCTTTCCTCTGTTAGTTATTTCCTATTTATCCTGTGTAGAGCTTGCTTTGTATATATTTGTCCCCTTGTCTCTTCCTTTAGACTGTGAGCTCTTTGATGACTGGGACTGTCTTTTGCCTCTTTTTGTATCCCCCAGCATTTAGCTTAGTGCCTGGCGTGTAGTAGGTGCTTAATAAATGTTTATCAGCTTATTGGTTGATTTATGGATGCCAGGGAATCTAAGAGGTGAAGTTGAGGTGGGAGAGAACTTGAAGAACAGGGGAACAGCCAGTGAAAAAAACCCTGAGTTGGAGTATTTAGGAACATCCAGGAGGCCAGGGTCTCTGGATTAGAGAGACCTGGGGGAGACAGGTGTAAGAAGCCTGGAAAGGCAGAAGGGAGCAGGTCATGAAGGATTGTAAAACCCAAATAGAAATTTTTGTGTTTGCTCTTGGAGGCAATAGGGAGCCACTGCAGTTTGTCAGGTGTGTTTTTACTGGGGGAGTGGGGAAGATCAGACCTGTCTTTTAGGAAAATCACTTTGACAGCTGAATGTGGGATGGACTGGAGTGGAGAGGGGTCAGCAGCTATCGTGGAAGTCCAGGTGTGAGGTAAGGGGGGCCTACACCAGAGTGGAGGCAGGGTGAGGGGAAATGCTGCAGAGGTGCAATAGACAAGAAATGCTGCAGAGGTGAAAGTGACCAGAGATGCTGCAGAGGTGAAATTGACCAGAGATGCTGCAAAAATGCAATAGACAAGAGATGGTGCAGAGGTGAAATGGATAAGAGATGCTAAAGAGGTGCAGTAGACGAGATGGTGCAGAGGTGCAATAGACAAGAGATGCTGCAGAGGAGCAATAGATTAGGTGGTTAAGAGGTGAAATGGACAAGAGATGGTGCAAGGGGGCAAAATTGAGAGATGCTGGAGAAGGGTGTGTGTGTGAAATAGAAGATGTTGCAAAGGTGAAATGATAGGCCTTGACAATTGATTGGCTAGCAGGGTGAAAGAGTGAGGAGACCAGGAAGATCCTTGGGTTGTAAGCCTGGATGGACTAGGAGGATGGTACCCTTGACAGTATTGGGAAAGTTTGGAAAGGGATGTGGTTTAGGCCAGGGGAAAGATATTGGGTTCATTTTTGGGTGTGTTGAGTTTAAGATGTCTATAGAGCATCCAGTTCAAGATGTCCAATAGGCAATTGGAGATGCGAGTCTGAAAGCTAGGAGAGAGGTTGGGACTGGATAAGCAGATCAAGAATCATTAGCACAAAAATGATCATTGAATCCATGGGAGTTAATGAAATCATCAAGTGCAGTAGTGTAGAGGGAGAAGAGAAGAGGGAGAAGAGAAGAGGGGGATGCCCGAGGTTAGTGAGCATGATCTGGATCCAGCAAAGGGACTGAGAAGGCAAAGTCAGGTAGGAGGAGAAACAGGAGAGAGACCCAGAGAGAAGAAGGTGATCGTCAGTGTCAGAGGCTACAGAGAGTTTGATCAGGATGAGATTGAGGATTAGGGTTAGGATTGAGAAACAGCCCTTGAATTTTGGAAATTTTGGAGAGAATGTTCATTTGAATGACAAGTTAAGAAGATGAAAGGCAATGGAGACACATTTTGGAGACAGTCTTCTCAAGGAGTTTGGTCACAAAAGGGAGGAAATATGGAGGGTGATAGCTAGTGGAGAGGGATGGATCAGGTGAGGCTTTTTTGAGGATGGGGCAGGAGCTAGTAGATAGGGGAGAGGTTCTGGACAGTGGCCAAGGCTGCAGAGAGGTCAAGAAGGATGAGGCTGTTAGATTGGACAAGTAATAGATTGCTGAGAACTTTGGAGATAGCTGCTTCTTAAGTCTTTCAAAGTGGTGTGTTGTTACCATGTAGGCTATTCTCCTGGTCCTGCTCACTTCACTCTGTATCAGCTCCTCTAAGTCTTACCAGTTTCTCTGAAGTCCCAGTTGGCATTTCTACAGTAAAGAGGATTCCAGCACATTCCTTGGCCCTCGTTTGTTTGGCCACTCCCCAATCGATGGGCATGGCCTTAGCTGCTTTTCTTGGCTCTCTCTGGAGTGTAAGCCTAGCAGTGGGGTGACGAGGTCAGAGGGCGGGCAGTTCGGTGACTTTGGGGCCACAGTTCCTAACTGCTCTCCAAGGTGACTACTACAGCAACGTGCAGCTCCACCCACAGCACACTAATGTGCCTGCTTCCCCCACAGCCCTTCCCGAATCTGCCGTTTTACCTTTTAAAGCGCTGCCAGTCTGGTGGGTTCAAGGTGGGACCTCATAGTGGCTTCAATTTGCATGTATCTTATTATTAGTTATTTGGAACATTTTTTTCATATGATTCCCATTAGTTTGGATTTCTTCCTTGGAAAATTGCCTGTTCATACATATCCTTTAACCAGTTTTTAATGGGGGAGTGACACTTTTTTTCACAAATTTGAATCGGTTCCTTACATATTTGGATATCAGACCTTTTTCAGAGAAATTTGTTGCAGTTTTTTTCCCCATTTACTTGCTTCCCTTCTAATGTTAGCTATGTTGGTTTTGTTTGTGTAAAACCTTTTTAGTTTGATCTAATCAAAATTACCTGTCTTATGTGCTCCTCTCAATCCCTTGTTTGGCATCCATAGATTGGAAAGATCATTTCTTTGTTGCTTGCTCACTGTGAGCCTCTCCTAACACAGATCAGAGTGGCATGGTACATTCCCTCATCAACTCCGGTCATAACTTGGCCCACCAAGACTCTCGGGTGTATCTGTCATCTAGCCAGAGAGCTGCATGTCATGAGCTTGGGGTGGCGGTGATTTGATTTATTTAAACTCCAGTGAAAGATCTTACATTTCCTTCTTTAAATTTAATTTTACTGAGTTCAGCCCAAGGCCTTCACCTGCTGAGAGCTAGTTAAATGCTGATTTTGTTTTTATGTAAGCCACAAACGACCATATTTTGATCCAAGTCACTGGTGGCTAAAGACGTCTCAGCCCAGGGTCCAGGACCCCTCAAGTGTATGAGACACTTATTCCTCTCTCTCCTTGACCACAAGTGGCCAAAGGCCTCACTGTAATCTGTGTGTAATGTTGTCTGTCTGTAACATCCCCTCATCTGCTCCCTCAGGAGGCCTGCTTCCCTTTCAAGAGAATGGGGAGTCCATGCTTTTTAGGGGTGGCCAGGCCTAGGAGATAGATGGAGTAGACGAGAAAGCTGAGACTGCAGGATGCTTAGCCGTGACTCCCCCAGGGAACTTTGGAACCCAGGACTTGGGGCTTTCACAAGGCAGCCCTCAAATGACTGGGGTTCTGGAGTGGTTGCAGATTCTCCCCTCCCCTTCTCTGGAGCTTTGCCAAGATTCCTGAGAATCGCCCTGCCTTGGTAGCAAGGGAGGCTCATCACGCCTGCCGACTTTGTTCTGACTCAGTCTGATGATGAATGAGCAGGGGAGGTCTCATCTCTCTGCCTCCTCTGTGCTTCCAGGCCTCATCTCCAGTGTGGGTCAGGCTTCCGTCCCTCTCAGAGGGCAGGCTAACAAGCCCTTTGGGGCTTCCCCCGTGTTAGGTCGAGGTTCTGGTCCAGGAGAGATCTGTTGGGTGTTTCCAGGCCTGGCCAGGCCGCGGCACTCCCTTCTGGGACCGAGTGTGCGCTGGGCCCCCCTCACACCTCCTCCCCCTCTCTTTGCTCCCACAGCCGGCACTGCGGACGCCTCCTTTGCCACAAATGCTCCACCAAGGAGATCCCCATCATCAAGTTTGATCTGAACAAGCCCGTGAGAGTCTGCAACATTTGCTTCGACGTTCTGACCCTGGGGGGAGTCTCTTAGGGAGCCGGGGGCTGCCCTGGCTTCGTTCTCCTCGGCCCCAGCAGCCGCCCAGCTTGCCAGCCCTGTAGCCAGGGAGAGGGAAGGTGGCGGCGACAGCCTTTGTCTCCCTTCTGCAACAGACTGAAACCAATTAAGGACCCCCTAGTGATTTACTCCATTACCAATTATTTATATGATTGGACCGGACCGCTAAAAAACGAGGTGGTGAGTGTGGCTGCGCCAGCCCCCGGGAGAGCCTGGTGTTGAGGCGCGTGGCTGGGGATGGGGCACGCCTGCTCAGCCGAGCTAGCTGATGCCGCCTTGGGCTTTTGTGGCGAGTTCTTCCCACTGGGAGGCCTGCTCATGGGCACTTTGTAAACAGGGTTCAGAAGGATGACCAGAAAACAGTGGCCTTAACCACAGAAAGCTTGACCAGGGGCGTCCCTTCTCTCCTACGGGCTGCCTGGGCCACCGTGTTTAAGGTGCAGGGCTGCTCCCCCGGAGGTGCCCCTGCCCCAAGGGCAGCCTGTACAGCTCAGGGACACCAAGCGGGAGCCAGGCACTCGTGCCGGTGACCCTGGGGGACTGGCTCTGTATCCCAGCCACACAGAGAACCTGGAACACACGACGCCCCCACCTGTGGTCAGAAGAAAAGTGTCCATGTTTAACCCACATGGGGAAGTTCATTTGGAACACGACCTTCATTTACACGGCTCAAATGTCCGAGAAGAGATAGGCCTGGGCCTTGGCTGGGAGGTCCTGTCCTCACCAGGGTCTTCCTCGGTCAAGAGAGGGGCTGCCCCTTTTCCTGGGCCTCCCCTCGCCAGTGCCATCCCAAAGGCCAAAGGAGGGCTGTGGTTACCCTCGTTGACAAGGAACAGTGAGGAGAGGAGGGTTAGAGGGCATCACGTCTCCATTACAGCAAGGGAAGACTCATCTCAGTCAGGGAGGCTGCCTCCCCACACGCCCTTCAACGCCCATGAGAAGAAGGACCGTCTCCTTGGCCTCGTCAGCCCCTCTGCTAAGGCCTGGTCCCTCCAGAGTCACCCTTCACAGGCCGGGCGTGCACGTTCCAGGATGGCCCTCCAGGATGCTTCCGGAGCCACGGTGCGTCCACAGCCTATAGACATACATGCACACGCACTCACCCGCATGCACATGCACACACGTGTGTGCACATGCACGCACATCTATACATATTTATACAGTATGTAGAATGGAGTCATGAATAAGTGGTACTTTTTTCTATTTCTGTGATTTAGAAAGTATGTACATATCACAGACACACATTATGTTTTAAGCAAGCATTTGGATGTATTTGTTGTGTTTAAAAGACAAAAGCTCATTTAGGGCCATGTTTACTCAGTGCCGTCACATTCCATGTGGAATTTGCTGAAAAGAACCTCGCCCCCTTTGATGAGGAGCCAGGAATGTCCGTGTAGCACCTACACACGTGCACGTACACTCAAGCGCACGTGTGCGCACGCACCCCTTTGCAGCCACTGGCCAACTTCCACGTTGGAGGACCTTTGCTCTTTGGGGCATCACAAGAATACATCACAAGAAACCATTTTCTAGAGCTTAATTAAGTGAAATTTAATTCTTTAATCCAAATAACTCTAATTATGTTACAGGAGGGGCTTGGCCCTCTCTTCTCTGCTTCTGTTGTTGCTTCCTACATCGTTGTTAATGCTTAAGTCTGAGTCACATGTTGAAATGTACTGGGAGCACACCCAACATGTTGTGTGGGGGCATTGTACTGAGTCAGGGTCAGTTTCTACCAGGTTGGCTCGGGGACCCCTCCCCCACAGCTCCTGTTATGTGCTTGGGCGTCTTGGGGTGGCATTCCTCTCCCCACGGCCCCTCCCTGATGGTGCCAGCCTGCCCTCACACCAGTCCTGCCGACACGCTCATGTCGTCTTCTTTGTGAGGCTTCACCCCTTGCATCAGACCCGCTCAGGCAGCTGCAAGACCCTCAGATCCTCCTCAGATTCCACTGTTGGGCAGTCCAGAGTCCTCAAGCAAGGGGAAGAGTCGCCGCGTGTGACCTGCGAGCCAGGCATGTTGGGGGGGGGGGGACCCTAAGCTGCCCCTGCCTCAAGGCCAATGTCCCTGAGGTGGTGATCTGTGCATGCTGGAGGGAACGGCGCAAGGGACACAGCAGTGCTTCCTGGTGATTGGGATTTTTTCAGCCAGACACTCCCTTTCTCCCCAGGATTTGGACCCATGTGGTCGTGACTTCAGTCCCCCACCCCAAAGCTTGAGTCATGGAGTGACAGTGTACCCCTTTCACATGCTTCTGTCCCAAGCACAGAGCGTCACCAGAGGCAGATACAGACTCTGGCTGCTGGCTTCTCGTCCATGACCTGGCCATAAGTCAACCCAGAAACTGGCTCCCTCAGCCTGAGTGGCAGTTAGTAATAAGGACAGCAAACAACCTCAGTAGAAAGGCCCAGGAGTGAGGGGGTCCCAGAAGGCAGGCATCTGCAGGGCTCAGCTGAGACCCTTGGTCCCCTCCAAAGCACAAAACCCTTAGAGGAGAGGAAGGTGGGGGCTGACTCCCAAAGCCACATTTTCCCTTTATTGTGTGGAGTGGGACAGAGCCGTCCTAGAAACAGACTGACCGGTTCCTGCTGTCCCAAGAGCTCACTGACCGTTACTATTCTAAATGCCTTAAAGACTGCAGATTCATGTCTCTACAGTTTCATTTCCATGTGCATAAATGGTACCTCAGCCTGATGCTTCATAGCTGATGCTGGCCGGCTTTCAGTGGGAAAGCCCCTGGGCAGTGCCCCGTACCCCTCTGGGTCTGGGGTCATGGGGTCCTAGGGTGGGGGTGCTTTGCAGAAGAATGTCTGAGGACCACCAGGAGGCAGGCACGTGCAGCTGAGGTCATAGAATAGAATGTATTTTTCCAAGTGGATATTTGCATTAATGATTCCTTGTAATAATACTAGAATACATCAACCATGTACATTAAAATGAAAACCTTTGGTAACAGTGTGTGTGTGCAGTGATGTCAGGAATGCCCTGAGAGAGCCCACAGGGCGTCTGGGCTTATCGCGCCCCGGATCCCAGAGAGCGTGAGCCAGGCCCATGCCAGTCCAGCGCACACCAGGCTACTCCCAGGAGGTCACTTTGGTCTCCTTTTCCCACAGAGCCCAAGGAGTGCCTGGGTAGAAGGGTCAAGTCCAGAACGCTGGGTGTGGGTCTCAGGAGACCACATTTCCATCCTTGGCTGTGGTCGCTTCTTGTAACTCCTCCATCTTGGTGTCCCTCTGTAGAATCGGGGTGATGATGTTGCCCCCTCTCGGCCTCACGACCATGCTGTCTTTAAACAAGCCTCAGGAAGCGTGAGGAGTGTGGCCCTCCGTCCCCTGGACAGCCTTGCCGCTTCGAACCAGCTGGGACCCCTGGGCCCTGGGGGATCCTCAAAGCTGGGAAGTAGTTCTTGAAGCTGGTGTTGCAGTCGTGTCTCAGCAGCCCGAGACAGGTGGCTGGGCTGAAGTGCCCCTGGTTCGGAATTGGGTTGCCGTTTAGTCTCGTCCAAGTCTTTAAGACCTCATTGGGGTTTTCTTGGCAGAGACGCTGCAGCGGTTGGCCATTTCCTTCTCCAGCTCATTTGACAGATGAAGAAACTGAGGCAAACAGTGAGGTGACCTGCCCAAGGTCACACAGCTAGGAAGTGTTTGAGGCCAGATTTGACCTCAGGAGGATGAGTCCTGTCTCCAGGCCTGGTGTTCTATCTAACCCTGTGTGCCACCTAGCTGCCCTGGGTTTGGAATTATACCTTATGGTCATTTGGACAGGGGCTTAATATGATTAAAGAGACCTCAGTATTATCTATGAAAAGCAAAACTTGCTATGCAAATTGAAGTAGAAATGGGAAGGGGAGGCTTTTCTTAATTGAAAACAATTGTTAAGTATCTGAAGGGATCCAATTACCTTGGGCATTTGGAAGTGTGAGTTCTCACCAGTTCAGATGAGCATTCCTCCTAAAATGCCTATGTGCATTTAATTTGCATGTCATTATTTCATGAATCCTATTTCAGAGAAGCCAAAAGATATTTTGAGTTCTAAAGGCAGGCCAGGGCAGGGAATGGGTGGAGTCTGAATGATCATCCTTCATGGAATGAGGTCATCATGGGAGCTAGGAAATCAAGACTCCACAGCAGGGGGTCCTGACCCTGGGATTGAGCACTCACTGTTTGGAGTGTGCCTTCCATCCAGGCTGAGTGTGTCTCCTGCCCGATTTCCAGCCTTTCCTGGGAACAAAAGTGGCATCTTCCACTCCAGGATGAGCACACACTCCTTGGACATAGCCCACACATCCCGGGGACTGAACCACTGTAAGTCCTTGTCCAAATCCCACCCCCCACCTCTTATTCCCTTCCCTGCCATCTTTGTGCCCCAAAGTCGCAACTAAATGCCCTTCGCTCCTTCCAAGGTGCCCTCTGGAATTCCTCTTCCTTAAGCAACAAACTTCCCTTCATCCTGAATCTTTTCCTCTCTCCTTCCATCTTCTAACAATCACCAAGACCCAGCTCCCCCCATCACCCAGCCTCCTAGGTCTGTCTGTGCACGACTGGCTTCCCCTTCATTCACTCTCCTCAGCTCCCTGGTTCCCCCCCCCCCCCCCCCGTTCACAGCCAGTGCTCAATCAAAATCCTGGTAGCTGTTGTCCACAGACCCCACAGATCACCCTCCTTCCTTCCTCGATGAGTGTGGTCTCCTTAATGCTCACACCTACCTATTCTGTCCTGACTGCTGACCTGCAGTCTTGGCCCTCCAGCTGCCTATCAGGCATGTCAAAGTGGATGTCCTCATCTGTCCCCTTAAGCCCCCCTTCCAAATGTCCCTGTAACTGTCGAGGGCACCACCATCCTCTCAGGACCCCAGGCTCACAACCTAGGTGTCCTCTAATCCAATCAATCAGTTGTCCAACCTGATGATTTTTACCTTCATGTTCTTTCATATGCCCTCTCCACAACGTAGCCCCTGCCGACCTTTCTGAAAGAATCCACCAGTCACTTCCTGAAAGAAATCCCAAAATGAAAACTCCCAGGCATATTATAGCCAAATTCCAGATGTCTCAGGTCAAGAGAAAATATTGCAGGCAGAAAGAAACAATTCAAGTATGGTGGAGCAACAGTCAGGATAGCACAAGATTTAGCAGCTTCTACATGAAAGGATTGGAGGGCTTGGAATGTGTTATTCCAGAAATCAAAGGAGCTAGAATTAAAATCAAGAATCACCTACCCAGCAAAACTGAGTGTAATCAATGGGGGAGAGGGAGGGCGCTAGAGAAGGACATTCAAGAGATAGAGGATTTTCAAGCATTCTTGATGAAAAGACCAGAGCTGAGTAGAAATTTTGACTTTCAAATACAAGACTCAAGAAAAGCATAGAAAAGGGAAATCATAAGGGACTTAATAAGGTTAAACTGTGTACATTCCTACATGGGAAGATGATACTTGTAACTCCTAAGAACTTTCTCATTATTAGGGCAGTTAAAAGGAGAATATACAGACAGAGGGCAGAGGTATGAGTTGAATATGAAGGGATGATATCTAAAAAAATAAAATTAAGGGGTGAGAGAATGTACTGGGAGAAAGAAAAAGGGAGAGGTAAAATGGGTAAGCTATCTCACATAAAAAGCAAGAAAAGGCTTTTACAGTGGAGGGGAAGAGGGGGGAGGTAAGGGGGAGTGAGTGAACCTTACTCTCATTAGAATTGGCCAAAAGAGGGAAGTACTCAATTGGGTACTAAAACCTATCTTACCCTATAAGAAAGAAGGGGAAGGTGATAAGAGAAGGGGTGGGGGGTGATAGAGCAGACTGGGGGAGGGAGTAGACAGAAGAAAAACACTTTTGAGGAGGAACAGGTGAAAGGAGAGAGAATAAAATAAATGGGGATGGGGGATAGGATGGATGGAAATACAGTTACCAATAGTAACTGAAAAAAAATTTGAAGTAAGTTTCTCTGATAAAGGCTTCATTTTCTCAAATACATAGAGAACTGAGTCAAATTTATAAAAATAAGAGCCGTTCCCCAATTAATAAATGATCAAAAGATATGATCAGTTTTCAGATGAAGTAATCAAAGCTATCTATAGCCATGTGAAAAAGTACTCACTATTGACTGGAGAAATGCAAATTAAAACAATTCTAAGGTACCTCATAATTATTAGATTGGCTAATAGGACAGAAAGGGTAAATGACAAATGGTGAAGGGGACGTGGGAAAATTGAGACAGTAATGCACTGTTGGTGAAGTCGTGAACTGATTCAACCATTCTATAGACCAATTTAGAACTATGCCCAAAGGACTATAAAACCATGCATACCCTTTGACTTAGCAATACCACTACTAGGTCTGTATCCCAAAAGAGATAAAAAACCAAAAGGATCTATATGTACAAAAATATTTATAGCAGCTCTTTTCTCATAATAAAGAATTGGAAGTTGAGGGGATGCCCATCAATTGGGGAATGTCTGAACAAGTTATAATATGTGATTGTGATGGAATACTGTTGTGCTATAAGAAATGATAAGCTTGATGGTCTGAGAAAAACCTGGAAAGGCTTACGTGAGCTGATGCAAAGTGACACGTACTGTGTACGAAGTAACAGCAGTATTGTGCAGTGATCAGCTGGGAATGACGGCTGTTCTCAGCAATACAATGATTCAAGACAACTCTGAAGGACTTGGGATGGAAAATGTTACATGTCACCAGATGAAGAACTGTTGGTGTCTCAATGCAGATTAAGCAGACTTGGTTTTTTTACTTTTTTCTTATCTATGTTTTCTTTCACAACATGACTATTATGGAAATGTTTTGTGTGACTACACATGTATAACCTATATCAAATTGCTTGCCTTTTCAACGGTGGGGGAGGAGGGAGAAGGAAGAGAATTTGGAATTCAAAGTTTTAAAAGGGAATGTTGAGAATTGTTTTTGCATGTAACTGGGGGAAAACAAAATACTAAATAAATTAATTTTTTAAAAAAAGAACCTGACATTTCCCTGAACATACTCTTCCATCCCTCCATCTCTCCCCTACACTTATTCTTTCCAGCACATCCTTTGTTCACCCTGATCCAGCCTCAGCCCTCGAGAGGTACTGGCTTCTGACCTCATCATTCCACTGAGACTGCCCACTCCAAAATCACCGGTGATATCTTAATCATCAAATCCAGTGGTCTTTTCTCCACCCTCATTCTCCCTGACCTCTCTGCGGCCCTGGACAATGTTTTGGTCACTCTCTCCTCCTCAATACCCTCTTCTCTCTGGGTTTTCAGGACACCCCCCTCTCTTTCCCAGTTCTCCTGCCTCCGACTCCTTTGCAGGCTCCTCCTCCACATCAGGCCCTCTAACCATGGGTGTCCCTCAGGCTCTGTCCTGGGTCCTCTGCTCCTCTCCTTCTGTCGTACTTCACTGGGCGATCTCCTCAGCTGCCATGGATGTAATGACCCTCTGTTGATGATTCTCAGATCCCCCTATCCTGCCCCAATCTGCTGACTTCTGACCTCACATCTCTGACTGCCTCTCAGACTGGAAGCCCCATAGACATCTTAGACTCAACATGTCCAGAACAGCTCATTCTCCCTCCCCCTGCCCCCCCTTCCCTATTACTGTCCAGGGCACCCCTCCTCCCAGGCCCAGGAGCCATATCCTTCCCCATTGCTAAGCCATGACCAAGGCCTGTCCGGTCCACCTCGGCAGCTTCTCTTATAGCACACAGTGCCTGGCACATAGAGAGCCTTAGCAAATGTGTATTTACTGATTATTATCATTGACTGTGCCAGGCGCCAGGGATCAGTCTCTGCTCCCAGTCTAATGGGGGACAACATGCCAGCAGCTCTGTACAAACAAGATAGGACAGGGTCAGTTCTCTTCCCTGGGAGCACTTGACTCCTCCCAACTTTTCCTTTCTATAGGGCTGGGCCCTGGACTTTGTGGCTCACCCTCCATTCTCCATCTGTAGCCCTGCTCAGTTTGGACACCATAGCATATATCCCCTGGTCCCCCAGCCCACCCTGCTTCCCGGATTCCCTTTGTGCTGTCTTCCCCCAAAGGACTATAAGAGACTGCCTTTCTTTTAAACTATTTTAACCCCCCCCCCATTACATTTAAAACAATTTTAAAACAATCGTGTTTTGTTTTTAAGTTTTGAGTTCTAAATTCTATGCCAACCTCACTCCCTACCTTCTCTCCTCACTGAGACACTAAGCAATCTGATACAGTTTATACATATGCAATCATTAAAACATTTCCAAATTAGACACTTTTTTTTACAAGAAGACATAAATAAAAACCATGAAAGAAAGAAAGTGAAAACTACTATGTTTCAGTCTGTATTCAGACAACATCAGGTCTTGCTCTGGGGGTGGATCCCACGTTTCATTGCAGTGCTAAGAAGAGCTGAGTCATTACAGTTGATCATCGTTACAATGTTGCTGTTACTGTGTACAATGTTCTCCTGCTCCTGCTCCCTTCACTTTGTATCAGTTCATGTCAGTCTTCCCAGGTTTTTCTGGAATCATCGTCAACAATATTCCATTACAATCATATAGCGCAGCTTGTTTAGCCATTCCCCAATTGATGGGCATCCCTTAGCCAACACACAAAAAAGCTGCTATAAATGTTTTTTGTACAAATAGATCCTTTTCCTTTTTGTTTTTTATTTCTTTGGGATACAGACCTAGTAGTGAATTGCATTGCTGGATCAAGGATATGCAGTTTTCTAGCCCATTGGCCATAGTTCCAAATTGCTCTCCAGAATGGTTAGATCAGTTCACAACTCCACCAACAGTGCATTAGTGTTCCAATCCCCCCCTTTTTTTTCTTAAAGCGTGCATGACACATTGTAGGTAGGCAGTTAACACATGTTTATTGAAATGAATAGAATCAACTTAGAAGCTCTCACCTTACCTCTGGGGCCCCTCCCAGTCCTCTACCATTTAAGGTGGCTGCCCAGGGAATTCTCACCATCTCCTACCAGCAGCTTTCCTGCACTGCATCACCTCCAGAAACTCATCATTCTACAAGATAACATTAACTCAGAAACTCTCACCTTCTCAGATCCTTTCCCACCCCAAAGGCAGACCATCTCCCTAGCCTCTCAGCTTCTTTTGAGGTGTCATCTTCCCCTCAGACTGTGAGCTCCTTGAGGCCAGGGCCCATCTTGTGCTTTTTCTTTGTATCTCTAGCACCCAGCATAGTACCTGGCACAAATAGGCACTTGATAGACGTTTATTGACCCTGACCTGCCCCATCACCCCACCTTGACCTTGCCATCAGCTGTAAATGTTCGTGGAAGTCCTTCATCTGACCATCTTATTAATTCCTTTATCAGATCACCTTTCCTTCTGCCTTCTTCATTCCCACCATGAGTGAGTGACCATCAGTCTCTCCACCCCACTTCATGGGCTACACATTCCCCCTTTCCCTCCCTGGTGAACCAGCTCTAGTCTGCACAGCCTTCTACACTGGAGCCCCTCAGCCTGTCTCTGATCACGCCCTGCCCACTCCCAGCCTTGGTCCCCCTCCCCACTGCTTTCACTCTGGCTGGTCAAACAGGGCTGATGTCTCTAGTCCGGTTTCCTACCCCATCACTCTATGGACACTGCTCTCCAAAGTGATCGATGATCTCTCATCCCCGGGTTCAGTGGCCTCCTGGGCCTCTGTGCAGCCTTGGACACTGTTGGCCACTCTTTCCTCCTTGATTCTCTCTGGGGAATACCCTTCTCTTCCTTCTCTGACCACTCCTTCTCTATCTCCTTGGCTGGACCCAACTTCAGGTTGGGAGGCTTGAACATGCGGCTGCCCTGGGCCCTCTCCTCTTTCACTTCTATGGCAGCTTCACTTGGTGATCTCATCAACTCCTACCATTTCAGTTAGCATCTATTCTCAAACCTATAAATCTAGCCCTAATCTCTCTCCTGTTTTCCAGGCTCACATCTCCAGTCAGGCCCCTCACACCTCTGCAGGCAAGGCCATGGTCCTCCCACTCTTCAAGTCCTGGGTGTCCATTCCTGAAGGAAGGAAAGCTCTGTCTCAGGACTGGCCTAAGGGGTGGGGTCCTTTCCCAGGGTACAGTGTGGGCAAGGTCTGGTCCTGGGTCAGAGGTCAGCAGAACCATTTGTCTTCAAAACTTATTTCTAAGTTTTTGGCCATCTTCTCTGTGAGGCCGCCTCTCCTCACCAGGGACTGCCTCTCAGGGAAGTCCCAGCACCCCTGAATCTCCCCCCACCTCTGTAACCAAGATCAAGTCAACTCTATCACTGTTCATGGATGGGGCGTGTCAATGCACCCCCCCTACAATACCAGCCATCCTCCCAGTAAATACTACTCCCCTCCATGTGTCGTGTCCTCTATTCCAATGTAAGCTACTTGAGGACAGGGTCCATCTTTGCTTCTTTGTTTTTTGTGATCACAAAGGCTTTAATATAGTATTTATTTTTTTAAAACATTTTATCTTTTCCAATTACATGTAAAAGTTTTTAGCATTCTTCTTAAAAAATTCTGAGTCCTAAATTCCTCCCCCCAAGCAACTTGATATAGGTTATACATGTGCAGGCATGCAAAACATTTCCACGTTAGTCACGTTGTGAAAGAAAATAGGAAAAAAAAAAAGAAAAAGGAAGTTAAAAGTGTGCTCCAATCTGCATTCTGTCTTTGCTTCTTGTATCTGTATCAGTGCTTGGCACAACACAGTGAGCATCTAACGAATGTTGTCTGATTGATTCATTCACAAGGTTGGTCCCACTGCTGGGTGGTCACTGGGCTCCTCTGTCCACACTGCAGGCCACCCTCCCCAACATGGCTCTTCTCAAGTGCAGAGGCAGCCCCACCCTCTGACTGGACTCACTAAGCTCTAAGCAATCTTCTGGTCAAGCAGTCTACTGAGCCCCTCCTCAGTGCCCAGCACTGTGCTAAGCTCTAAGGCTTTCACTGCTAAGGCTATGGCTCTATGATCCAGGACCCCAAGAAACTGCCCAGGGCCCAGGAAAAGGGGCTCCTGGTTGCTCTGAATTCACAGATCTCGGCCTTGCTCCTGCTCAGACCTGAGCTCTGGAGCTGAGCACCTGAGAGCCCCCACAGACCCCCAATGCCCGGCAGTGCTGGCAAGGCCAAGGTAGGGAAGGGGAGGAGGGCTGGGCCAAAGGTGGGAGGCCTGGGCCCCCTCCCCAAGCATCTGCCATTATCTCCACTCCCAAGTTATTCTTTGTGGGTCAGACAGGCCTTGGACGCCTGCCTGCCCTGACCTTCTCCAGAAACCTCTTTATTCTGAACAGTCATTTCATACCTTGGAGTCCCCTCCTTCCTACTGGACAGCTCCACCCAGAAGCCCAGTGGGAGGAAGCTACATCGGCCAGCCATGTCTTTGTTCCCAACCTGGATGCTCTCTGGGCTTCTCCACCATCTCCCCAGGAACCTCTTCAGTTTTGCAAGCTCCCTGGGGGCAGGGACTTTCTTTTCTTCCTTCCTTCCATCCCTTCCTTCCTTCCCTCCCTCCTTTCCTTCCCTCCCTCCCTGCTTCTTTCCTTCCCTCCCTCCCTCCTTCCTTTCATCCCACCTTCCTTCCTCTCTTCCTTCCTTCCCTCCTTCTTTCCTTCCCTCCCTCCCTCCTTCCTTTCTCCCTCTCCCCTTCTCTCCCTTCCTCCTTTTCTTCCCTCCCAGAACTCAGGGACCCCTTCCTCTGGGTGGGCCTTCCTGACAATGTCCCAAGGCCTCAGTCTTGCAAGAGGCAGCTGCTGGCCAGCGGGGGGCAGCCTGCATACTCCTGCAGGGTCGGGTTGTCCAAGTCTCCACGGTCGCCATGGCCACTGGAGCTCGTCTGGCTGGTGGGGGGGCCGGTGGTTCTCACGCACACACATCGTGGCTTCTTCCCTCCGGGCTCATACAGCTTCCTAGGGACCCCTGTCCAGTCCCTGCTCACGCCTCCACTGAGGATGGAAGAGCGGATGGTCAGGTGGACACAGGGCTTGGTCTCCTGGATCCAAGGGTCAGTGAGGAAAAAAAACCTCTCCCAAAAAGTGGGCGAGGGCAGGAGGGTTGGGGGAGAAGATGAGCATATAGCTCCGGGATGATGGTCAACTGACGTTTTCAGTGTTTTATTTAAAAATTCACATTGAGCATCCAAAGAGTGTGTGGGATGGGGCAGGGGGTCCAAGGTCCTGGGTTCAAATCCCAGTCCTGCCACTTACTGACTGTGGGGACATAGGCAAGTCCTCTCCCCTTTCCGGGCCCGGCCAGAGTCAACGGCCTCAAGAGATGAATGTGTGAGCCTGAGAGCTGAGGAGGGCACAGAGGAAGAGGGGGAAGCCGAGACAGAGTGTGGGTGAGCACTGGGGGTGCAATGAGAGGAGGGAGGGAGGGAGAGAGAGTTAGAGAGACAAGGAGAGAGACAGACACAGAAAGGGGGATACAGAGACAGATACACACAGAGAGAGACAGAGACAGGGGGAAGAGGGAGAGAGGGAGAGAGAGAGACAGAGAGGGAGAGAGACAGATACACACAGAGAGAGACAGAGGCAGACAAGAGACAGAGACAGAGGGGAGAGAGGGAGAGAGAGAGACAAGGACAGAGACAGACACAGAAAGGGGGAGACAGAGACAGATACAGACAGAGATAGATAGAGGCAGACAAGAGACAGACACAGAGGGGGGAGAGGAAGAGGGAGAGAGAGAGTCAGAGAGGGAGAGAGACAGAGACAGATACACACAGAGAGAGATAGAGGCAGACAAGAGACAGAGACAGAGTGGGGAGAGGGAGACAGAGACAGATACACACAGAGAGAGACAGAGGCAGGCAAGAGACAGAGACAGAGGGGAGAGGAAGAGAGGGAGAGGGGGAGAGGGAGAGAGAGAGTCAGAGAGGGAGAGAGACAGAGACAGATACACAGAGAGAGAGATAGAGGCAGACAGACAGAGACAGAGGGGGGAGAGGGAGAGAGAGAGTCAGAGAAGGAGAGAGACAGAGACAGATACACAGAGAGAGAGATAGAGGCAGACAGACAAAGACAAAAGGGGGAGAGAGAGAGACAAAGAGGGAGAGAGAGATAGAGAGGCAGGGACAGAGACAGACAAAGAAAGGGGGAGACAGAGAGAGACAGACACATACACACAGACAGATAGAGGCAGACCAGAGGCAGAGGGGGGAGAGGGGGAGAGAGACAGAGACAGAGGGAAAGATGGGGGGTTGGTCAGCAGGGTCCATGCTGTAAAGAGGTCCCAAAGGATGAGGACTGAGGAAAGATCCTCAGATTGGGTAGTGAAGCTATAATTAGTAATTTCGGAGGGAGCGATAAGCTCAGGATCCAGCTTGTAAGAAACACTGAGGGGTGCAGAGGAAGTATAGATGGTGAATGGGAGCAATGAGTGTAGACAGCTTTTTCTAGGGGCCTGGGGAGACAGAGGGAGCCAGCCTGAGAGGGCAAGATCCTCGAGCACATTGAAAAGGACCAGTGGAGGAGGAGAGGTAGCAGAGCGAGAGCACGATGGAGTAGGTCGGCTGGCTGGAGAAGACAGGGGGAGGGGGAGGGTGGCATCCAGGGCCCTGGGAGGGAGGCTGGCCGCTGTGAGCAGATGAAGCCAGCGGGAAGCAGGAGCTTCCACGTGCTGCCCAACGTTTCCTCAAAAAGTACAGCTTGGGGTGGGCTTGGGGATCAGGTGGGGGGAGACATGGGGTTCTGCAGGGAGGGAGGCATGAATCTAGAACATGTCCAGTCTTGTGCCCAATACATCTGATGAGGATTTGCTATCCAAGATACATAAATAATGAATAGAAATGGTGAGGCCCAAAGCTGTTCCCCAACAGATAAGGGGTCAAAGAATTCTCCAAAGAAGTGTCAGCCACAGGAATGAATGCTCCCAATCACTCATTTTAACCATTTCACTACCCTGGGACTTGAGGCAAGTCACCTCACCTGCCCAGGCCTCAGTTTCCTCTTCTGTCAGATGATCTTGAATGCTAGCCTAATAGGTACAAAGGAGGCGTCACAGCGCAGAGCACCCAGCCTAGAATCAGGAAGTCCTGAGTTCAAATCTAGCCTCAGACACTCACTAGCTGTATGACCCTGGGCAAGCCACTTCACCTAAACTCAGTTTCTTCATCTGTCAAATGGGGACAACCTCACCTACCTTGTGAGAACCGAAGCAGATAATTGTAAAGCACTTAGCACAGTTCCCAGCACACAGTAAGCACTATACAAATGTTATTATTGTAATTATTAATAATTGGAGGAAGGGAATAAGCACTTATTACACACTTACTCTATGCCAGGCACCACACACAAATATACTCTCAACAACAGCCCTGTAGGGGTAGAAGGAGCAGTTCAAGAAACTGAGGCTCAGATGAACGAGGACCCACGTGAAGAGAAGCAAGGTCTCAAGCACCCCCAAGGGACTCTGACAATGGAGAGGTAGCCAGCCCCAAGTTAAGGGGCCCCAAACCCACAGCCAAACAGATGCTCTGAGAGGGGGGGCCAGTCCCCCCTCGGCTTTCTGCCCATTTACCTCTGCTGGGAGCACCAGAACCGGCCCGGGCTGCCTGAACTCCACTCTGAGTTACACGCCGGGAACTGCTGCCTCTGCTGGTTTTCTGTCGCCCTGGCCGAGACTCCCTGGGCCATGGTGGCCTCAGCCAGGAGGAGCGCAGGAGTGGGGTCTCCATTCTCCTCGTAGAACCTTCCGATCAGCTTTCCTGGTGGCAACAGGTCAACATGAGTGCAGCAGGGGCTGGGGCTGACCGGCCCCCCACCTGCAAAGCTCCGGATCCCCAACGTCTGAGCTGGAAGCAGCAGTCCCTCCCTGCCCCAGCCTCCCTCTGTCATCTCTGCAAATCCTCCCCACCTCACAAAGCAAAGGCCCCTCAGTTACAGTCCTTTACTGGATTACAAGCTGTATGGGGGGGGCCCCCACCGACCCACTGCTGCCCCTCAATCCCTACAACCATTCCTCTGGGGCAGTGAAGGTCTTTTGTGTGAATTATTATTGTACCAGCACCGAGTGCATCCTGTACATGGTCAGCACTGTGGTAAGTGCTAGGAAACACAGTTCCTGTCCAGTGAGAGGCATAACACAGGCAAGAATCACCATCTCACAAAACAGCACAGGGCAGATGCATCCGAGGTGAGAGGTGTTAGTGGGTCCGTGGTCTTTGTCAAACTGGAGAATTGGGGGGAAGGCAGCCCTGAGTTGTAAGAGCCCCCAGAGAGCAGGGGCTAGCTCAGGCTTCTATTTGCATCCCCAGCACTCAGCATACGGCTTTGCCCATGCAAGCACTTAATTACAAATGAATAAAATGCTTCATTCATTCATTCACTCATTCATATGAACTGATCAAGAAAAGTCTGAGCAAAGACATGGAGGTGGGAAATCTCAAAGGACAGCTGGAGAGCATCCTGGTTTGGCTATAGGAGATGATGTGTGAAGGGGGGCGGTTGGTCACAAAGCTGGGAGGGGGCCCAGCTTGCTGACTCACCCGAGCCCGTCTCAGCATTCTTTCCTCATGTCTGATCACCACCTCTAGGTTAGACTTCTTTCTGGATTAGGGTTATGTGGCAGTCAAGTCCTGGGAAATGGCTTCAGTTTAAAATTTCTAAAACGTCCCTGAAACTGTTGAAAGAGTCCAGGAGTCTGAGCTCAGTTAGCCACACACTACCTGGCTTCAGTGAAGCAAACTCACCTCAGACTCGCCCTCCATGATGACGCATGCATGTGTTAGACAGTGTTTGTGCAGGAACGCTCCACTGGAAATCTCTTACTACGCTACTCCAGGAAATGCCTTTCCTTTTATCTCATCATCCTTTGGCTTACTGAAAGGAAGGTATACCAGTGGGGGCTTATGCCCTACATAGTTCAGGTGGATGTGTGGGGTGTTCTAGGAGGACGAGCACCTCTGGTATGAGGCTTGCCAAGCCCTTTTCAGGGCTGCTCATCTACCTTTGGTGTCCACCTGCCACCCAACTCTCACTTGTGACTCCAAGAAGTACCACGCAAAGTGGCCACACCCTGGTAAAAGCACCTCGGCAGACAGGCTAACCCAGGTAACTGACAGGCCTCAAATCCATCAGTGACCCAGGGGCATGTTCACCCCGAGCCATGTGACGACGTCCCCAGCAGAATGGGCAGATGAGAAGTTTGTTCCGATGGCCGTGAAAGTGGCTGAAGCAGGCGTTGCGGAGAGCTTAGAGCCTGGTGGGACACTGAAGACATCAAGGTCTTCACTGCATCCTGGGCCGTTGCCAGGCACCCTGACTTGTCTTGCCACTAGACTGTGATGACTCTGGAAGACAGTGAGGCTGACGACTGTGCAGCTCTGCCTCACTTAAATCCAATCCCACGAGGTTACTGGTTCTCTTCAAAACGAAGGCTGGAGAGTGAGTTCAGAAGTACAGATCCTGAGGCTACCTTCAAACTGGGGTGGTCACCCTCCAGGGAATTCCACTTGTGAGGACATGTGGAGGAGGTGTGCACCAGAAAAGCCAGCACTTGGGAGGGGCATAAGAGAAAAGGGAAGCAGAATTTGCACACTCCTGGCCCAGGCCTACCGAGATCCAAGGAGTGTCTCTATTTCTTCTAGGAACGTCTGCCCTCTAGGAACACACCTGCCCCTCGTACAGAGGGCACCTGCTAACTGCTTCTGCTTCTTCAATTGGAAGACGGTGCCTCTCTCCAGTCTTATCTGCCACCAGCCCTCCTCCTGGCCTCATGGTGGGCTAAGTGGCTCCATTATGTGGTGCCGAGCTGGGACCTCGGACCTCTGGACCTTGCCCTGCCCTCCTCCTGGCCAAACCACAGCTTAGGCTGTGAACTCTGGTCAGACTGGGGAAAGAGAACACACCCCAAAGGATGGCAGATTATGAAGGGCGGGGGGGGCTCTATAACAGTAGGGAGTTGTCGTCCGTACTTGGGAGTGTGGGCTTGGTCTGGAGCCTGAAAGAAGGGGAGGGGAGGGCACAGCAGGCAGTGGACTACAGAAGATGGAAAGGATGCTCGGGATGGGGCTCATCCATTGCAGGTAACAGCAGAGGACAGCATCTGGAGATGTTGGCCACCCCTAGATGGTGGAGATCCCTGCATGTCCTAGGCAGTGCAGGCATGAAGACTTGCGGGCTGGGGCTGGGCCTGCCCACTGGGTTTTAGGGAAATTACTCTGGCATCTGAGCAGGAGTAACCGGAAGGAGACTGTAGGCAGTCCAGGACATCAGAAGGAGACTAGGGACGGTCCAAGAAAAGGAAAATGGGGGGGGCAGCTAGGTGGTGCTGAAGTCAGGAGGACCTGGGTTCAAATCCGGCCTCAGACCAAACACTTGACACTCACTAGCTGTGTGACCCTGGGCAAGTCACTTAACCCCAATTGCCTTAAAAAAAAAAAGGGAAGTGGTCTTTTTCTTCCCTTGGTGCTCTCCAAGAATGAGCCAAACCTTCCTTTCCCAGAACTCGGTTCCTCTTCTACAAAATGAGGATCTCTTAGGTCCTAAAGAATGATGGGGAAGGGAAGACGCTGGAGTCGAGGCCCAGTGAGGACCAGCTTAAGGAACTGAAGACATTTCACTGGGAGAACAGAACACTTAGGGAGCATAATGACCATCCTCAAGTACAAGAAGGGCTCTTCTGTGGAAGAAAGACTCATACACATCGACTGAGCACCTACTGAGTGCCAGGCTCTGGGCTCAGCACTCAGGATGCAAAGAAAGGCCAAGGACAGCCCCTGCCCTCAAGAAGCTCCCCATCCAACAGGGGACCATGAGCAGACGTTAACGCACATGCTACATAAAGGATCAGCAGGTAATAGTCAACAGAGGGAAGGCCCTGGCATGAAGAGGGACTAGGGAAGACTTCCTGTAGAAGCCAGGGAGGCCACTGGTCAGAGGGAGGGAATGAGAGAGCTCCAGGCATGGGAAGCAGCCAGAGAAAATGCCTGGGGCTGAGAGAGACTAGGGTCTTGTTCATGGATTAGCCAGCAGGCCAGGTCATTGGCTCAGAGGTTGCAGCACGGTCTAAGACAGCTGGAAACACAGGCGGGAGTCAGGCTATGAAGGGCTCTGAACCCGACACAGAGCGTTTTATATTTTGTCCTGGAGGTGACAAGAAGCCACTGGAGTTTGAGTGGGGTGTGGGAGGCAGGGTGGCTTGGTGGAATCTGGGCTTTGGGAAAATCACTTCACTGGCTGATTGCAGGATAGACTGGGGGGGGGGCAGAGATTTGAGGCAGACAGACTACACAGGTCCCCCCCAGCAGCTACTGCTAACGGCTGGTATACTCTAACACAAGAGGCAGCTAGCTGGCTGAGTGGCTAGAGTGATGGGCCTGGAGGCAGGAAGACCTGAGCTCAAATCCAGTCTGCCACTGTCTGGTTGTGTGACCTTGGGCAAGTCACTTAACACTTCTCCACTGGAGAAGGAAATGGCAAACCACCGCCAAGAAAACCCCATGACCAGTGTTAGTGTGCTGTGGTCCACAGGGTCACAACAACAGAAGCCTGGGCTGTTTCAGACATAACTGGCAGCTCCCTCCCTGGAGGCTAAGGCTCACTTGTCAGGAACGGCTGGGAGGATCCGGCCCCTGAGGGTTAGACAAATCATCCGAGTCTGATTCTGCGTGAAAGGACTTGGGGCTGATGCCAGCCTCGTGCTCAGCTGCCCTTGGGTATCAGGCCACCTCCAGATCGTAAGGATGGGTGTGAAATCATCCCGGCACCCAGGCTGGGCACTGGAGGGCAAGGGATAAGGGGGAGAAGTGGGAGTGAAAAGGACATAAGCCAAAACCTGCAGAAAGGATTTGGGTTTTCCTTCTTCCAGATCAAATTTCCAAGTATCAACTCATGCACACGAGGGCCCATGCAGCTGCTGGGCTCTGGACAGTTCCCATCTGGTCTTCCTTCGCACGTCCACACCGGACTTGAGCCCAGGATTCTCATACTTAGCTGAGAGAATCCAAGTCAGCACAGGTTTATTAGGCCCCAAGGATATGCAGGACACCAGGCTAGGTACTGGGGATAAAATACAGCAGTCCCTGCCCACAGGACTGGGGGTCTACTGGGGGAGGGCGCGACTTCTCGAAATACGGTGTGGGGCTCTTTTTGTGGTCCTGGCTTTTGGGAAGCCCAAGGATTCTGAAATTCTCTCTTCACAATCTGTTTTCCAGGTCCTTATATACCTACATATCTACACATACACACTTACACACATGTATGTATATACACATATACACGCATATTTAAACATGAGGCATCTTACATTTCCTTCATTCCAGCTTCTGACTGTTTTGTAGTTCTTGTTGTCTCCTAGATGTTAGCTTCTATTTGGCCCCTTCTAACTTTCAGACAGCTTTTTCTTGGGTAAAGTTCTGTACTTTTTACTACAAACTGTTCATTCTTTTTTCCTCTCTTTCGTTTTCCCTCTGCCACTCTCATTTGGATGTTAAAACAACTTAAGGGATCTTCTTGAAGCCCTTACCTCACCTCCTCCAGGACTCTGGCTGGACTTGGACTCGTGCTCTCTGCTTTGCAGCCCTGTGGGAGCTGCTTCCTTGCAAGTTTGTGTCTTGAGCGTCCCCATCACTAGAAGAGCTCTTTAAGGTGGGTTTCTTCTGTTTGTTCATTTTTACAACCTTCTTCATGTGTGGGACTTCACGGGATGCTCTGGCCACTTCCGGGGGGAAATCCCGTAGCTGCCCCACATTCTGGTTTTCTTGTCCCTTCAATACGCCCCTACCCTTTTTACAAGCTGGAGACTGACCTGGTGTGGGGACAGAGAGCATGCCTACAAGCCCTTCCTGGAAAGGAGTCCCACCCCGAGAGATGCTGGCGAGGCCTGGGGGGTGGGGAGAGAAAAAGGCTCGCACCTACGGACACATAGTTCTTCTCATAGAACTGCAGCCAGTCCTGCAGGATGAGCATCTGTGAAGGAGAAAAGTCTGACACATCATCACTCAGTTCCTTCTCCGAGAAGTCCCCGGTCACAAAAGCTCGAGAGGCATCTCGACCTGCAGGGGGGCAGAGCACAGGTCACCTGGTGGTACAAACACCTGGGCATTCGGAGGCCCCGGGGCTACACGGGGGAGGGGTCCTCCCCCCCGCCCGGCAGGGGGCAGAGACTGAGGCCACCTGCTGGTGTGAACCCCTGGGGATGACGAGGGCAGCTGGAGGGCTCCCCACTACACGGGGGAAGGACCACCCAAGAGACCCCTCCCCCTGCCCGGCAGAGGGCAGAGCACAGGTCACCTGCTGGTGCTCCCCCCCACCCCCGCGGCCTGGCCTGATTGGGAGCCCACCTGCCAGGCCACCGTAGGCGCGGCCACGCGCGTAGTGAGCCCGCCCGGCCGCCACGTCGAACACACGGCCCAGCAGTGCCAGGTAGAGACCGGGCTCGGCTGCGCCCCCGCGGTACTGGGCCAGCTCGGAGGCGCGGAGCATCCTGGGCCTCGCTGGGGCTGTCCGGCCACCCAGCAGCCAGGCCGCCGCCCGCCACGGCCGCCGCCACGGCCACGACCACGGCCAAGCTCAGCCGCGGCCCCGCGCCATCGCCCACGCTCCTCCTCTTCTTCTCCTGCATCAGAGCCTGCGCCGGTCCGCCGCCCCTCACAAAGATGGAGGCCGCCGGCCTTCGGTCCGGCGCTCGGCACGTCCCTACTAAGATGGCGGTGGAGAATGATACCTTCCGGCAGGCCTGAGGGGGCGGGGGCCCGGCCGGCTTCTTCGCGACACCAGGCGGCGGTAGCGCTTGACTTGACGGCGCGGAAGCCGGAAGCCGGAAGCGGCCGCCGGAAGCGGGCGTGCCCCGCCCCGCGCCTACGCCTGCGCCGGCGCCGGCGCCAGTCAGGCCGGGCCGGCAGCAGGTACGGTCGGCCGCCGGCCATGGGGAACGTTCCCAGCGCTAGCAGCGACGACGAGGAGCTGGAGGGCGGGGGCTGCGCGTCCCCGGGGGCCGGGCCGGGGGCGGCGGGGACCGACGCCCCGGGCCCGCGCCCCGCTCCCTCGGCCGGCGGCCTGCCGGGGGCCGCGACGCTGCTGGAGCCCGGCGCCCTGCGGCAGGCTGCGCGCCTGGGTCCCGGCGCCGCCCCCAGCGCGGAGCCCCCCGAGGGCTCGGGCTCGGACCGGCCGGTGCTGCTGCGCTGGCTGGAGGAGCGCTGGGCCCGCGGCGAGGTCATGGTCAGCCTGGACCAGCTGTGCGAGGCGCTGGAGGAGCTGGGGGCCGGCGAGGAGGTGAGGGGGGCGGGGAGCGCACCCCGTTCTGGGCCGGCCGCGGTGGGGAGTGACGTCACGGGCAGGAGCGGGGCCACTCTGGGGACCCCCCCCGGAGAGAGGAGCGGCCTCCCATCCCGCGGTCCTCCCCGGCCAGGTCACCGGTGTGACGCTCTCGGGGCCCGGGGGCCTTGCGCCGGGCAGGGCTCGCTGCCCGCGATGCCCGCTGCTGTGCTCCCGGTTGGGGTCCAGCCCTCCCATCACCCGGCCAGCGCGGCGGAAGCGCGGTCTCGGGGCCAGCTGGTGAGGCTCGGAGCCCCGAGGGAGCCTCCCCGGTTCTGTCTGGCTCTCTGTTCGTGTTTTTCAGCCTAGGCCCCTTGGCTGCCAGGGCCGGGGTGCCCGCCGCCCGGGAGCTGGCGCTGACCCTGAGTCCGTGTGTGAGCGCCCACCTGAGCAGCTGCTCACGGAACTAAGCTTCTGTTGGGGACAAACTCGTCCGAGTTAAATCCCGAGTTCAGTCTCCATCCACAGCTCTCTCTCCATCAGGCCCCCCAGCCGGAGGCACACAGCAGGTGCTCCATAGATGCTCCTCCCGCTGACTGCTGGATAGCTCGGGGTTACTGTGACCCGGGGGCCCCAAAAGGCCTCCCGGTGTTTTCCCCACACAGATTACTGGCTCCCTTGCCCGCTTAAACTTGCAGAGTTGATTTTTTGAGCCTGAATGCAGCCTGCTGCATTTGTCCCATCAAATGGCATCTTACCAGCGGGGTGGGGTCATTTGTGATCCTGGTTTTGTCCTGCCACCTGGTAGCTCCTTGTTCCTTTTTTGGTAGGGGGCTCTGTACTTGTTCAGGTTGTTGATAAAGATGCTAGGTGGTGAGTCCCCTGGGGCTGAGCGCAGGTCCCCGGAGTAGTCAGGAAAGGCTTGGAGTAGGTGAGAGCAGCCGAGCTTAAGGAAGTGAGCAGAAGAGGGGGCCTTCTTGTGGCCTGCCGAGTTTGGGCTCGTGGCCCCACCTCCCCTGGAATCCTGCCCTGCGATTGAGGGGGCCTTTAAATCCCCTCCAGAGGAGTTTGTGTTCTATCCCAGTGGGTGAGCTTGTCATGTCCGTGCCTTAGGAAGGTGGTTTTGGCATTTATGGAGGAAGAGGTGCCTGCTATGTGCCAGGTGCTTTGCTCAGTGCTGTGCAGGTGTTGCCTCATTTGATGCTCATAACAACCCTGGGAGGTAGGCACTCTTTGGGATCCCCCATTTAGTGACTTGCCCAGGGTCTCACTAAGTGTCCGAGGCTGAATTTGAACTCGGGCCTTCTAGCTGGGGAGAAAGACTACAAACAGGAGGGTACAGCGTCTGGTTGGGCAGTGATGAAGCCCTGAATCGTAGCTGTAGTTTGGTTGTATGTGAATGGGAAGAAGAGTCCCCTGAGCATTGTTGGAGAGGGAGCCGAAGGCAGTGGACTGGGAAGGTGAGGGGGGAAGCGGGGTTCGGGGCTAGTCGAGTGCGGAGAGAGCCGAGAGGAGCGGGATGGGGTAACATCTTTGGGGGGCTTTGCGATCATCAGGCTCCTGGGTTAGGAGACGCTGCAGAGAGGAGGGGGCCAGGAGTGGGCACCATCAAGGGATGGAGCCTGAGAAGGGACCAGACAGGTGGGAAGCCAGGCCACGGAGCTGTTATTTAGGAGGAGGATGTGGTTTCTGGCATATGCCAAGAGAAAGGTCCAGAGCCAGAAGGTGAAGTGTAAAGAAGGAAACCAGAGCAGAGGAAAGGTGGAGAGCCCGAGGAGGCCTCACACCCGTCCCCAAAGGTGGCCTGGGCATGGCATCCGAGGCTGGAGGATGGTGTGGGGGTGGTGCTCCTGACACAGGGCCCCCCTCCCAGGCACAGGGCCCTAGGTCTGGAGGCCCACGTTTGACAGAAGAGGAAAGAGAAGCTGTTGGAAATGAAGGGACTTGGTCAACCCAGCTCTAAGTCCTTGAGACTCATTAATGTTGGTTAGAAAGCCACATGCATTTATTAAGCACCTGCTGTGGGAGGGTCCCTGTGCACTGAGGAGAACTGTAGGAACAGTGTGAGTGCCTTGAGGCTGGCTACACATACGTGCAGAGAAAAGAGATCTCTCAGTCCTTGCTCTCAAAGAGCTTGTGGGGAGAAGGGGAACCTGGGGCCCAGCTGAGAAGAGGATGGAAAGGAAGGCGTCCAGCTGTCATGGCGCAGTTGACTGGGCTGTGCAGGTTTTAAAACATGGCTAGAACAGGGACTCTCTAGGGCTGGGTCCAGGCCGACTTGGGGGAGATGCTTGAAGGGAGAATGTCCAGGCGTTGACAGCCCCGTTCTAGAACAGACAGTCAGACTTGGATTTCTCCTGGATGGCAGCTCTGGCTGCAGGCGGGGAGGTGGGTGAGGCAGAGGATGTGGCTTCTCCAGTGGCTGTGGTCTGAGCTGCCAAGGCCCAACAGGAGCCCTTTGGACCGGGGGTGCTTTCACTCCCTGCAGTTTGGTGAGGAAGCTTGTGCCTTCTCGCTCTTCTTCTGACTGGCATAAGGGTGTGTCCAGAAGTGGTTCCTCATTCCTGGCGAGCTGGCTTTCTGTCTCAGGCCAAAGTCTGACCAGTTCTGGCCTTCTTATCAGTAGAGGAGGCCAGAGGAGGAGGGAGAGCTTGTTTGCTCTTGGAACAGGATTTAACTGTCAAGTCCGAAAAGGAAATAAGGTGAAAATGGAATTTTAATTTGTCAGCAGAAATGAGCCACCCTCAGGCTGAGGGAAGGACCAAAGGACAGTCAATGGCATTCACTGAGCACCTCAGCTGCTTGGGCAGCATCGGGCATCGGGGGGAATACAAAAGGCAGTCACTCGTGAAGCATCTCGCCCGAGCTGTCTGGCTCAGCTGTCAGTGGAGGTTTGGGGTTCCACTCGAAACATTTGGCGACCCCAGATAGCATCCTGACCATGGAAGGAACCAAGACCCAGAAACCAGATGCCGTCCCTTGGACAAATGAAGTGGTCACCCCATCTTTGTGGCTGGGCTCAGGCTTGCTCTTAGAGGGAAGGCTCCGTGGTTGGCTGCCTGACATTCTGGGGCAGAGCAGACTCCTCATTCTCTACCCAGCCAGGGGCCTCCCCCACCTCTCTGCTTTCCTGTTGACCCTCCTTTCTCTGCCTGCCCCCAGCCCTGCGGTTTTCCTTCTCCTGTTCTTGGAAGATCATCAGGACATAACAGAGCCCTGCCTGTCCTTGTCCAGTCAGACTCCCTGGTGATAGCGGGCTCCAGGGGGTACGCGGGGTCACCGCCCCAGAGTGGTGAAGAAGCCTGTTCTCAGCTGGTCCCTCAGGGCTGCTTTTCTCTTGTGTTTGAACTTAACATTTCTCCCCAGCTCTGCCCTTTTCATCAGGGATGCTTAGCAAGTCCTCTGCTCCCTCAAGGTAGCTTGGTACTCGGCACTTCTGGGTGTGCTCTTCCGGGTCCTTTGCCTTCAGGAGGCTAAGTCACATTCCCAGCCCTCTCCTCTGGACTGTGGTGGCTGCTGCGTTGTGTGGGATCCAGCCTTGGGCTCCCGGGCTCAAATCGTTGCTCTCCGGCTGCCGACCGGGGAGCTCTGGGCTTTGACTTGGAGGTTCTTCACTGGGGGGTTCTTTCAGGAAGTGACCCATGGATTCTTTCTATCTCCAGTTTGCCCTTTGGTTCTGAGAGATCTGGGCAGCTTTCACTTCTTGAAATAGGACGTTCTGAGCTCTTGTTTTGGTCGTGGCATCAGGTGGTCCAATGATTATGATTCTTGAATTCTTCTTCCTCTTCTTCTTCTGTTTCTGCCATGAGATGCCTTAAATTTCCTTCTATTTTTTTCAGCCTTTTGACTTTGTTTGAATATTTCTCGCTGTCTCCCAGTCACTGCCTTCTTTCTGGTCCATTCAGAATTTCAGGGAGTTTATTGCTTGGACGAGGTCTTGGGCCTGTTGTGCCAAGACGTTCCCTCCCTCTCCCCTTCTTTCTTCCCTAGTTCTCACTGCTTTTCATGTTTTTTCCTCTAGTGCTCACATTTTAGAACTACACTTTTACTTCTTCTCTTTCAGGAATTCTAGTTGAATTTGTGTCCAAACTTTATTTTTCTTTGAGCTCTTACTTGCAGATATTTTGGAGTTGTTCTCTTCTTCTGAGTTGAGGGTCTCTGTCACCACAATAGCTTTTCATGGTGGGATTCTTTGTGTGCTCCTTCTTCCAGCCTACTTCCTGAATAGAACCCTGGAACTGAAGTCAGAAAGTCCTGATTTCAAATCCTGCCCCAAGCACTTACAAGCTGTGTGATCAGGGCATTTGCCTCAGTTACCCGCACTGTAAAATGGGCATACTGATAGCACACGCCTCGCAGGGCTGCTGTGAGGGTATTTGTAAAGCACTCAGCACAGTGCTTGGAGCACGGTAGCGGTGCTGATCGTCACTGTTGTTAGGGCTGCGTTCTGTGTGCTTCTGGAAGGTAGGTCAGCGCTGGTCCTGTTGTGGCTTTCTGTGGGTGTTGAGTCTTCTCAGGGATAGCGTGTCCTGGGCACGTGCAAGCCTTCAGGCCTTCCCAAACGCTGGTCACAGACCCCCAGCTGGCCCCCTGGGCTCTGCAATTTCCTCCCTTGTGTTTGGGTTTGAGCAAGAGCAGATATTGTTGGACTCGTCCCCTGCCAGCCAGCTGGGAAGCTCTTCCCTCTGCTCTGGCGTTCCTGCCCTGGGATCCGACTAAAATTGGAGCCGAGAACCCTGTTCTGCCTCTGGGCTCTGAGCCAGGCTGATGTGCTGGCTTCTGGAGTTGCTTCTCTTTCAGGGTACCACTTCCTGGCGGTAGGCCCCCTCCTCGGTCTACCCTGGACCCGTTCCCCAGAACTGAGCCGTGAGCCACGAAGCAGCACCTGTCCCTGCACCCTGTACAGTGTGGCCCTCTTTGGACTTGCCCCGATACACAGCCTCTGCCATGCTAGTGCGCCCTTGTGGCTGGGCATGACTCACTGTGGATTTTTTCTTGGATTCCCCCAACAAGATTTGTTCCGGGGAGGAGTTTTGGGGGGAGCTCCTGACTTCTTCCTACTTCTCTGGCATCTGGTTCTGCCTTCTTTTTCATGCTGTCCTTACAGGAAAAAAAGACAGAGGCCAGACGCTAATGTCATTGGGCTTGGCCGTGGTTGGGTGTGGGAAAAGAAGAATATGAATGAGGTGGTGGTGGCAGACCCATAAACTAGTGCAGCCTTTCTGGAGGGCAGGGGAGAGGGGGCCCCCAAAGCCACTAAGCGCACCTCATGACCCAGCGATTCTGTGACCGGGTCACTGGCCCCAGGAGGACCAGGAAACTCAGGGGACCTCTGGTGGGGAGCAGCCAAGCAGGTGGTGGCTGTGTGGTGTGTGGTGTGTGTACGTATGTAGTGTGTGGCAAGAGAGTACGGAGAGGAGGCTCTCAGAGATGAGGGAGAGGGGAATAAGCTGCTGGGCTGAGTGCCGAGCCAAGCTGGACAGCCCTGCGGGGGCAGGTCCCGGAGCAGAGTTGGTTTTTGCTTAGTTGAGGGTCTTGTTTTCAATGGCATGGAGCAGTAAGGTGTGAGAACAGCCTCTGGGCATTTTCTCTGGCTGCGCCCCTTGCTTGGTGTGCCTTCCTCCCCGTGTGGGCCTCCGGCTTCCCTCAAGTCCCAGCCCAGATCAGGAGGCCTTCTCTGGTCCTCCTTCATTCTGGTGCCTTTCCTTCCTTGTGTGCTTCATTTGTTCTGTGCACAGCTGCTTGCCTGCTGTCTCCTGCCAGACCATGACCTTCTCGAGGGCAGTGCCTGGTATGTCGTCAGTGCTTAATAAGTGGCTATTCCCTGATTGCCCAGAAGGCAGAGATAGAAGACGGAATGTTGTTTTTGAAGCATGGCCACTGGCCATTTTGTGCAGGCCACGGGGATGGTTTAGGAAGAGGGGACCAAGACGGCAAGGTGGGGTGGAGCCGGGTGTGAAGCTCTTCAGTGCCCCATGGACAATGTTACGCATTTGGTGCCCTGACATTCGCGGCTCACAGTCACGAAGCAGTCAGACCTGAGCTTGGCCCCTGTGTGGCAGAGGGAGACTGATGAGGAAGGCCGTTGCCCAGTCTGGGAGAGAGCCGGGTGTTTGGGGAGGACCTGAGAGTCCAACTTGTTAATGACAAAGCTCAGGCACCTGCGAGTCCCACCGTGGGCGAGGGGGAGGAGAAGGCATTTGGCCTGGGCCTTCCCAGGGCCCAAGTGTCTATGGGATGCTTAGTTCAAAAAGTCCAGTGGACACTCCGTAACCTGGGGGGGCTGAGGCTCAGGCTGCAGAGGTTGGGGCTGGACCGCAGATGGTGTGAGTTGTTCACACGGAGATGACAGTTGGGCCGTGTAGAGGACATTACTTCTCCTGTCTCTCCTCTGTCCGCTTGCGCCTCGGTCCTCTTTGCGCCATTGTCCTTTCCCTTGCTGTCCTGGCCTCTGGGTGACTTCCCAAGAACGCCTGGGGCCCTTTCCATGCAAATACCTCCCACCCATCTGTATATCCATGTAACCCCCCCCCACCCTCGTTTGTGAAGGGTGCCCAGAGAGAGGGCTACACAAAAGCTAAAAATCATTTCTGTTCCATGAAGTCGAAAGGCCTTTGCATAAACAAAGGAGGTATCTAGGGGGCATGAGAGGCAGGCTGGGAAATGGTCCTCAGTCTGCGACATTCGTGTGTGTAAAAGTAACGTTCTGCAGGGCCACGTGGTACAGATCTGGGACGCTCATAGTCACTGAGCTTAGCAAACAGGCAAAGACGGGACGTGTGGGTGGGGGTGACCATGCACAGATTCTGGGAAGCCCTTGGGAACTGGGCTCGAGGAGTGAGGAGGACCATGGCCAGCGCCCTCTGAGCTCCCTGAGTGTGTTTGTGGTCCTGCCCTGGAAGGAACAGAGATGCCAACATGTGCACAGAGCAGCTACGTCCCAGGTGTGCCCGGGGCAGGGCTCAGAGCCTCCCCCGCCTCTCACTAGGGGAGGTGGAGGAGAGAATGCTGGGAGAGCATGTGTAGTTTCTATGGCTTTGCTTTTTCCCCTCAATCCTTGTTGAAAGGGATGCCTTGCTGGGGAGGAGATTGGAAAATGAATGTAATGTTCAAACAAAGGGTGTCAATAAAAATGAGATTACATTAAAACCCCAACAACACAAGAATTGGGGGGCCCTCTGAAGGGAGGAAGGGTCTGTGTGACAGGCACACAGGGCATTTCCCCAGGAGGGGGAGGTCTAAGGGGCTCGATTATTGGCCATGAAGCCTTGGGGGTGGCTCAGGGCAGGAAGAAGAGCAAGAGAGGGGTTCTGTGTTGAGCCACACTGCTCAGCCTTAGCAGGGGTGCCTGGAAGTAGAGGCGGGGGTTCCGGCCACTTAGTATTTCAAGGGCAGGAAAGGGACTGGAGAATGATGATGAGGGCCCTGGGCATGTTCATAGACACGGGGGCAAGAGGGCGGTGAGAGCAGGTTGTCTTAGGGGCAGGGGCAGGGAAGATGGGACCCAAGGACCCCGAGGCAGGCTTAGCCTTAGCAAGGAGGGGAGGCTCAGCCCAACACCCTTCATAACTTTGGTGTAAAGACAGAAGTGAGGCCGTTTGGCCTTGAGAGGTGGTGGGGCGAGCGGGGCGATGTCAGCTGAGGCCAGTGGAGAAGGCAGGAATATCTTTGACTGAAGTGGGCTGGAGTTCTAATCCTGCCCTCAAAGGCTTAGGAGCTGGTGACCCTGGGCAAGTCACTTAACTTCTGAGCGTCAGTGTCTTCAGCTGTACAGTGAGATTTATTAGAGCATTCAGCCACTTCATGCCACTGTTAGATCAGGCATCTGAATGTCTGCCAGCATCTGTGGAGGGTTTACCCCATCTTTTTATCTCTCAGTTTCTCCCCCTCCTCCTGTGTCTCTCCCACCCTCTCCCTCTCTCTTCCTCCTCCCTCTGTCTCTGTCTCTCCTTCCTTCCCCCTCCCTCTCCTCCCCCCTCCCTCTCTTCCTCTATCCCTCTATCTTTTTTCTCTCTCCTCCCTCTTTTTCTTCCTTTCCTCTTCTTTTTTTCTTTCTCCCTCCCTCCTCTCTCTCTCCCCTCTCTCTCTTCTTCCCCCCTCTCTTTTTCTTCCTTTCCCCCTTTTCTCTCTCCCTCTCTCCCTGTCTTTCTGTCTCTCTGCCTCTCTCTCCTCCTCCCTCTCTGTCTCTTCTCTCTCCTTCTCCCCCCCTTTTCTTCTTTTCCCCCTTTTTCTCTCTCTCTCCTCCCTCTCTCTTCCCTTCTCTCTCTCTTCCTCTCTCTATGTCTCTCTTCTCTCTCCTCCCCCCTTTTTCTTCCTTTCCCCCTTTCTCTCTCTCACTTCTCCCCTCTCTTCTCTCTCCCCCCTTTCTTTTTCTTCCTTTCTCCCTCTTTTTTCTCTTTCTCCCTCCCTCCTCCCTCTCTTCCTCTCTTTCTGTTTCTCTGCCTCTTTCTCCTTCTCCCCCCCTTTTCTTCCTTTTCCCCTTTTTTCTCTCTCCCTCTTCCCTTCTCTCTCTCTCCCTCTCTGCCTCTCTGCTCTCTCCTCCCCCTTTTTTCCTCCTTTCTTCTTTTTCTCTCTCTCCTCCCTCCCTCCTCCCTCCCTCCTCCCTTCTCGCTGTCTCTCTCTTCCCCCTCTTCTCTCTTCTTTCCCCTCTCTTTTTTTCCTCTGTCTTTTCCTTTCCCTCCCCTTTCCCCAAGGCCTCTCATTTCACATTCTTGTTTCCTGCCACGCCATCATGTAAGCAGCCGCCCTAGGGGACATGTTGCAAGAGGGCACATCGGGGATGGATGTGTCAGCGTGTGGCCCTCCTGGGCTGTCAGTGCAGGGAGGTGGTGGGAGGCCACTGGCCCTTGCTCCATGAAGAGGTTTGTGTCTTCCCCACTAACTCGGCCGGATTTTTTCTCTCTGTGGTAGATCTATGCACATTTTGACATCGAGTGGAAGAGCACAGTGGACGTTGAGAAAATGCTGGAGACCCTGAAGAGCTGCAGGGGCACCAGCCTTCGAGGGGAGCTGAGTTACGTCACCAGGAAGCTCCAGGCCTGCTCCCTGGCTCCTGGTGAGGCATGGTCAGCGGTGGCTGGGGCTGATGCAAGGGAGCCCTGCTGAGCCCAAGAAGGCTTACCGGGGCCAAATCTTACCTCCTGAAGCACAGCTTCACTTGGGGAGAAGTGAAGGGGCCTGATTTCTGTCCCTCTAAAAGGGACGAGCCCCTGGGCTGTGCCACGTCATGCTGGAGCGCCAGGGCTGGGCAGAGGACCCCTGACAAGGAGGAGGACGGCAGCCCCCCGCCTCTCATGGAGGCCCCTCTGCTTAGGGGCAGAGCTTGGGCCCCCGGGTCCTCCCTGGGACTTCTCTCAGGGCTCCCGTGAGGTGTGTTTGCCCAGTAGTGGTTACTCTGCTCCCCCCCTGCCCTCCCATAGCCATGGTCAGCCACACCAGAGGGCCTTTGAACACACGTTGCCAGCGGGCCCCGTGGCCAGGCTGACCCATTCCCAATCCAGGCCATGGATAGTCCGTTAGGACAGCCGCAATGATGAGGGTGGGCTTCCAGACCAGAAGTAGCCAGTGAGGGACCCCAGCCCACCCAGGGGTCTCTTAGAAGATCAGCTCCTTTGGTTTATTTCTAACAACATTTCTCCAGCACTTTGAGGCATAGAAAGTACTTTCTGTACGTTCATAAGGCAGCGGAGTTGTGCAGTACATAGAGCACTGGGCTTGGAGTCAGCAAGACCTGGGTTCAAATCCAGCCTCAGACACATACTAGCTGTGTGACCCTGGACAAGCTACTTCACCCTGTTTGCCTCAGTTTAGATGAGGATCCTGGAGAAGGCAGTGGCAAACCGCTCCAGTATCTCTGCCAAGAAAACCCCACGTGGGGTCATAAAGAGTTAGACACACCTGAAAACAACTAAACAACATTACGTAGATTATCTCACAACAGTCTGAGGGCGAGGTGGGGGGGTGGGGGGTGAGGGTTATTGAAACCATTTTGTGGATGAGAAAACTCACTGAAAAGAGGCCAGTGACTTTCCCAGATCCCAGAGCTGGAACATGTCTAAGGTACGATTTGAACTTGGCTCTTCTGGGGCCGTGGAGGGCTCCTGGGCTCAGGTAGCCCCTCGGTGTGGTATGGGGCAGGCCCAGAGCCCCCGGCCCTCACAGGACTGTCCCTTTCTTCTTGTAGGTTTCATTGACATCTTTTCTGAATCCAAGGAGAGCCTGGGCGTCTACTCCTCCATGATCTTGCGATTCCTCCACCAGAAACGTGTCGCCAGCATGGCGCTTCCATATCCGCTCCTGGATTATTGCCACACCATCTGTGCCATGAGGTCATCTGTGCTCAGAGAGTCTCTGGATCAGCTCGTGCAGAAGGACAAGGGTGAGGCTCTGCCTGCTGGCTTCTCTCCGAACCTTGGCCCACGGGCTGGCCAGGTGGGTGGCGGGGCCGGCATCCCTCTTCGCTCCGTGTTGCCATGGTCTCATTGGGCTCGCGAGGCCCCCAGGGGCCTGCTGGGTGACCTGGAGGAAGAGGAAAAGCCTATGCAAAGGAGACGCAGGAAATAGGCCTATGGATGGCCTCACGTGTGACACGACTGTTAAAGAGATGTTAGGGGGCAGCTAGGTGGTACAGTGGATAGAGCACCGGCCCTGGATTCAGGAGGACCTGAGTTCAAATCCGGCCTCAGACAGTTAACACTCATTGGCTGTGTGACTCTGGGCAAGTCACTTAACCCTATTGCCTAGCAAAATACAAAAAAAAAATAAATGAGTAAAGAGATGTTAGGCGAGATCACATTTACTGTGTTTATGGAGAGAGGGGAGGTTTTAACGTTTTAGTAAAATAACTTAATTCTGAGAGAGATTTTTACTGCTTTTTTAAGACTAATGCTAGGCGATGAGTGAGGCAGTCCTGGGGTGGGCAGGGAGGGAGGTGTGTAAAGCCATGTCCCTGGGGGCTCTGTGAGCGGTGCTTGGGTAGCAGGAGAGTCCAGGGGTCCCCTTGCACTTCCACGTGGCCTAGGGCCAGGAGGTCAGACTTGGGCAAGGCCGTACCAGGCCACAAGGGCGTCTCACAGGCACGTGAGGTCGGGTTGAGGGAGACAAGCTAAGTTAACAGGGCTCTCACAACAACCCCCTGTGCAGACGGAGGTACAGTGACTTGGCCTCATCACACAGTCAGGAAATGCCCGGGGCTGGCTCCGAGGGTGCAGGCTGATGGGGTGGGGTTGGGGGTTTCCCGCAGCCCTCAGCAGAATGTGGGGGGGAGGGGTCATGGGCTGGGAACAATAGAAGGGAGCCCCATGAGAACCCTGGGGGAGGCGCTGCTGCTAACCCCATTTTACAGATGAGGAAACTGGAGCACACAGGTGAAGTGACCTGCCCCGGTCACACAGCCAGACGTTGGCTGAGGCTGGATTGGAACACGGGGCTTGCTGACTCCAGGCCTGGTGCTCTGTGCTGTGGCACACCCTAGCCACCTCTAGGCTTCGTGAAGGCGAGTCACGGGAGGTAGAGCTAGAATGTGGGCCGCGGGTGGTGAGCGCCAGGCTGCACAAGGCAGCGAGAAACTCTGCGTGCGGCCCAGCACGTCCAGGTGGCGGCGGAGGCTGCCAGGGCGGGGCGCGTGTGACGCCGCTGCGTTCCCTTTGCAGAGGGCCCTGGGGAGCTGAGCCGCAGCCAGGAGTCCGAGGAGCTCAAGGCCGTCGCCAAGTGCTACACTGTCATCGAGACATCGTCCAACTCGGCCGACATAGACAAGATGACCAACGGGGAAACATCCTCCTACTGGCAGTCCGACGGCAGCGCCCGCTCCCACTGGATCCGGTGAGTGGCGCGGATAAGCATGGCTGCCCCGTCTTTCAGTCTCTCCCATGAGCCCCGAAGGTCGCTCCTCGCGGGGCATTGGGACACCAAGGACCTGTGTTCAAGCACCCTTGGACCTCAGGAGCTGCCGTGTCTGCTTCTGACGGCTAGCTCCGTGGCAGGGCGGGGCCGCAGCCCAGGCTGCCTTCCTGTCCCTTCTGCCTGTGGCCCAGCTCTGATGGCTCTGATGCAGTTGGTAGGCCTGGAGCCTGGCCGGACTCACCTCTGCCTCGGTCCAGCTGCTGTATGAGGGGGCCCCGAGAGCATGTGGCATTTGGCCGAGCCCCTCCCCCGAGGGCAGCCGCCTCCCTTGGTGGGGGAGGGGGGTTCCAGTGGGCACTGAGACAGTTACTGAGGGACATCAGGAAGGGCGGCTGTGCCAGATTCTGTGGGTTCTGAGAGAGAAGGGTTGAACCTCGAGTCCAGCCTCGATCCGGGAAGTGCCCAGTGTAGTGGGGTTGTAGGTGGGCCTCGGCCTCACCTTGGAGGGGCGGTTTTGAGTGCATGGGATGGACACAGTGTGTCCCCTCCCCCGCGGCCTCCCCCCACGTTTGTACGTATGCACATGTGCGCACAGGCATGCACGCAGATGGTATCCATATCGCCACAGATTGTCTGGGAAGAAGCACACAGGGCATGACTTTGTCGGGAGAGCATGTCCGCCTTCTTCCGAAGGCGTGGCGGGAGGGCGGCCGGTCTCCGCGGCCTCCTCACTTGCCCTTGTGTCTTCTTCACAGCTTGAAGATGAAGCCAGGTGTCGTGCTCAAGCACCTGTCCATCGCCGTGGCAGCCAGCGACCAGAGCTACATGCCGCAGCAGGTCACAGTGGCAGCGGGGAGGAACGCCAGCAGTCTTCAGGAAGTCCGAGATGTTCACATCCCCAGTAATGTCACCGGCTACGTGACGCTACTGGACAACGCCAACCTTAGTCAGCTGTGTGAGTGCCGTGGGCCTTGACCGGGGGCAGTGGGGTCTGAGGGTCTAGGCCTCTGCGCGCTGGGGTAGGGGCAGCCGGGCCATTTGGCAGAGGCAGGGGAGCCGAGCTCTCAGACATGCCTTCAGGAGAGCTTGGCTTAGCACATTCCCTGTTAGCCTCCTCACCACATGCACTCCGGGGCAGCCGTGGCCACTCCCAGGAAGGAGTGGTGCCCTCGGCCTCTCCCTGCACTTGCCCAGAAAGGCTGTTCTCAAGCCGCCTGAATACTTTCCGGGGAAGATTGTCCTCAGTTAACGGATTGGGGGCTTTGTAGGAGGCTGGGGGTAGGGCTGAGCGGCGGTCTTCTCAGAGGCTCTGAAAGCAGAATTCCGGCACGTCTGGGTCCCACCTGGGCCCTCGGGGCAGTGGAAGCCCAGGGAAGGTTGCTCCAGGCCCCATCTCCAGTTGAGCATAGAGGCCGGGGCACCGCGTGGGAAAGCATTGACCGCGCTCCCGGGCGTGCTGTCGTCCTTGGCAGATGTCCAGATTAATGTGAAGCGCTGCTTCAGTGATGGCTGTGATACCAGGATCCATGGGCTGAGGGCTGTGGGCTTCCAGAGAGTCCGTCGAGGCGGCGTCTCGGTGTCGGACGCTTCTGCCATCTGGTACTGGTCCCTGCTGACGTCCCTGGTGACGGCATCCATGGAAACAAGCCCAGTATTTGTTCAGACGATTCTGCAGAACACTCAGTAAGTGGCCAAAGACCGGGGCCGGTGGTGGGGTCAGCCCCACAGGCCGGGTCACTCAGTGTACATCAGGAGGGACGTGAAGACATTGTGCATGGGAAGAGGAAGGGCTTGTTCCCAGGGGCTGGGCAGCAGCCTGGTCCCTCAGGATAAACGTGAAGCGTCCGCCTAGCGGTGGCCTCTGAAGTCCCCTTTAGCCTGGAATGAGGGGGGCAGATAGAGGGAGGCGTGTCTCGTGATCTCTCTGATGCGGGGTCCCCGTCACTCTCGGTGCCCACTCCCCCCACGTGCCCTCAGCTTGCTCTGTCAGGCGCGCCGTGTTCAGCTGGGAAGGACACAGATCAGCAGGGCGAGTCCAAAACAGGGTGAAGAGTGCGGAGTCCATGTTGTTCATGGATTGGTCGAGAGAACAGGGCGGGGACGCTGTGGGGGAACGTGCTTTCCGGCTGGGGCTGCCGGTTGGGTAGCTGCATGGAGGTGGGGGGACTGGGGGTTTAGGACGAGGGTCTCTGGACAGAGGCCATCAGTTCTCCGGAGATACGTTACAGCCAAAGCATCGTTGGGTCTCTGGCGTGGTCAGTGGCAGCGCGGTGTCTGCTCTGCACCCCTGCAACCTTTTGAGTGAAGAGCACTGAGCTTGGGGAGCAGCCTCGTGAGCAGAGGGGAGCCAGGCAGCGAGGCCTCCCCTCAGCCCACTGTCTCTGGCTTTGTTTCTCCGTCCAGGAAAGCCCTGCAGCACATGCCACCGCTGTCTCTCTCACCAGCGTCGACCGACGGGGCCAGCTTCCTGTCGCCCAGTGTCCTGGGCGAGGTGGACGGCTTCCTGGTCAGGATCACTAGGTGGGTGCCCCCTTCCTGTCCTGCCCCCTGCCAGATGTCACTTCTCAACCTTCTCTTCCAAGTAACGTTGCTGGAAGACATGGGGGCTCCTCATGCTCAGCGGGGCGGCGACAGGTACCGTCTCAGCTGACGTATCCGTGTAGGCTCAGCGCATCCCAGAGTCACGTCCTGGTGTGTCACTGATTTGGCTCCTAGGGAGGAAGCCGTCTTGGTAGAAAGGGCTGCCCCAGACCAGAGGGAGGCCTGATGACTGCACTGTGGGGCCAGTATGGCGTGTGCAGAGTGATGAGGGCGGGCTCCCAGGAGCCTTCCCCTCCTCTCCATGGCCTTTGCTGGCAGGAGCCGCTGCTTTCTGTCCTCGGGTGCAGGGGGCAGCAGCCTGGGGGTGAGGGTGATTGCTGCATCCGCGACCCTTTCCTTCGATTAAGCACCCCGCTCCTTGGGGGAGTTGGTGCCCTCATCCCTTCCTTCCCTGTCTCTGTTGGAGCCCCCCGCCCCGCTTCTCTGGCCGCACTGCTTCTCTCCTACCTGACCCTCTTACCTTCCTGAGGCAGCAGGGAGCTCAGCCTTGCTCACTCCCAGGAAGCTCTTCCCAGCGTGGTGTGCTCCACTCCCTTTTCCGTGCTGACTTCGTAGCGGGTCCCCAGAACAGTTTAGGGGGGCTAGGGCAGGTGGCCTGCCTTCTACAAGGAGCCTTGATGGGCTTCAGTTACTATGACATTCAGTCTTGGGTGGAAACTCTTGTTGGACCTGAGGAGTTCCCCCTGGGGGTTGTGGGTTTCTCCCTGCGCGTGGGCCTTGGCTCGTGACAGTATCACCAGGTTCACCGCAGTCCGTGGCGGCCCCCTCTGTCGTCTTCTGCGCCCCAGCCCCGAGCCGTGAGTGACTGCTACTGCTTTTCTCCCGTGCGCATCTAGAGAAGTGGAGCCCTAACCCCTTTGCTCTTGGTTTGCAGTTGCTTGGCTAACCCAGAAGTGGAGTTGACCCTGCTGGCCTTTGCTCTGGCCAGAGGGAGTATCGCCAAAGTGCTCAACTCTCTGTGCACCATCACCGACCACTTGGACGCCATCTACCAGGCCTCGGCCCTGATTTCTTCAATGGCCACCGTCCGACAGACTCTGCTTTATAAATATGGTAAATGATGCTGCAGGGAGTTAGTTACCTGACGTTCTTGGAGACAGGCCCCATGCCGTGAAGGTCCTCCCAGCATCGCTGGCTCTGGGCAGGGGCCTCATGTGCCTTGGGAAGGTTACCCTTCTGTGGAGGTCAGTCGGACCCTCCGAGAACAGGGCCGGTCTTTTGGGTCGCCTGTCTTGGGTGCGGGTGGCTTCACTGTTGGCGCTGCCCCTTCCTGCGAGCCTTCCCGGGCGGTCGGGAGCTGTTGGCCGGGAGCACCCCCTCCTCACCACAGCCCGGATCGACGGTGTGTGGGTGCTGCCGCCTGACAGTCACGCCCAGGCATCAGCTGTTGCCCCCACACGGCCTCGGGGGACTCAGCACCAGCCCCGTGGGGTGGCCTCTCCTTCTCGGGCCGGTGCTGGTGCCCGCGAAGCGTCTGGCTTTGTTGTGGTCGTGCTCCTACATTTAAATGGGGTTGTGGTTGTCAGCACGCCGTACCCCTCCCTGCTTGGCTGGTGGATGTGACCGGATCCTCTTTGCCTGTCAGGCAGGATCCTGCAGCCGATCCTTCAGGCATGCGACGTCAAAGGGAAAGAAGAAAGGTCGGGGCCAGAAAACCTGCTGGCTGAGCCGTGGACCGGAGATGGTGAGTAGTGAAGGTGCACCAGACGCCGTCAGTCTCGGGAAGCTGTGTGGGGCTGACACTGGGGAAGACAGAGCTGGTCTGGCGGATGTGGGGGGGGCAGCACCCCATCAGGAGCCACCCGCGGCTCCCCATTCTGTCCCCTCGAGTGCCGCCTCACATCCTCCTCGAGGCCTCTCTCACCCCTTTGCAAGATGACCGAGTCGAAGGATCGGTGGGGGTCCAGGAGGCTGTCCAGGCCACCCCACCCCAGAAATGAGGCCTGACTGACCCACCCCTCAACTGCTGGGACAGCTGTCCTTGTCCTTCTCACCCTGGAAGTGAGACCGGGCTCCAAGAGCCGACCTGGAGTCACCACAGGGGTCCGCAGAGGCTAGGCTCTGGCGACCTTGTCCGGCTCTCCCGTGCTCCTGCCCGGAGGAGGCCCTTCGCTTGATGGGCTGGACGGTCTCTCGATTCTGTCTGCTGGCCTTGCTCTGGGAAGCTCTGCCTCGAGCCCCTCCCTCTCTCTCGTGAGGCCTGGAGGGCGCGGGGCCAGATGGCCTCCGTCTAGTCCGGCCTTGCTGGCCGAGGGAGGCCGCCTGTCGGCCTCCGGCGTGACTCTGAGGTACTGATTCCCAGCCTGTGCTGCCTGGGGGCCGACTTCCCGCTGGGGCTGAGTTGGAGGCAGGCGGGCCAAGGTTCACGGGATCCTTTTTCACCCATTTTTCAAACTTGCTCCTGAGTTGACATGAGGGATGTTGCTGACCCCTCGTGGTCTCAGGCTGAGCGAAGCATTATCGGGAGATATGTCTGCACATCTGGGGACTTATTGACAAAAGCACTTCAAAACACACTCCCTCAGATTTTCAGCACCTGTCTCAGGTCATAGGGCACGTGGCCTCTGATGTTGTCAAAAAGACCCAGACCAGAAGCCTCCTTTCTTGACGCCGCTCCTGCTCCTTGGAATCTGGTCTGTGAAGCCGACGGAGCGATTGCTGTCCAATTGTAGAGAGCCACATGGCGAGCTGCGTGTGACACAAGGGAGAGGATCGGCCAGACGAGGAGGCCCGTGGCCCTCTGTGCGTTGGGGTCGTCGAAGGCGTTGGCGCCATTTCTCTGGGAGGGTCGAGGACCGAGGAAGAGCTGGAGCCGAAGCCTCCACCGTCCTGAGGCATGGGCCCCTTCCGCATGGATCCTGAGCAGGAGGTGGTCGCGGGCCGCGCGGAGCTGTGTGTGTCAGAAGGCAGGCCGGGGGCCAGGCTCCAGCCAGCGCCGGCGCACCTCGAGTCTTGGGAAGTGTCCGGGGAGGAAGGTCGCTGGGCCTTTGGCCGGCTGACGCCCACAGGATTTATCGTGCCGGTGTCTTCAGGAGCAGCTTTGTTCTTTGCCATTTGTCACCGGCCCCAAATGGGAATGCTGGAAAGGGCCTCTAGACTGTGGAATCCCGCCAGCACCATTCATAATTGAAAGAGGAGCCTGAGGTCCCAATGGGTCACTGCGGCGGCACCTAGGGCACTGGGCGGCCCCAGACTGGCACCTGAGGCTCCGTGCTGGGCCCTTACCTCTGACCTTACCCCTGCCTCGGTCGGCCCCCCATCCCAGCTCGGTCATGAAGGCAGCGGCCTCAGAGTCAGTGAGGGTGATCTGGAGAAGAGGAGGCTCAGCCAGGGGCTGGGGGGAGATGGCTCTAGAGCCATCCTGCTGGGCCTGAGGAGCGGGACTGCGGGCTCTGCCCGGCAAGTTGCTGCTTGAGCTCGGGGCGGTGGCTTCCTTACACGGTGGGGGGGTGAGGGTGGGGACGGGCAGTTTGGGTGAGGTGCACAGTGGGGGATTCTGACTCCGCTGCCTAGTGGCCTCCAGCTTGGAGGCTCTCTTGATGCCGAGAGCTCAGCCAGATTTTCTCGTCAGGTTTTCTCACCGAGACGGGCAAGACCAGGGCGAGCGTCATTTTCTCCACGGGCACGGAGGTGGCCTTCCAGGTCACGCAGCTGAGGATCAAGGTAGTTTCTCCTGGGGATCCATTTCTGCTGCGGTGCATGTGGGGGGTGTCTGAATTGAATTTTAGAGACGAGCTGGCTTCCACAGCCACTACTCAGGCTTAGGCCTCCCTCGGGGAGCACCAGCTGTCACCGGGTCAGCAGCCTTGGCTCCCCCGGAGAGGTCCTGAGAAGCAGGGGCTGTGGCCTCCACCACGGGCCTCCGCGCTTTTCTGAGGAGCTTCAGCTCGGCAGCCACAGCTTCTGTCCGTGTGTTTGCTGTGCTTCCGTCGTTGTGCGTGGGAGGTTGTTGTCGGGGACGAGAGACGAGCTGTCTCGGGTGTCAGAGGGGTGGCTGGCCGTGTCCAGCTGGTCCCTCGGGGCCCCAGGTTTCTTCTGTGAGCACGTCCCTCTTTGGGGAGATCGCGGTGGTGGCGGGGGGAAGGTGTTTGGATCTTAGGCAGTTCCTCCTGGGGCTTCCCTTGGCCTGGGGAAGCAGGGATCCACTCCTGGCACGAAGGACACGATCGCCATGGTCCTCATAGGCGGTGTGTATTTACAGAGTGCTTTAAAAACACCGGCTCGTTGAATCCTCACAACCACCTTGGGGGGTGGGCCCCACTTCATACAGATGAGGAAACTGAGCAGGCAGAGGTCTTGATGACTGGCCCAGGGTCACCCCACTCCAGGAAGGTCCTGGAGAGCAGGCCCCCACGGTCCCTGGCCGGCCTGGTGGCCTCCAGACATGCCATTCTTTTTTTTTTTTTAAACTTTTGTTTTTAAAATTTTGGGTTCCAAATTTTCTCCCTTCCTCCCTCCTCACCCATCCTCATGGAGAAGGCAAGCAACTCGATACAAGTCATACATGTGTAGTCATGCAAAACACTTCCATAGTAGTCATGTTGTGAAAAGATAACTCTATTTCCCTTCATCCTATCCCACCCCCCATTTATTCTGTTCTCTCTTTTGACCCCGTCCCTCGTCAGAAGTGTTTGCTTCTGATTACCCCTCCCCAACTCCGCCCTCCCCTCTGTCAAACCCCCCCTTCCCCCCTATTTCCTGTCAGGTCAGATAGATCAGACAAGCCATTTTTGGCACATGGTGTAAGTACCTTGAGGTGAGACTTCACAGAGTGCCTGGCCGCGAGTAGCTACTTCCCAGACCCACAGAAGCAGCTGTTGACGTGGCTTTTCAGTGTCTTGGCGTGTCTTCTGATTGAAGAAAGCTGGTGGGAGGGTCAGGCCGGGGTGGATGGTTCCAGTTCTCTTGTAGCTTCTGGAGGTTTTTAGAAGGAGCCCCTCGGAGCAGGATCTCTGTGCCATTCCCAGGTGCGCCGTGGGGACATCGGGGCCCAGTGTGGGCTGGTGTTTGCTTATAATTCTTCCTTGGAAAAGTTCCACGCTGAGGAGCACTTTAAAAGGTTCGAGAAATATGACACGTGGAAGCTCCAGGAGTTCCGGCAGTTTTTAAAAAGCAGGTAAGGAAACCGTTAGCATTGTGGCGGCTTTGATCGATCCAAACCGTTACTTAGGGAAGGTACCCTTCTCTGTGTGAAGGGTAGCAGGCCAGAGGCCTGACTGAGAGGCTGGGGAGGAGGTCTTCTCTAGCTGTGCTTTCCCAGCTTGACAGGCACCCTGGGTTTTTAAGAATCCGTCTTGCCCCAGACCTCTGCCTTGTCTGGTCCTGGCCTCCTTGTCCCTGAGAAGCTGCCAAGCGTGGCCCGAGACGGTCCAGCGGCGGAGCTGGGCTCTGGGCCTCGGCCCTTCCGCACAGTCCTCCAGAGAGGTCCATGAGAGCCCCAGGCTTGGATCCAGCAGACCCGTCTCGGGAATGTGTCCGCTTCCTTATGTGTCTGTAAAATGGTGCTCAAAGGCTCCATCCTCTTCCTCCAGAAGATTTTGGATCACACAGCAGCCTAGAAGAGGCGTGCTACCAGGGCTCCCATTTTACAGATGAGGAAACTGAGACTGAGCAAGGCTGGGCCACACAGCCCGTCAAGGGCCATGGCAGGGTTTGGGCTCGGACCTTCCTGACCCCAGCCCTTGGCCTTCTCTCCAGGGCCCGCTATTGGCCCCTGCGTCTCTCGCCATTGGCCGCCTGGGGGGATCTCTTTGTGACCTGGCTGGCATCCGAAGCTGCCTTTTTCAGGGGTCACTTGGAGTTATTGCTTCCCGTGAGTGACGTGGCCGTCCTTTCGTGACTGCCTCCTCTTTGTTTCTGATGTGGAGCTTTGTGCCAGCAAACCCCCTCCTCTCCTTTTCAGGCAGGGGCGAGGCAGGTGCTTTTGGCCCTCTCCCACTGACAGAGGCGCCTGTCGGTGCACCAGGGTGCGCGTCAATGGGACACAGGTGCTGCTGAGAGGGCACCCTGACTGTGCTCAGTAGTGGGAGGGGCCCGGGACCAAGTGTGAAGCTGTGGCACCCCCTTTCCCCCAGGAGGACCCTTCCAGCTAGGCGTTTTCTTGACGTGAATCTCGACCCCTCCCCGGTCCCCGCCCACAGCCCAGCCTCATTCCTGAGCAGCCCCTCAGAATGGGGTCCATGAGCAGGGGGCAGATGGCCAAGTGTCCATCCTCGGACCTGGTGCCTTATTCTCCTTTGGCCCAGAGGAGATAGGGTAGTGTCTGATGATTTCTGTCGCTTCGCAGGGTGGGTGGCTCCTCTGCAGAACTCGGGGAGGATGAGCCGGCCGGCTGGTTTGAAGCTGAGGAGGACTGGGACGAAGTGGATGTGAAGATGCAGCAGTGCCGGGTGGCCAAGGTCAGGCCAGGAGTTCATTCCTTTGAAGCCGGCCTCGTCTGGGGTCATCCCCGTCGAGCAGGGTCGGGGCAGTCCCCCAGGGCCTCGTCGGCGGTGGCTTTCAAAGCCCCTGTCCCAGACCGAGGCTGCGAGAAGCTGGGCTGGCTTCAGCCAAGGGCTCCTGGGCGGCAGATCTGCAGGAGCGTGGGGCTGGTGTCCGCCTGAGAGCAGCTGGGCTCTGATGTGCTCTGAGGGCCCGAGCCCCTTCCTTCCAGGGGGACGAGCCTGTTTCCCCCTTGGGAACGTTAGAGTTTGTGTGGTGGGGGGAGGGTTGGGACCTCAGCAGCCTCAAAGGCCCCCCCAGATCTCACAAGTGCTGGGGAGGAGGCATCAGGCCTTTCTCAAAGTCACTTCCTCCTTCGTTCTAGTATTTGATGGTCAAGTTCTTATGTACGCGACGAGATACGGCCGAGCGCCTGGGTGTCCAAGGCCTGAGCGTGTATGGCTACCTGCGACCTGCTGGTGTGGAGCTTGGCCCGAGCACGGACTGCGCCACCTGTGACCCCGAAGCCAACCGCATCTGTGGCATGACCCTGCTCCTGAAGACGCTGTCCTTTGTCCAGCAGCTGGCCCAGGACCTGGTATGGCGCCAGGCATGAGTGGGGTTGTGCTCAGGGCCTGGAGGATGGAGGCCTCCCTGCTTGGGAGGGGGTAAGGTTGGCATCGTTCGCTTCCTTTTGCAGTGGGGTGACATTCCGTTTCAGTCCCTGTTTCAACCATATCTTTTTTCTCAAAACGCAAGGCGCGACAGAGAGAAAGCGGCTTCAAGCACAAACCGCTGCTGGACATGGCTGGCCTCAGCCTGCGGGTCGTCTGGGGCTTTTACAGCAAGCTGGAGGCCAGGTGAGGTGGGGTGGGGGTCCGGCCTTCCCTTCTCAAGCTCTGGGGCCGTATGGGCACCCCCGGCTCTGGCCCCGGGCCGTCTGACCTTCCGTTCTTCTCCCTAGGCCAAGAGAAGAGTGCGTCCTGGCACGGATCATGCTGCTGCAGCTTCTCCAGAGCTGTTTGTCCGAGCTCTCGGCGGACCCCCAGCCCAGCGCCACAGCTCAGAGCAGCGGCAGCGTGCAGGCTGCCCCAGAGGAGCTGTACACACACCTGTGCCAAGGTAGCGCCGGGGGGGGGGGGTTGGACCTTTAACCTCGATGTTCAGGGGCCCCCCTCGGGGCCTCGAGGACCGGCCAGAGGGGCCGTCCTGGGAGCCCCGTGGTCGAGGATGGACGTTGCTTCCTCTTCAGGCCTGTTTGCTCTTTTTCATCCCGGTGGTCCTGGTCCCGGCGCCCAAAAGCGTCACCAGATCTTCTCCGAGGTGTGAGGACCGCCGCCTCAGCGCCGTCGTCCCTCGGGCTGGCGGGGTCCCTGTAGCCACTTTCCATCAGTGGCCGGTCACACCTCCCCCCTTGGTTTTTTGTCAGTGGCGGACCGGGCCAGCTACGACTCCTGGCCAATGAAAAGGCTCCAGGAGGAGGTGAGGACAACGCTTCTGCAGGGAGCCGCTGTCTTCTTTCCCAGTGGCCTCGCCCGGCGCCGTCATCTGTTTGCCATGATGGTGAGTGGATCGGATCTCAGGCTCCACAGCAGCCGTGGTCTGTGGGCGCTGGGGAAAGAGTGTCGGACGAGGCTTCGCAGCCCAGCCCGGGCAGGCCTGTTCCATCCCTGCGGGGCCAGTGACCGGGGCAGGGGGCCGGACCAACCTAGAAGGGCACGAGTAAGGGGACCTGCTCTTTTTGAATAGGCTCTTTGTCCAGGCCGTGGGGTCGCTCTCGTGCCTGCCCCACGGCCTTCCCTGGGTTCCCTGGGGCCTGGCCGCCCTCCCCTCTCTGCTAGTGCATGAGCCTCAGCCCCTCTTACTTCTATCGTCGCATCTGAGCAGCCGTGGGCGCCCAATGAGTGCGGGGGGCTGCGGCTGCTGAGGTCGAGGCCTCCAGCCCACCGTGGAGAGCCCGATTACCCAGCCTCCAGTGTGCCGTGGACGTGCGGCCACGTCGCCCCCCCCTTTGCCACACACAGCCCTGTTCCTCGCCAGGTCATTCGGGGTCGTCCTCAAGTCGCCTTTTTTCTCACTCCCTGGCGTAGTTTTCTTCTGGGAGGTGTCGACTGCCTGGGTGCCCTCTGTCCACACGGTCCTTGAGATCAGGCAGAGGTGGTGCACTGTCCTGCGCTGACCTCCACCTCTGCCCGCTGGGCCTCTCGCACAGGCTGCCGGTGGGCACTTCTTGGCTCCCTCCTGCCCAACGTTTTTGCAGACATGTTCTTGATTTCCATCTCATCCTTCCTGCCCCGCTTCTTGCTTTCTGACTCCCTCTCCTTTGGCAGAGGCTGCACCTCCAAGCATCTTGGCCATTCACAGTTGGCTGGCCTCATTCTGCCGGCTGACCGGGCCCAGCAGGGTGGATGCGGGGGGTGAGGGGACCCCATCCTTCCTGGCCGTCCCGTCCTTGGCAGGGGAGCTTTCTGAGCTCAGATAGAAAAACCCGACGGGCAGCCCCTTCCTTCCCAGAACTGAGGGTCCCTTTGAGGAGACGAGTGAGGCCGGTGTGGAAGGCAGGGATGAGCTCAGCCACTTGGAGTGATCCCAGGAGGGCAGTGCAGCCATGTTCCTTGGTGCAATTATGGGGGCCAGTGGCCCAAGCGAAGCAAAAAGGGTCCAACTCCGTTTTGTGTGTGGGGGGGGAGGGTGTGGTATGTGTGTATGTCTAGTGTGTGTGTCTGGAGGGTGTGTGTGTGTGTGTGTGTGTGTGTGTGTGTGTGTGTGTGTGTGTGTGTGTGTGTGTGTGTGTGTGTGTGTATGTCTGGTGTGTGGGGGTGGGGTAGGGTATGTGTGTATGTAGGAGCCAGTGCACAAGGCAGTTGAGCAGGTAGTGAGAACGCTTGTCCAGCAGCATGGTAAAGGATGCCCGGGAGCACCAGAATTGTGGGGGTCAGGGCACAGGCCACTCCCACCTGGTGATATCTCTGTTGGGTACATCAGGTAAGGGGCTGTGGCTTCACCCCTCAGTCTTACTTGAGAGGCCTTTCTTTTTCTAGCCCATTGTGTTTTCAGAAAACTCCTAAGGCACGAAACCTAGGGGCTGCGTTGTCAAAGAGGACATTTGGCCCCAGATAGAAGCCTTTACTTTTGAGGAGGCACCACACCTGCCTGATTGTTAGGGTTCTGGGCTGTAGCGAGGCCCCCATGGCCCCCAGAGCCCCAGGCAGTTAGCAGCCTGTGCCAAGGTGCCATCCATCCACCTGAGCGCCTGGCCTTTAGGCCCCGTGGCCTTGGCACCTGTGTTCTTGACCGTGGGGCCCGGGCCCGGGGTCTCCCGTTGGAAGGTGGTGAGCTGGAGTCTGTGCCGGAGACTCTTCCTTTGGCGTGGCCCCCTTAGAAATGCCATGGGGGTCCTGGAATGGGCCGTCTAAAAGCTGTCCTTTTTGTTTCCCAGAAGAACATCACGGAGCCGGAGCAGAAGCCTTCTGTGCATCTCACCTTCCGGTCCTTGTGCACGTATTTCAGGTGTGTGGGTCCTCCCAGGGCTGGCCCTGCGGGTCAGGGATGGACACGCTTTGGGGGAAATGACTCTCTGCCTGCTGGGGACCCCTCATCTTGGGGGTGGGCAGGCCCAGGGCTTTCTCCAGGGGACAGCAGCCCCTCTGGTCTCTGGCAGGAGAAGCGATATGGCGGCAGAGAGGGCCCACCTTTGCCGGCCCAGCCAGTGGCCCCCGAGTGAAAGGAGGCAAGTCCGGGGCCAGTCGCCCTGCTCTCCACCAATGGCTCCATGGGCATGGATGTGGCTCCTGCCCCTGAGGAGGCGGGGGGAGGGCGCGCTCCATCCTGTCTTTCCGTTCTGTCCCTGAGGTCAGAGGGTACCCGGGAGAGGCCCTGCTCACGAGGCGGCTTGTGTTGTTACAGTGGCTGTGACCCCGGGGGCCTGTTGCTGCTTCCAGAGAAGGGAGGTCCCGAGGGGCTGGACGTATGCGAGGTGCTGGCCGTCATGGACACACTGCAGGTGGCTGCTGCCCGCGAGGTAACTTCTCGGCGGGCCATGTCACGGTCTGGCGTAGAGCGGTTTTGTCAGCGCAGGGCCTGTGGGACTGGATGGGATTTGTTTTGTACCTAGGGAGGTGGGGTCGGATGCTCAGAAGGGGACCCTCGACAGGAAGCCCCAGCATTTTATGAGCTGGCCCCTGGTTGAGTGACCACTCACCCACCCCAGCCGTGACAAACTCCACTTAGTGTTCGGGTGGCAGGGGCTGCCTGCACAGGGCCTGGCTGTCAGCTGCTCCTCTGTGGACCCTGGATCGACGATGCCCAGCATGTGCTCCCTTTTCCTGGGTGGCTGTGGTGGAACCTCCGTTCACCCCTCTGCTCTTCCTCTTCCTCGCGGCTGACAGCTAGGCAGAGCAGAAAGGGCATCCCGGGGACGTCAAAGGTGTGTCCCCAGAGGGGACCGAGCCTAGAAAGGCTCCTCCAGGCCCTTCTGTTTGTCTAAAGGTGTGCAGGCCCTGAGGGCCCAGCGTGCCAGGAAGGAAACGAGCCACAGGTGGGAATTGTCCAGAGGGTGGCCAGAAGCAGAACCAGGGGGCAGGGAAAGGAGGCTGGCTGATATGGAGAGGTGCCTTCCATCTGTCCATCTATCCATGCATCCGTCTGTCCATCTGTCCGCCCATCCATCCATCCCTTCATCTGTCCATCTGTCCCTCCATCCATCCTTCCATTTGTTCATCCTTCTATCCATCCCTCCATCCATCTCTCCGTCCCTCCGTCCATCTGTCCATCTGTCCATCCATCTGTCTGTCCATCCCTCCATCTGTCCGTCCATCCATCCATTCCTTCATCCGTCCATCTCTCCATCCATCCTTCTGTCTGTCCATCCTTCTATCCATCCCTCCATCTATCTGTCCTTCCATCTGTCCATCTACGGATACTGAGGGCATATCCTAGTATTCTAGTGCAAGTTGGCCTAGGACCGCCAGGGAGGAAGAGAGCAGGCTTTGTGGCCCACGTGAGTTTCTCCTCATCTTGTTCATCCTCCCGTAGACGCGAAGCCACATGGTTGGAGGTCTTAGGAGCCCCTCACCCTGGGCCCCAAGGAAGGCCCTTCTGGGCGGGCACAGGGAGTCCCCTCTAAGTCAGCAAGGCCGTCCAGGAAGAGGCTGGACCGCGGTGGGCATTCAGGGCATTTAGGGTTAGCAGCTGAAGGCAGCGGGCCCGTCCACAGTCAGGGAGCCGTCTGGTTTGGATGGCTTCAGACTCTGTGCGGAAGCCAACTCTGTGTAGACCCAGAGGAGGTTGGAGGGCCAGCCTCCTGAGGGCAGCCTTTAGCGGGAGGTGTGCGCATCTCCAGCCTCTTTATCTTGCGTCTGAATAGTGGGAAGATGAGTCCCTTGCAGGTAAGCCACTGTTGTGGCTCTCTCTATTTGAGCTTTGTTCAGAAGGGGCCATTTTCACTGTATTGATAAAAAAAATGTCTCCAGGCTGACTCCCCTTGAAGGCCCCCACAAGAGTGAACCACCGCCATCTTGTTCCACGTCTCTCACCATCCCTCCCCCGGCCCCGCCATCCTCTGGACCAGGTCCCCTCTCTTTTGTGTGCTCTCCCCTGATGTACAACAGCCCCCCTTTCCCGTCTGTTTTTCCCAAGTGCCTCCTTCTCCGTGAGGCCATTTCCATCCAGCCCCCCAGCATCTCCATTCTCTGAAGCCCATTCCTTGAGCCGTCCTCTCTGCCATGGAGATTGTTAGCTCCCCGAGGGCTGGACGGGCTTCTCTGGTCAGACCTCCACTGCCCACTGAGGCAGCTCCTCTTCTGGACTCATCTTGTCATGGCAGGCTTTGCCCTAATATCTGGGGCGTGTCCCCCTTCCTCTGGACTGCCTGTCTAGTGCCTGAAGGCATCAAGGCTTTCCCCCAGCCCACCACCAAAGTCTGCGTCTTGGGCAGATGGCCAGACGGCACAGACTCGAGGCTGTCCCTCACCCCGTTGAGCTTCTCAGCCCTCGCTGTGGCTTTGTCTGGCTACAGCTGGGCTTGCTGAGAGCATGCCCCCCAGCTGTCCCCCCACTGCTGTCCCCGGAGCTGCCTCACACTGCTCTGGTTGGTGCTTGGGACAGGAGGGATGGGCAGCAGATGGGGGGCCAGGCCGCCAGAGCTGACCCACTGCTGGCGGCCTCTTGTGCTGCCCTCGGGCCCCTCATAACTTCCCTGACCACAGTGGCTGTTCTCTGTCATCTCCTCTGGAGGCCCTGGTTTGCTCTGGGTGTGTCTGCAGCCAAGTGGGCCATGCCTGCTGTGGAGCAGAGGGTTGCGGGGCTGCTTGGATTTGCCTCATCATCGTTTCATGCTCCCAGACAACCCAGGCCAGCCTTGCCTGCTTGCCCTCCACTAACAGGACCCTGGTGTGCTTGGGAAAGACCAGAAATGCCCCTGGCCCCGAGGGGCCCTCCTGGGCTGGGCCCTGGGGCCAAACATACAGGAATGATTGGGGGACCGTCGTGCAGTGCCCCCCTCCAAGACAGCCCCAGGGATGCCCAGGAGAGGTCCACCTGCCAGACCCCTAGGAAAGAAGCTGTTTTGCTTGAAAGTCGGGGAGCCCTGGATGGTTGTGGGGCCAGGACTGGGTCTTAGAGACCTCGGGTGTGGACGGGAAACCCGAGGAGGAATGACCGCCTGCGTCCTGAAGAATTAGGGAACAGGAAGGGCTGAGTGGGGCTCAGGTGATGTCACCTCATCTGCGGGGCGGGGCTGGGGGGCAGGGCCTGAGGAAAGGACCACAGAGGCAGTAGGCCCTCCCTCCTCTGAGGTCAGTGAAGGCCACAGTCAGGTGCAGGATAAAGGCCCGGGAGGCCGGACAATGCTGTGATGAGTGGGGTGTGGGGAGACCTAGGGGCAGCTTGTGGCATGGCTTCGGGCTGGTGCTCGCCCTCTGCCCGTTTAGCACCAGGCACTGACCCTCCCCTCCTGGTGCTCTCTTGTAGTGTGACATGCTGATGCAGGGTGTGGCCCCAGGGGAGAGCAGCCCTGCCCTATTTTCCCTGCTCTGGGCCGTGCAGGGCAGCCTGCTGTCCTGGTGCTACCTGCAGCTGAAGGGCAGCGAACCGCAGGCCAAGAAGCTGGCCATGGAGATGGTGGAGAGATGTGAGTGGGAGCCCCGGGCCGGGGGGGTAAGGGGAGGAGGTCATCGCACTCGGGGCCCCACGCCCACACCCGGGCTCCTTCCTCGCTGTGTGGCAGCATCACCCCACTCCTGCCCACACCCCAATCTCTCCCCCGGCCACAGCTGTGTGGCAACTGAGTAGGAGGCACTCTCGTCATTGAAAATGCTGAATTGTTTTCATTTTCTTTTGTTAGATGTGGGACAGTTCCTGGCTAGCGTGAGAGTAGTTTTGCAGTCACTTTTGTCCAAGTATGGTGGAAAAACAATAGTAGAAAATTTGTGTACCTCTGTGTTTGCCATGGCGACCCGTCAGCTGGTGAGTGAGCACCAGGGACAGCTCTTGCAGCTGGGCGCGGGGTGCTGCCTGTCACGGCTCCATGACAGCGCCTTCTCCCCACTCCCTGCAGGTCATCTTCCTGCTGGACTTCTGCCCCTTGGACATCCCACACTTGGCGCTCTTGAAGGAGTTCAGCACTTTGACATCCCTCTTGAAGGACCTCTGCAGTGACCCCGATGGAAGCCCCAGTCAGGTAACTCTCACTTCACATTTCTTTTCGTGCTGGCTTGGGAAGCGTGGGAGCAGCCCTTTGCTCCTGTCGGGCCTGCCGAACGTCGGCCTCCCTGCTCCCCTTCCTGGCTTGCTTCCCAGCCATTCTGCTCTTTGGGACGCCAGGCCCCAGCAGTGCCTGAGGCATCGAGGGAAGGAGGCGTCTGGCTCAGGCACTTTCCCCGGCCTCCTCCAGCTCAGGGCAGGTCGTACGCAGCATCACTGACCTGCGGTCATTGAGCTGAGGTCCCGGAGAGATGGGGCTTCTGGCCCAAAACTGAAGGGAGCTGGGAGCCCCCCCCCGGCTCCTTTTGAGGGCAAAGTCGTGACCGTTTCTATAGAGCTGTGTGTGGGCCCCACGTGAGGGATGGGCTCCCAGGGAATGCACGGGTAACAGCGCTCTCTCGGGTGTTTCCTCGTCTAGAAGGACATGGACGTCTGGCAGCAAGAGAAGCCGGTGGTGTTGAACACTTGGGCAGTGGAATCTGCCCATAACTATAACAACAACTGCCACGAGGTGGCCGTCTTCCTGAGCCCGGGGGCCACCTCCTTTGAGGTGGAGTTTGATGACAAGTGTGAAACGGAGACCAGGTCAGTCTGGTGGCTTCCTGGGCAGCCCCACCCTCCCCTAGCCCTGGAGCAGGGGAGAGTAACAGAGGGCGTTGCCTCTGCAGGTACGATTACCTAGAGTTCACCGACTCTCGAGGCACAAAGACCCGCTATGACACCAAGGTCGGCACGGACAAGTGGCCTAAGGTGAGGGTCTTGATTGGGTGCGGAGAAGGGACCTGGGGCCTAAGCAGTGGGGAGGGCCACGGCATGGCCTTTGGGTTCTGGAAGGTGGCTCTGGGGCGTGGGCAGGGAGAGGGTCCTGGGCCCATGGTGGCTCCTTCCCTTCTTCAGGGGGAATGAAGAGCCCTTGTTTGGAGCATGGCCAACTGGCCAGATCCCTGTCTTGTTACCCTCTAGAAAGTGACCTTTAAGGCTGGCCCCCAGCTGCACTTTCTCTTCCACTCGGACAGCAGCAACAACGAATGGGGCTACAAGTTCACCGTCACAGCCTACGGCCTGCCAGACGTGGCCGTATCCTGGGGCCTGGACCTGCAGCTCCTGGTCTCCAGGCTGATGGGGCGCCTGGCGTCCCAGTGTCTAGCCTTGCGAGCAGATCGTAAGTGGCTTGGTCAGTCAGCTGACGGCGTGCTGACTGGGGTGGGGGTGAGATGCTGCTTGGAGCTTTCTGAAGACCCCAGAGGCACAGGAGCCACTCAGCTGGTCTCATCTTTGAGTGACCACCCTAAGAGATCACAGAGGTGATCTTCTTTTCAGTTTGCAAGATAAGCAGGCGGGTCCCTTGGACGAGCCACGGGGCAGGGGTTTGAATCCAAGCTCTGGCCCTGATTCGCCTTGGACCCTCGGCAAGTCCCATGGGGTGTGGTTGCTGAAAGGCCTCCTTCTCTTTTCAGAGTTAGGGGGGGACGTGGGACTGCCCATGGCCAAAGTGACACCCATCCTTCACTCCCCTTTGTGGAAGCCAGTCTTCAGGCACCAGCTATGCCCGGAGGGGTATCCGGGAGCCTGTGGGCCCACTCCTCCACCCCAGGATGCCAGAGAGGTGTGAGCTCTGCTAGGGAGCGTCTCCTGGGCTGCCGGGAGGGAGGGAGGCCGTGGCTATGTCCCCACCTTCCCCACGTGGTTCTGTAGAGCCACATGCAGTGCCTGGCACCTTGATGAATGGTGGTCTGTGAGTCCATCCTTTCCCCAAAGGGAAAGCCACTTAGGGCTGCCTGCCTGCCTTCCCCTCTAGCTGTGGTCACTCCAGCACCATCTCCAGGTGTTTGGATCGAATCTGTCAGCATTCATGCTGACAGACAGACTCCCTTCCTTTGTCCTGGCGATGCGGGCTGGCCAGGGGTGCCTGGCACACGCATTTGTCATGGATCTCTCTGTTAGGGCTGGGGGTCTGCTGCCGCCAGAAGGCTTTGCACTTACTCCTTCTGGGGCTTGGGGCTCACCCCTACCTTCCGCTCGCCCACGCTTAGCTCCCCCCAGAACGTCTGAGTGTATGCCTGCGCCCCCACCCCCTCTCTTAGCAAACTCTGAGCCCTGCCCCGTGTCCATCCTTTAGGGCCGAGCTGCAGCCCTCGAGCCGGCGGCTAACACCTTGACAGTTCTGTTTTGTCTTCCAGAGTCGGAGTGCTCAGGCTGACGTCTGCCGCGATCTCCTCATAGACTTCGCAAAGTCAGACCCTGCCCAGGGCTACTGTGGGCAAAGTCCTGAGCTTTTCCAAGGACTCACACAGGCATGTAAAAAACAGGCCCTGCAGACAGATAGCGTTGCCGGTTCCGCTGTGGATCGAGCCGTGAACGCCGCATTTGCCGCGTTGGTGTATCTCACGCCGCAGCTGTATGAGAAGCTGCAGAGCTATGGTAACTGTCCCCTGCCGGGCCGGGCTGGGCTGGGCTAGCTAGCAACAGCCGCGCCGCTTTCGGGGAGCTCCCGCCGCTGGCAGCTGCCTTACGTGCAAAAGAGCAGGTCATTTCTCATTCTCTCTGGGAAAATGAAATGCCAGGGGTGTGGGGAGGAGACCCAGAGATGCCCCTGAGTTTTCTGAGGACTCCAGACAGGGGAATGTACGTCTGTCCACATTTCACGAGTCCTAATTTCCTCCTTTGATAGACCCACCCAAGGGTGCCTGAGGAGCTTGGGGTTGAGAGCGGGATGTGCCCAGGCACATGCCTAGAAGTAGGGCAAGCATGCTCTCTAGCCGGGTCCTAGGGGGTCCACATAACGGCCTCCGTCCTAGAGCTGCCTCTAGCTGTCCCGGGGACCTCCTCTGCCAGGCCGCCCTGGTGGAGTCTGTCACTGAGAGACTGGAAGTGTCTGAAAGGCAGGAGCTGTTTGCTATTTTGGGTTTTTTTTCCCCTTTGTATCCCCTAATTCTTAGAGCACCTCGCACCCAGTGGGCTTCAGTAAATGCCTCAAAGGCCCTTATAGTCTGATGGGGTGGAGTACCTGGACCCTGCTGACTGCTGTGAAGGGCTAAGTCATGAGGGGCCAGGCAGAGACCAAGAGACATCGGGGGGTCCCGGGAGGGACTCCTTTCTCTTGAGATCAGGACGAGGTTCCTAGGGGGTGTGGTACCAGAGTATCTGAAAGGGACATGGGCAGGAGCTTCATCCAGGGCACCAGGAGGCCAGAGGAGCCTGTCCCAGATCCGCTCAGACGTTGCTGGACGAAGCTGGGGAGGGGAGACGTGGCTGGGGGAGGCTGGGGAAGGGAGATGTGGCTGGAGGGCCCGGTGGCTTTGGGCCTTGAGCAACCACAGTAGCGTCCGGGTCAGTGTGAGGGGTGCGTGGGAGCTCAGGCTGGGCGGGGAAGCTTCTGGGGGTAACAGAGAAGATGGCATTGCAGAGGGGTGATGAGACTGAGGCAGGCCAGCATCTGTGCGTGGCATCGTCAGGAGCCGTGACAGTGCTCTGGCTGGGCCGGGCCTCGAGCCTCCCCGTATGCAGGGACGCTCATCGGGACCCTCTGCCACGACCTCTCATGGGGCCTCCCTGGGTTTCCGGCCTGGTGATAAGGCTTCACCAGATGGGCAGCCCCAGGAGTGTTAGGAGGAGGGGCCGGCTCCTGCTGCTGGGGAAGGGCTGAGCCTTTTGGCTCTTTCTTGCTCCCGGATGGCTTATTGCTTGTGGGCCTGAGTGGCTGGTGTTGGCAGGGCACCTGAGATGCGGCTTTGTCTCGGCCTCCCTGTGGCATCCCTCCCCCATAGTGTGGGAGAGGGGACGTGGCGGGGGATGTGCCGGGGGATAGCTCAGGTTCTCCTGGAGTTGTCTTGAGGGGATACGAGGCAGCAGTGCTGTCACCAAGCCCCGCTGTGGAGATTTGTGTGTTTGAATGCTTTGGGTGATGGGCAGGGGAGGGCTGGGGCAGGCTTGGGGCACCTGCTGCCATTTGCCTCCCACCATGTTAACGGCACCAGGCGTGCTGTCGGGGCATTCCTTTTGTGGGCTGGCTGGTGACCGAGCTCCTTCTCTTCTCTCCCCAGTTAACAGCGGGGGCCAGGGGGTGCTGAGTGAGGAGTTTGCCCAGGTGTACGCCCTGGCTGAGGGCATCAGGATATGGATGGTAAGATGGTTTTTTGGGTGGGCGTGGGACTTGGCCTTTCCATCCCCTCCTGGCCCTCTGCTGAAAGGGGGTGGACGGCAAGGTGACCTCTGTTTGGTCTCCATGTGGTCTGAACAAGCCCAGCCTGCACGTCAAGGCTTGGGGAATGTCATGTTAGGTCCCGCCTGACCCCGCCGGAGCCCCACGGTAACGGGACCGCCTGTATCGTCAGCAGTCTGGCCCCTGCCGGGGATGTGCTCTGTGTCTGGGATGTCTCTCCTCGTTAAGTGATTTTCTTGGGCCATGACATCTGCCAGACCGCAACGACTTGGATCAACTCCTCTTCCCAGTTAGAAATGAAGCAGAAGTTCTTGCTGGACAAGGGAGACGAGACGGAAGGAGCGTCAGACGGCGATGCACAGGAGGTGAATCCGGAGAGCCTGGGTCAGTGTCCTCGCGCCTTCTTGGGCTTCCTTGTGCTCGTTTGGCATCGGAAGAGGGGAAGAGAATTGAGATGCTTTGTGTGGAGGGAGTTCTAGACAGTTTGGAGAGGTGGCTGAGACCGCATCTAAGAGGTCATTTAGTACATTTACTAGACGCTTACTGTACAGACAGCGTTGGGCTCAGCATTGGCGATAGAGAGATGAGATGTGACCATGTCTCTGTCCTCGGAATTGGGAAGAGAAATGGGAGGCAGTCGCAGAGAAGGGGATGAGTGTGTAAGAGCTCCCACTGGGCTGGGCATGGTGCAGAGGAAGTGACTGACAAAGAGCTCATTGGGGAGGCCAGGTCAGAGAGATGCAAGGGTGGGGAGGAGGGGGTGCCCCGCGCACATCCCAGAGGAGGAGGGAAGATTCGGCTTGCGGGGGGTGGTGGTGTGGCGGCCCTCTAGCGCCAATCTGCTTAGGGCATCCTAGGCAGCAGCCAGGATGGGCAGTGGATAGGATGGCGCTATGATGGGTGATGGCCAGGATGGTGCCATGATAGGCGGCGGCCGGGATGGTGGCCAGGAAAGGGGGCGTCTGCTGTCAGTGGGGGCAGGCTCCTCAGCTGTTTCCCACTCTCCTCCCATACCCTGTTTTGTGCTGCTCTTCCCCCCTCAGCCCGACAGTGCACTCAGAAGAGTCTTTTGTTGCTGCAATTCCTGCCCGTGGGAGCGAGCCCTGGAGCGGGTCCCGGGGAGGCGTTGGCGGGCCCAGATGAAGCCATGCTCTGCCAGCCGCAGGGCCACAGGCATAGGGGTGGCTCTGTGGGGGAGGGGCATTTCCAGGCCTCGGGGCCTGAGAGCCCCTGTCAGCAGGCGGAGGCCTCGCTGACCCCTTCGGGTGTGCCCCTGGAAAGGAGTGCTTCACAGCCAGAAGATGCGGTTTCTCCTCCGTCCACACCGACCCGCAAACCGGCCCTCAGTCGAGGACGCCTGAGGCTCCTCTCTTTCAGGTCTGTGGAGGAGGCCCGGCCAGTGCCCGCAGTGACTGAGAAATACCCCTTTCTCAAGGATGTGATGGACTTCATTAAGGACCAGACGCTTTCCCACGAGAGGTGAGTGCGCTGGAGCTGGGGGGCCGGAAGACCTTCTCGAAATGTGAGGAGGCTTGCCCGCCCACCACCCTACAGACACCCAGGCCATGACCACTCTTTGGCAGCCTTGGCATGTGAGGTTGGGCGGCTTTTTAGTGCAGGAGGCCTCTCCTGGGCAGCGGAGGGTCTGTGTTATGGAGGCAGGCCGTCTGACGGCCATGTCTGTCACCCAGCATTTTGAAGGTCCTTTCTCTGAAGAAGGTCCAGGCCGAGAGTGTCCTGGATGCCCTGCAGGCGGCCCTGCAGTGCCTGGAGCTCCTCGGGCAGCCTCACTGCTTCCAGCCCCCCTGTCTGCTCTTCCTTCTGGAGCTGCTCACCTGCCAGAAGGACTTTGCCAGGTGAGTGCAGGCCATGCGTGGCTCCGTGTGGGGGCACGTCACCCCCTGTCCTGGCTTCCCCGAGCTCCTTGGCTTTGTGCTTGTGTGCCTGCTCGGCTGGGTGCTTCGCTGCTTGGTTGTTTCCTGAGTGACCCAGGCTGCCTACGCCTGTCTGTTTCTAGCTACTTTGGACAGCTGGAGGGCTGCGGGGCAGAGCTGCACAGAGAAATCCGGCATGCCTACCACCGCCTTGTCTGCTTCGTGGCGGATGCCGTGAAGGGCTTTGGCGCCCTCAAGGACAGGTATGGGGGACAGCTCCAAAGGGAGGGGATCAGGTGCAGAGGTCGGCACTGTGCAGCCAGGGATGCTGGGGGGAGGCTGGGCACTCTCTCTCCTCTCTTCTGGCTAGTGGAAGGCTGGCGTGGGGCACGCCCGCCGGGGAAGATTCAGGGCAGTCCTCGGTCTGCTCTATGCGTGCCGTGGGCTGTCCCCCACGGGGGTCTTTGATGTGGATGAGAGGATAGACTCTGAAACAGGAGGCCTCCCGGGGTGCTGAACTGGCAGTGGTTTGGTGGCACCATGATGGCGAGCCCCTGGCTCCTGCACCGATGGTGGGGGAGGGAGACCTGTCCGTCTTCCTGCTTGTGACGCTCCTCGTGGGCTTCTTCAGGTCACTCCTCCCTGCCTTGTCCTGCATTCAAGCTTCCTTGCTCCATCTTCTGGATATGGGCTGGGAGCCCAGCGATCTCCCCTTCCTCCTGGAGATCAGCTTGCCCGAGCTGCTCATGACGATGTCACAGGAGAACATAAGTCTGCACGACAGTGTGATTTGGTGAGTGTGCCAGGGATCAGCCCCTCCCTAGGGTGGGAGGCAGTGGCCTCCCAGGTGCGGCTGGCCTTGTGATGTTTCCTGCTCCTTTGTGCTTCTGCAAACCTGATAGAAGGTCCACTTGTCCTCAGCGCACACCAGCCTAATGGACCATCCCCTAACCTGTCAGGTCCTGGTGTCTGCAGAGCGAGGGAGGCTGGGGTGGGGACGGGGGGGGGGGTGAGTGCCGTGGGGCATGGACACGCTTCTCTTCTGGGGCTTTTTGCTAAAAGCGGGGAGGTGGGTCTCCTTGCCTGGCTCAGGGGCGTTCTCAGTCATTCTTCCTCTCCATCAGCTCTGGAGACAGAGTTGGGGCAGAGCCCTGATTACATCCGGCACTCCCCATTTTTTTTGGCTGCAGACACATTCACCTAATCATCTCCCTGCTTTGGGCATCCCCTCTAGGTCACCTCCTTGCTGGTGCCCTCCGGCTGCTGTCTGAGCATGCCCTCCTAGTGTCAAAAATCCTCTTGTGGGTGCTGGCACCGAGGTAGAGCCTCAAAGGTGACCAGCTGGGCCTTTTCTTTTGGGGTTGCTCTGACTGGGAGAAAATCTTTCCCCTTGATTTGGCTGAGCTCAGCTCTTCACCAGGCCCCTTCTGGATCCTGACTCTTCCCTGATGGCCCTGTGGACATTTGAAGACGTCTGCCTTCCATCTTCCCCTTTTTCCCCCACCTTCCCTGCCTCTTCCCCCTCACACTCGTCCGACCTAAGCCAGACACTGACAGTTTGCATGTACGATGTGATTTCCATCCTCTTCACTGTTCTGGGCGACCTTCAGAGCCCAGCCAGGTAAAGCCAGCACGTGAACTTGAACTTCTTCCCTTCCTCCACGTGTGGCTGGAGGCGGCCTCAGTTTTTCTGGCACCTACATCATGCTGCTGGTGCCCACTGAGTACTGATGCTTTCATTTTGGTGGGTGTTGCCTCCCCAGCTAACTTGGGGGCCCCCTTGAGGGAAAAGACTGGTTTCTGTTCTTGATATACCCCCCCCAGAACCCCAAGAATGACGTGTTGCCCTCCAAGAGCTGCGTGGAGGCCATGGGTAGCAAGCTGGCCCTGAGCTAACAGGGGAGGGAGCTTATTATATGCAGATCTGTGGGCAGAGTCTGCAGCACAGATGGAAACGTCCCAGGGGAAGACAGCTGTCAGTCAGAGGCAGAGGCCCAGGCCCCTGGGGGCAGCAGCGGAACGCATGGTCCAGCCTCTTGGGTGAAATGGGGGGCTGTGGGATGGGGCAGATGGCTCCTGAGCTCCCACTAGCTGGGGGAGGGTGATGCACCTGCAGGGATGTGACGAGGCTGTCTCTCCATACCCGCAGCTTCCTGGGATGATGGCCCAGGGCACTGGGCTGGAAGCCTGGCTGCTCCCAAGGCTCTTGGGCCTGAAGCCCATGAGGGTCTGAGGGGACGTGGTGGTCCCCTCCAGGCTGCCTCCTTTCTGCCCCAGAGAGTGGCACTTGGTTGGGAGTTGGTAGGGATGGCCGGCCCCTTCTCCACAGGAGGATGGCTGGGCTGACAGCAGGAGCCATGGGAAGGGAAGGGGCAGGGGGCTGCACCGTCCTTCCCAGGGCTCCTGTGCTTCTGTCTGCCCCCTGGTGGCTGTCACTTGGCAGTTGCTGGTCTTGATAGTGAGGATGATGGACCCATTGTGTCTCTACGACAGTTTCTTCCCTCTGGTGGTGTAGGGGACCCTGCTCTTCCCACAGCTCTTAGATTCAGGATCCCGGTCTGTCTTAGGAAGATGCGGGCTCACCCTCCACCCTGGACATACACTGGCTGTGTGGACCTGGGCCAGTCTCTTAAGGTTCTGGGTGCAGATCCCATCCCACTCTTTGTGGGCAGAGGGTTCTCGCCAGTGGTTAGCATACCCGTAGTAAAGTTTACCTAGATTGTAAGGAACAGCTTAATAAAGTCTATGTTCCTCTTCCGTCCTTGCCCTGTGGCTGGATGGCAGCTAGGAGAGGGGTTTGGACCAGGGTGCCCCGGGATTGGTGCTGGGTTCAGAACCTGGCAGGTGTTCCCTCTTTTCAGTGGCAGGGAATTCCAAGGGAAACTAGTCATAGGAAATTCGGGGACCAAAACCATTCGAGTAGGTCCACCAGGTTCAGGCCGAGAGCCTCTGACTCAGTTCCCTGTCACCTTGGAGTCTCCAGGCTTCTGTAAGTGGCCGCTATTGAGAAAGGAGGCACGTGAAGGATTGTGGCATCTCCTAACCTGATGGGCTGCAGGGAACAGAGAGCAGGACCCGGATGGACTTGGAGTCAGGAAGGCCCCTCACATGCTTGTTGGCAGGACGGCTGACAAGGCTCGGCCCCCTGAGTCTCCCCTAAGCTTGTGGGCCCCCGGGAGATGAGGTCACCCCCTCGTTTTACCAAGGACGTGACAGAAGCTTTGTCAAGGTCAGATCCATTGGTGGTCCCATTCTTATAGAATAGTATATTCTTCCGTAGTGGCAGAATCACAGCTGAAAACCTGCCCAGAATAGAGCAAAGACGCCAGAACCTTCTGCTCTTTGACTTGGATGGATAATGAGGTCAGCCTGAAATAGCTGCCCGCCCATCCCGGAGAGGGACAGGGAGTTGACTGGCTCTGGCCACGTCCACATCTGCACGCTCTCAGCTAGAGGTCCTGGGCGTTGCCCTCACCAGTCTGACGTGTGGGGGGGCCCACACTGCGACCTTTTTCGACCTCCTCTCTTGGGGTGACCTCAGCTCCTCCGAGTGCAGTTAGTCTGTCTGAGCATGTGGACCTTTTTTTCCTCCTACAGCCATCACCCTGGCTCCCCCCTTAAAAGCAGCTGGGTGGCCCACTGCACAGAGGCGCCGGGTCTGCAGTGGGGAAGACTTATCTCCTGGCCTCAGACGCTTACTAGCTTAGCTGGGTGACCCTGAGCAAGTCACCTCCCCCTGCTTGCCTCAGTTTCCTCATCTGCAAAATGAAACTCCTGGAGAAGGAAATGGCCAACCAGCCTGATATCTCAGCTGAGAAAACCCCAAATGAGGTCATGGAGAGTCAGACACGCCTGAACGGCTAGCCTCGTTGGTGTCCACTCTGACCCACCCCCTCACAGCTGACCACAGCTTATTTCTAGAGCAGAGGTCCGACGGAGTCACTCTCCGGCCCCGGAAGCATCGCCGACTCCCATGGGCCTCTGGAATCCAGTCTGCTGTCTGCCATGGCCTTTCCCTTCTCCTTCTGCATCACTCCCTTCCACGTCTTGTGCAGTCCGGACAAACAGCCTCCTCGCTGTTCCTTACAGTCTCTGGCCTCCTTGCTTTTGCCCAGGCGGATTTCTTCTTCCTCTCCACCTCTTGGCATTCCTGCGTCCTCCAGGGGGTAGGAGGGACGATCTCTGACACCTTGCCCCTCCCCAGCCACTAGTGCCTCCTCTCTCAAGATCACTTTCCCTTATGTTTTGTGTCCTCAGATGTCCGTGTGTTGTCTCCTGGGCAGATGTCAGCCTCCTGAGGGCAGGCACTGTCTAATTTGTGTCATTTTCTTCTCAGCGCGCAGTGCATAGTCAGGGCTCAACATGCACCTGGTGATGGACGGATCAGCATGCTGTGTGGGAGCTCTGAGGCGTGCCAGCCTCCTGAGCCTCTGTCCTGCTGCATTCTTCTTTCAGCCAGTGGAGTGAGGAAGACGAGATGGTGGCCTACAGAGAGACATCAGAGTGGATGGAGGAGTGCCAGGACGGCATGTTCGAGGCCTGGTATGAGAAGATCGCCCAGATGGACTCGGAGAAGCAGAGGAAGGTGTGTGCGGCGGGCAGGCCCGGGAGTGGCAGCACCCGGACACCTCCTTGGTGGCTCAGTGGTACCGTCTCTGCCTTCACAGATGCACATGTTCATCGCCCGCTACTGCGATCTGCTGAACGTGGACATCTCGTGCGACGGGTGTGATGAGATCGCCCCATGGCACCGCTACCGCTGCCTCCAGTGTCACGACATGGATCTCTGCAAGACTTGTTTCTTGGGTATGGTTCCCATTCCACGCCCTGTTGGCTGCTCACAGCTGAGCAGGTGCCCCGCCTCTGGGGGGTGTGGCATAGAGGGGTGGCATTCCACCTGGGAGCCCTCCTGGGTTGCCCCTCCTTGCCCCCTGTGGAACAGGGGTACTGGACACCTGCATCCTGCCTTGGGTTGCTCCCTTCTAGAAAGAAGGGCTCGTGACCACAGCAGCTCGTGGGTCTGAGCCTCACTGTCCTCATCCGTGTCTGAGGAGAGCAGCGTCTTCTTCTGAGGGCTGTGTAAATGGAGAGAAGGCTGTGGGCCTGGTCCTTGGTCGCACTGCGCCCTGCCTGCTCAGAGGACGCACTGAGTGCTCTCGAGCGGCCTTTGGCTTGGAACCCTGGTCACTAACTGGAGTGCTGTCAGCGGGCCAGCCCCAAGTTCACTTACCCATGTGCTTTCCAGTGTCCATCTTGTCTTGCCCACACTCTTGCACCATGCTGGATTCAGCATTCCGGTTGGCCCAGCCACGTCCCTTACTCACTGTCCACAGTCTCTCTTACATAGCGTGGGCCAGGGTATTTGCCTGGGCTTACTCTTGTCGTCTCCTTTCTCCGTCCCCTACTAGCCTGGGTTCCAGGGACCTCTCATCCATTTGTGGTGCTCTGGCAAGGCATTCCCCTTCACCCTTGAGGAAACCAACAGCAGAAGATGGAGTGGTTCTGCCTTCTTCTTCCCCTTTCTTTCCCTCCCCTTCTCTGCATCGTTCCTCCGTCCATTCCACACAGTGAGCTTGCCCCCTGGCGCACTGGGCCAGCTGCACGCTGCCGGAAGTTTCTATCAAGTCTTTGTGGGCTTCTCGTCAGGCAGCTCTTCCTGCAGGCCGACTCTCAAGTACCCTTCACACCCCATCCATCTCTTGAGATCACTTGAGAGTGTCCCTTCCCTTTTAAGCTAACGTTGCTTATCGAGCTGTATTAGCCCTTGGCCTTCTACAGGTCATTTCTTGGTATTTTTTTTTTCCTTTAAAAAAATCATTTTTAAAAAATTGAGTTCCAAATTTTCTCCATCTCTCCAGCCCTTCTCCTTGAGAAGGCAAGCTCTATGATAACATTTATCTACGTGAAACCACATTTCAGTATTAGCCATGTCGCCAAAAAAAAAAAGGCAAGAAAAATAAAATGAAAAAAATTATACTTTGGTCTGTGTTCAGAGTTCATCCAGTCTCTCTCTGGAGGGGGAGAGCACTTTTCCCCATGCGTCCTTTAGAAATGCCCTGGATCATTGTCTTGATCAGAGCAGCTAAGTCTTTCAGAGTTGTCCTTGTTCCAGTATCATCCTCGTTATAGACACTGTTCTCCTGGTGCTGCTCAGTTCACTTTGCATCAGTTCGTACAGGTCTTCTCAGGTTTTTCTGAAATCATCTTACTCGTCATTTCTTATATAGCACAACAGTATTCCATCACAACCATATACCATAGCTCATTCAGTCATTCCTCAAGAGGTGGGCATCCCCTCAGTTTTCAATTTCTTGTCAATTTTCCTTTTCTTTATTCTTTTTGGAATACAGACCTAGCAGGGGTATTGCTGGGTCGAAGGGTATGTGCAGTTTGATGGCCTTTGGGCATGGTTCCAAATCCAAAATGGTTAGTTCCTAGCGTCACCAACAGTGCATTGGTGTCCACATTTTCCCTTTAACATTTGTCATTTTGTTTTTCTGTCCTGTTAGCCAATGGGTATGAGGTGGTACCTCAGAGGAGTTGTAATTTGCCTCCCCTCCTCCCCATTTAGAAAGCATTGACCTTTAAATGGATGGGAAACGGATAAAAGAGTCTTAACAGCTCTTTTGGCCTGAAGATCTCTGAACCAATAATACACAGAAAGATATACAGAGAAACACAAATGTGCTGTGTTAGATGCCATGTCTGAACATACATGTACAGAGACAGAGACCTAAAGAGACAGAGATATGTATAGAAGGACAAATTTAGAGCTGGAAGGAATTTGGAAGTAATCTAGTACAACCTCCTTTTCTTTTCTTTTTTTTAAAAATAATTTATTTTTAGTTTTCAACATTCACTTCCATAAGATTTTGAGTATTAAATTTTGTCTCTCTCCTTCTCCACCCCCCTCCCCAAGGTGGTGTATAATCTGCTTTAGGCTCTACTCATACATTCATGTTAAAGTGTATTTTCACATTAGTCATGATGTAAAGAAGATTTAGAACTAATGGGAAGAACCATGAGAAAGAAGAAATAAAACAATTAAAGAAAAGGAAAGCAAATAGTGTGCTTCGATCTGCATTCAAACTGCATAGTTCTTTCTCTAGATGTGGATAGCATTTTCCATCATGAGTCTTTTGGAGATGTCTTAGATCCTTGAATTGCTAAGAAGAGCCAAGTCTGTCAAAGTAGGTCATCTCACAGTGTGGCTGGTACTATGTACGACATTCTCCTGGTTCTGCTCACTTCACTCAGCATCAGTCCATACAAGTCTTTCCAGGTTTTTCTGAAGTCTGCCTGCTAATCATTTCATATAGCACAGTAATATTCCATTACACTCATATACCACAACTTGTTCAGCCATTCCCCAACTGATGGACACCCTGCCAATTTCCAATTCTTTTCCATCACAGAAAGAGCTGCTGTAAATATGTTTGTACATGTGGGTCCTTTTCCCATTTTTATGATCTCTTTGGGTTACAGCCCTAGAAGTGGTATTGCTTCATCAAAGGATATACATAATTTTATCGCCCTTTGGGCATAGTTCCAAATTACTCTCCAAAATGGTTGGATCAGTTCACAACTCCACTAGCAATGCATTAGTGTTCCAGCTTTCCCACATCTTTTCTAACATTTATCGTTTTCCTGTTTTATCATGTTAGCTAATCTGATAGGTGGGATGTGGTACCTTAGAATCATTTTGATTTGCCTTTCTCTAATCAGTGGTTATTTAGAGTGTTTTTGTGTGACTATAAATACCTTTAGTTTTTTCTTCTGAAAACTGCCTGTTCATATCCTTTGACCATTTATTATTTGGGGAATGGCTCTTATTTTTATAAATTTGGCTCAGTTCTCTACATAGTTGAGAAATGAGGCCTTTATCAGAGAAATTTGGTATAAAACTTCCCCCAGCATTTTTGACTTCCTTCTAATTTTGGCTGCATTGGTTTTGTTTGTGCAAAATCTTTTTAATTTCATGTAATCAAAATCATCCATTTTACTTCCTGTAAATGCACTCTGTCTTTTGATTGGTCATAAATTCTTGCCTTATCCATAGATCTGACAGGTAAATTTTTCATTGCTCTTTGTTTATGATATCACACTGTATGTCTAAATCATTTATCCGTTTTGACCTTACCTTGGTATGCAATATGTGTTGGTCAATGCCCCATTTTTGCCAAATTGCTTTTCAGTTTTCCCAGCAATTTTTGGTTAATTTAATCAATTTTTTTTTGCATAAAACTAGCTCCTAGTTTTATTAGATTTTTTTTTAAACTTTCAATTTTATTAATTCTGTGATTTTCAGGATTTCTATTTTGATGTTTAATTGGGAGATTTTTAATTTGTTCTTTTTCTAGGTTTTTTTTTTAATTTCATGTTCAGTTCATTGATCTGCTCCTTCTCGCTTTTATTGATATGTGCATTTAGAGATATAAATTTCCTGTAGGTACTGCTTTGGCTGCATCCCACAAACTTTTGTATGTTGTCTCATTGTTGTCATTGCCTTTAATGAAATTATTGATTGTTTCTGTGATTTATTCTTTGACCCACTCATTTTTTAGGATTATGCAATTTCCAACTAATTTTAAACTAATTTACTCTTCCAAGGCTCTTTATTGAATGTGGTTTTGATTGCATTATGGTCAAAAAAGTGTGCGTTTAATGTCTCTGTTTTCCTGCATTTGTTGGTGAGGATTTATATGGTCAGTTTCTGTGAAGGTGCCATGTACAGCTGAGAAAAAGATATACTCCTTTCTATTCCCATTCAGTTCTTTCCAGAGGTCTACCACATCTAACTTTTCTAAGCTTCTATTTATCTCCTTAATTAATTAATTTATTTTATTGTTAGATTTATCTAGTTCTGAGAGGGGAAAGTTGAAGCCCCTCACTAGTATAGTTTCACTGTCTATTTCCTACTATAATTCATTTAGCTTTTTTTTAAAATTTGGATGCTCTGTCATTTTAATATTGATATTACTTCGCTGTCTATGGTACTTTTTAGAAAAATGTAGTTTCCCTAATTAGTCTTCTAATTAGGTCTGTTTTTGCTTTTGCCTTGTCTAAGATCGTGATTGCTACTCCTGCCTTTTTTATTTCAGCTGAAACACGAGAGGTTCTACTCCAGCCCTGTAATTTAACTCTGTGTGTGTATGTGTCTTTCTGTTTCAAGAGTGACTCTTGTAAACGACATATTGTTGGATGCTGATTTCTAATCCATTCTGTCTGCTTCCATTTGATGAGTGAATTCATCTCATTCACATTCACAGTTATGATTGCTAACTTTGCTTTTCTGTTTATCATTTTCTCTTTTTCACTGTGTATCCTCAGAAGTCTGTTTTTGCTTCTGACCACTGTCTTCCTTAATCTGCCCTCCCTTTTATCACTACCATCAGCACCCCCTTTCTTTTATTCCCTTCCCTTCCTATTTCCTCTTGGGTGAGATAGATGTCTCTACCCAGCTGAGAGGGTGTGGGTGTGTATTCTTCCATCTTTGAACCAGTTCAGATGAGAGGGAGGTCAGAGCATTGCCCGCCACCCCTGTTTCTCCCTGTGCTGTAAAAGCTCCTTGCACACCTTGTCTATATGAAATCATTTCCCCCATTATTCCTATCCTTTATCCCTTCTCTCAGTGCATTCCTCTCTTACCCCTTCATTTAAAAAAAAAAAATTATTCCAGCATAATAGAGTCTCTCCCATCCCCTCTTTCTTATAGAATCCTTTTAACTGTCCTGCTAATGTAGTAAGTGATGATAAAGTTCTTAGAAGTTACATGCATCATCTTCCTATATAGGAGTGTAAACAGTTTGACCTTGTGGACTCCTTTATGATTTCTCTTTCCTGTTTACCCTTTTATGCTTCTTTTGAGTCTTGTATTTGAAAGTCAGATTTTCTATCCAGCTCTGGTGTTTTTATCAGGAATGCTTGGAAGTCCTCTGTTTCATTAGATGTCCATTTTTTTTCCTGTGGAGGATTATGCTCAGTTTTGCTGGGTAGGCGATTCTTGGTTGTAATCCCAGCTCCTTTGCCTTCTGGAAAACATCCCAGCCCCTCCACTCCTTTAATGTGTGATCCTGACTTTGACTCCAGGACATTTGAGTGGTTTTTTCCTGCCATTCTCTTTGACCTTCCAGCTCTGGAATTTGGCTAGGAATGTTCCTGGGAATTTTCATTGTGGGGTGTCTTTCAGGAGGTGATTGGCAGACTCTTAACAATTTCTATTTTGCCCTCTTCTCTAAGGTATTAGTGTGTCTTTGCTTGATACTTTCTTGAAAAATGATATCTAGGTTCTTTTTTGCTCATGGCTCTCAGGCAATCCAGTAATTCCTAAATTTTCCCTCTTTGATCAGTTTTCTAGCTCAGTTGTTTTTCCAGTGTTTTTCCTGTTTTCTTTGGTTTTCTCATTCTTCTGACTCTGTTTCTTGGTGTCTCACGGAGTCATTGGCTTCCACTTGCCCGATTCTGATTTTTAAGGAATCAGAATTTTCCTTCTCGGTTGAGCTTTTGTGCCCTCGTGAGTGTGTTGTCTGATGTCTTCCTGCCCTGCCCTGCCCACAGGCGGAGTGAAGCCGGAGGGCCACGAGGATGACCACGAGATGGTGAACATGGAGTACGCCTGCGACCACTGCCAGGGGGTGATCGTGGGCCGCAGGATGAACTGCGACGTGTGTGATGACTTTGACCTCTGCTACGGGTGCTACTCGGCCAAGAAATACTCAGACAGGTACTTCCTGGGGGTGGGCGTGGTGAGGCTCCCCCCCCCATCCCCCATGACCCCAGCCTGTGCCACTCGTGTCTTTCCTTCGCAGCCATCTGCCCAGCCATGGCATCACAGTCTACCCCATGGTAACAGTTCGCACCAGTGACCGCCAGAGGCTTATCCAGCCCTACATCCACAACTATTCCTGGCTGCTCTTTGCCGCCCTGATGCTGTATACCGCCGACCTGGCCAGCGGGGGCCGGGTTGAAGGGGAGAGGCCGGGCACCGAGGCCCGACAGGCCGCTGCTGCCCTGCAGGGTCAGAGCCTGCAGCTCATCGGGGACTGCCTGCTGAAGGCACAGCGGGCCAAAGGTGAGGCCCTGCCCTACCCGCTCCCCAGACCAGCTTGTTTGTGCCCACACTGACTTCTGGGGCATCACCTGGTGTGGTCTGAGGCCCCTGCCTCAGCGTCCTGATGTCTGCGCGTAACATGGAACACCCAGGGTGCCAACTGAAGGGAAATGCAGCCGTCAGAATGTTTTTTGGAAAGAGCCCAGCCTGTGGGGCCCCAGGCGGCCTGGCGCGGGGTCATGGGAGCAAGCCCAGCCCTCTGCCTTGTTCCTGGGTAGCTGTGCAAGAGTTCATTAGACGTGGTAATTAGTGACTTGGCAGGAGGGATCCAGTCAATCATAGTCACTGGCATTGATGCCTGGGCCTCAGACGCGTCCTGGTGAGGCAGCTACCGCCGCGCTTATGTGGCATCCTTCTAAGCCCGGCCTACACACCGTGCAGCCCGCGGGCTGCGTAAGGCACGCCAAAGTATCTCAGGTGGCCTGCGAAAACATCCTTTGTACGTAGAGGAAATTCTTTGGCAGACCATAGGCCTGTTTTGAGCCGTGAAAATCTACGACAGGTATCGGGGGCACTGGAGGCAGGCGTGGCTGGCGGGTGTGCACGTGCGGGCGCAAGCGCGCATGGCCTCTGGTCCACGTCCTGTGGCCAGTGTGACGGGCCCAGGCTCTGAGGAGTCTGCGGAGGCTCGGACCGTTGTGATCGAGGCTGGGTGGTGATGCTGGCATCAGGCTCTGGGCTCCCTTTCTGACCTTCCCCATGCGCACTCGGGAGCCGTCGGAGGAGTCAGCAGAGACCATTCTGTCCACCAAGGCCCTTCCCTCGTCCCGTGACTTGGAACTGGCAGGGGAGGAGACTTTGGATCGCAAGGGGTTGTTATGGGCCGCGAGCAGCAGCCTGAGCGTTCCAGGATGGCCTGGGTTGGGCCTTCTTCTTGAGGGCTTCTCAGACCTCAGTCTCTTGCTCTTCTCTGTTGCCAGATGGGGCCTCATCCTCGGAAAGCCAGGTGATCCTCGTCAGCCGGTCTCGAGATGCTGCTGCCGAGGAGGCGGGCAGGATGGACCAGGTAAGCGAGGCGGCTCCCAGAACAAGAACCGTCTGCCCAGGAGCCTTCAGAGACTCCATAGGTGCGTCTGGCCCCAGCCCCAGCCCAGCTCCCCAGATGCCTCCTCAACTCCAGGACTGCTCGCAGACGTGGGAGGCTGCGGGGTCACATCTCTCGGTCACTCAGACTTTCTACGTCTTAGTCTGTGGGTGAGCCAGCAGCTGTCCGCACATCACATGGATCATCAGGAAGCTGCCGGATTCAGCCTGAGACAGGAGGGGCTGCCCTGGGGGGCTGGGGATGCCTTGGGGAAGGGGCTGGGGGCCAGGCCGGCCCAGATGCTGCACATCAAGCTGTATCTCCATGGCCCTAACGCCTCCTTCCCTTGTGCTTGCTTTCCTCTCCGTGTTAGGGCCACCAAGATATGTGGGATGAAACCCTCTCGTCAGGTGACAGAAGGGCCAGTCGAGGGGACAGAAGTCCGACTTCAGTGAAGGCGCCGTCAGGCCGAGCCTCCCCTGATGCCCCCAACGACGTCCCAGAGCTTCCAGGTAGAGGCCATTTCCTCCTCTCTTGCTCGGCGGTCAGTCGCATGATGCCATTCACATCTGGTCTTCCCTCTCCAGCTTCCCTTCTCTTTGCCCAGTGCGTGTGCAGAGGCCAGCCTATTGTCAATTCCTCATCCTCCAGGACCTCCCCTTCTGCAGGGGACTGCAGCGCGCACATCTTACCCGTGTAGAGAGTTGAGGACGAGCTGGCCTTGTGAGGAGACCAAGTGTGGGAGAAGTGAAGGCAGTCTTAGGCTGGGGCTCCCCGAAAGGTTGGGGGCGTGGCTCTCTGGCAATGCATCCGCACAGGCCTAGAGAAGGGCGGTCTGGTGGGTAGGCCGGCCAGGCCCCCCCCCCCCATGCTAGCCACGCCGTTCTCCCGTCCCCCTGCCGCTCTCAGCCTCACTGAGGGTCCATGACACATTGAGGTTACCCCTCCCAACCCCCCCCAGCTGAGAGCTTTGCCTCCTGTCCCCCATCCCAGGTGTCTGCCTTCTGCTGCCGCGTCCCCTTGGGCCAGGCACAGCCCTCTGCGCGCCCCAGTGGTCTCCTTCCGTCCCTGCTCTCCCACACTCTGGCTGCTGCCTGAAGACAAGCCCCCCTCCCTGCTGGGATCATCCCGGGTCACAGTGAAAACACAGCAGACACTGAGTGGGACAGTGGGAGGATTTTCTGTGTGTGGAGACATGTGTTTCTGGGTTCCGTGAGGGAGCCCCTGTATTATGATCTACAGGCTGTCCCCACATGCTGCCTTCTCCCAAGCCCTGATTCCTGTTCTGATGAGACCTCCTGCCCCCTGCCCTTGGTGTCCCCGCCATCCCTGGCATCCCAGGAAGCTCTTCCTCCCTCCCCCCCCATCTCCCTCTCCCCTCCTTCCCTTCCTTCCCTCCCTCCCTCCTTTCCTTCCTTTTTTCTTCTTCCCTCCTTCCTTCCCCCCTCGCTCTTCCCTTCTTCTCTCCTTTCCTTCCTTTTTTTCTTCCTCCCTCCTTTCCTTACCTCCTTCCTTCCTCTCTTCCCTCCTCTCTCTCTTCCTTCTTCCCTCTCTCCTTCCTTCCTTCCTCTTTTCCTCCCTTCCCTTCTTTCCCTCCCTCCTTTCCTTCTTTCCCTCCTTCCCTTCCTTTTCTCCCTCCTTTCCTTCTTTCCCTCCTTCCCTCCTTTTCTTCCTTCCTTTCCTTCCTTCTGTTCTCAGGGCCCTGGCAGGTCCACATGGAAACAAGGTCTGGCCCCTGCCCACTGTGAAGCGTGTTCACTTCCCGGTCACTCAGCTTTCTGGAGGACCGGGCCAGTCCACAAGCATTTCAGGTGCCCACAAAGGACTCAGGGCTGGGCACATAAAAATAAAATAACCCTTGCCCCCAGGAATACCATGTACATAGGTGAGGAGATTCAGGAATGATTGGGGAGGGAAGGCTTTGTGCAGAGGGGTGCCCACGCTGGGTCTTGAGGAAGAGAGGGGCACTGGGCCTGTCTCGCCAGAGCCCCACCTCTGCTCTGTTTCTGGCTTCAGCTGGTCGCCTCTTCTCCAGCCTGCTTGAACCCAGCAGTGCATGGGAGAGCCGGCCTGGGCAGAGCGCTCATACCTTGCTGAACCCCAGCCCATTCTCTACATTCCCTGCCCCTTCACACCGGTCAGGTCCCCAGAGTCCTGGCCCAAGCCTTTGGCCCCTGGGAGAGCTCTCACTCCCTGGCGTCCTGGGTTGACCAGCCCAGGTGGCCAGCTGGTCAGCCTCCTCCCGGGAGTGCCTGTGGGCACGCAGTCCTCCAGGGGTGTCTCTCACTTCTTCTTGTCACCTCCTTGATGCCTCCTCTCCCCTCTGTGGGCCTTGTCTCGGGCACTCCTGGTCCTCCACGCTCAGCTCATCTTTCCCCCACTCTGTTCCCTTTCTGATTTTCTCTTTCTCCTACTCACAAAACCTTGTCATATACAGGCGCGCTCAGGCAGAACCAAGTCCTGCGCTACCATCCACTCACCGGCGCTCGCCTTTGACCTCAGGGGCATGGTTTGATTCTCACCACCTTCAGTCTCCTTTGCTGCCACCTGGCTGCTATGGCCACAGCACTGGAACACACTGCCTCAGCACATTTGTCTTCATCGGCCAAAGGTGCGGTTGCCGGATAGCCGGCCAGCCAGGGATGGGCCATCCTGGTCTCTGCTCTGCTGGTGCTTGGGGAGCAGACCCGGGCTGTTACCAGGCAGGGCCGTCCGGAGGGCCTTGCTACCTGGAGCGACAGCCTAGCCCTGGAGAGCCGGGGGCTGGGTGGGCACAGTGCCCACTGGCCACGGAGATGTCTGGACCCACTGTTCTCACAAGGAGCCCAGTGACAGCTTTTCAGGCAGATGGCTCCCCCATCATGGCATCGCTGGAATTACTTGGCTTTTCATGGTCTCTAAAATGACCTGGTTCTTCCATACAGGTGCTTCCTCTTTGAAGACAGTGGAGGAGAAAATTGTAGCCCCGAGCCCCGATCAGGTGTTTGCAGAATGTTCCCAGAAGAGAATCTTGGGCTTGCTGGCTGCCACGTTGCCACCTTTACAATCAGTGAGAAACAGGGGGGGACTGGTGGGGCAGGGGGCCATTGCGGTCAATCTGGATCGTTGGAACGATTGGAGAATTGGCTTTCGGTCCTCTTGCACGATCTTCCTGTAGATTAAGGGTGAATCTCCAGAGTCCTGGGCAGCTGGGGGGGAGGAGGGGCTCATCACCCTGGGCTTGACACCGTGATAGAGATTTTGAGGTTTAGTTGTGCACTTGCCGGCTGTCACCAGTTGTGGCTGCTTAGCTCAGCTGCTGAGGAGAGGAGGAGGAGGACAGAGGAGCTCTCTGTGACTCCAGGCTTGGATGGAGAAGGGCGAGAGAACGTGGAGTTCCCCACCCATTCAAGAAGACCTTTGGGGGCACAGACTTGGCTGCTAACTGGGTTTCTGGCCTTGCCTGGGTAGATAGAGGGCACCGTGTTTTGAATTGTAGTCAAGTATTTCACCAGCCCGTGGCTTAAAAACGAATAAATCTGAGCCGAGTGGCCGTTTGGCATCCTGCCGAGGGGTTGGCCTTCAAGGGAAAACAGCCCTCCATTCTAGCGTGTCTCTGACTGCTCTGTGCCGTCTGACTCACTCGGACCCAGAAGGCCTTCTCTGCGCGTGTCTGCACCTAAAATGCCTTTGCCAGGCGTGGCTGAGCCCGGGCCCTTCTAGTTGGCTTGGGAAGGCAGATCCTCCCGGCAGTGGGCCCTGCCTACCTTGAGCAGTCGGCGGCTGGGCACGGCAGTGGCTCACTTGGCTTTCCTTCTCGCAGAGCTCCACCATCTCCTGGGCAAACCTGGACCACATTCTGCCCCTGATGTTCCAAGTGGTGATCTCAAATGCGGGCCACCTGAACGAAACCTACCACCTAACGCTGGGTCTGCTGGGCCAGTTCGTCATCCGGCTCTTGCCAGCCCAGGTGGATGCCGCGGTGACCAAGGCCCTCTCGGCCAGACGCACTCTGTTTTCGGCAGGGGATGGGTCCGCTGCGCCTGAAGGCTGGAAGACAGTTCACCTGCTCTTCAGCCTGGGAGCCGTGTGCCTGGACAGGTGACCTGACGCACCCTTTTCAGCACTGTCTTTCTGGATTCCTGGTGGGGAAATAGCACATGGGTTCACCAGGTGTGGGAAAGGCGACATCTCCATTGTTTGGGTCCTCCAGGCCCCCCGAGGGGTACAAAACCTGCCGTGGAGCACGCGCCCTCCTGGGCTGGCCCCACGTGTGTGTGTGTGGGGGGGCTTTCTCAGGGTGGGGGGGAGGCCTCACCGCCCTCTCCCATCGGTTTGGCAGCCGCGTGGGCCTGGACTGGGCATGCTCCATGGCAGACATCCTGCGTGCCTTGCATGGCTGCCCCAGGTGGCGCGGCGTGGTGGCAGCTTTCACGGAGCACTGCCTGAAGCAGCTGCCCTTCCAGCTGAAGCACACCAACATCTTTGCGCTGCTCGTGCTCGTGGGATTCCCCGAGGTGGGTCTCCCCGCGCCGTCCGGCGGGCTGGCGGGTCTGGCGTTTGGTCCCAGAGACGTGGCCACCCTCAAGGCGCGGGATGCCCAGGATGCAGATAAATGCCAGGGGGTGGGAAGGCCTCCCGGCAGAGCCGGGGCCCGAGCCGGGCCTGCGGCGGGCAAAGGCTCAGCTATGGGAAGGCCGGGTGTCTGCTGTGTCACGGTCCCTCCATCTCCCAGGTGCTGTGTGTGGGTGCGCGCTCCGTGTACTTGGACAACGCCAACGAGCCTCACGACGTGATCGTCCTGAAGCACTTCATGGAGAAGAGCCGGGCCGTCGTCGTGGACGTCAAGACCCGCAAACGGAACACAGGTTCTGAGCAAGAACGGGAGGACAGTAAGGGTGGGGGGCTCCCCGAGGATCCCCATTTTCTCGCCCCCCCAGCGCAGACCTGAGGGGTGCACCAGCCGTGGTCGCAGCCCTAACGAAGGTTTGCAGAGCACTGGGTTTGGGGTCCCCCAGCAGTGCAGCAGAGATGGGCTGCGATGATCCCCGTCTTAGAGATGAGGGTGCTGAGGCTCCGAGAGGCTGGGGCCTGAGGCAGGGGCACTTCCCAACTCCATGCCCACCGCCTTGGTCCCTGGGCTGCCAGCGACAGACGGGCAAGGGAAAGAGGCCCTGCTCCCGGGGTGTTTACAGTCTGTACTTCTAGAGTTTGGTTTGAGGTTTGGTGGGGAGGCGCCCGTGAGCCGAGGGAGAAGGGGGCGCGTGCCAGACAGAGCGCACTGGGAGGACTCGTGTCCCCGCTCCCCGCCCTGTAGATGTCTGCTCTTTAGAGGGAAAGGGGGAGGGGCCGGTGCGTCATGCCCTCTCCTCCTCATTTCAGTCAAAGACTGCCAGCTGGTGCGGCCGTGCGGCCAGGGAAGCACGGCCTCGTGCACGCCGCTGAGCTCACACCTACACCACTTCACCTCCATCAGCAGCCACCTGCTGCAGAGCAGCCTGGACCACAGCTGCGTAGAGGCCGTGGAGGCCACGTGGGTGCTGTCCTTGGCTCTCAAAGGCCTGTACAGAACCCTGAAGGTGAGAATGCGCAGGCTGTGGGGGGTAGGGGGAGCATGCGTGCGTGTGTGGTTGTGAGTGTGTATGAGAGTGTGTGTGTGATTGTGAGGGTGTGTGTGTGCAGTAGTGATAGTAAATGTGTGTGCAGTTGTGAGTGTGTGTGTGTGTGTGTGTGCGTGTGTGTTTGTGTGTGGTCATGAGTGCATGCATGAGAGTGTGTGTGATTGTGAGTGTGTGGTTATGAGCGTGTGTGTGTGTGAGCCATGGCCAGTCCTGGATGAGGGGCCGTGGCCATGCGTCTCCCCTGAGGCTTTGGGCTGTGGCTTCTGTGGCCCAGTGGCGGCTCCACGAGGCTTCCTGGGGCCAACGCCTTGTCCTCCGCGTGGCAGACGCAGAGTCTTGAAGGAATCCATGCGATCTTCCTGGAGTCGGGCTTACTGAAGCTGCTGGTGAAGAAATGCAGCCGAGGCACCGGCTTCAGTAAAACATGGCTCCTGCGTGACTTGGAGGTGAGGGCCTGGGACAGCGCGAGGGGGCGTTGTGGTCTCCTACTGCAGGGGGCAGAGAGAGGCAGGAGCTGGGCCTCGTCTCAGGCTTTTCTCATGGCAGATCCTGTCCGTCCTGCTGTACTCATCCAAGAAGGCCCAGCGGGACCCCGGGGCTGGGCCTCCGCGGCTGGGCAGCCCTCCGGGGGACACGGGGCAGAGCAAACCCGACCCGCTTGAGGGCCTGGATGAGGCCACCAAAGTCTGTTTCCTGGTACGTTCCTTCCCGTCCCCTCTGGGCAGCAAGATGCCGGCTCCCTGAGGGGCGTCACGACATCTGTCAGGACCAGGAGAACCTGGGTGTGAGGGCTGCCTCAGTGTATCTTTCTGTGCATGTGTAGCTGGCGCCATGTAGTCAGAGCAGCCTCAGCCAGCCACCGGACCTCCGCTGCTGCAGTGGATCGAAATAGCAAACGAAACCGGGGGCCTGGGTCTTTGGGGCAGGTGAAGGGGGTGCCCAAGGAGCTGCTGCATCAGCTGGGCGGTCTGGGCCTTCTGCCCCAGGGTCTCTGAGAGCCCCACGCTCCATGCAGGGGGCCACACTTCCCCGCAGACACGAGGCGGCTTGGGGGAGCCCTTGTTTTCCCCCCAGTCGTTGGATGGTGGGAACGTGGTTACCTCCCCCTCAGGAGGCCTCCATTCTCCTCAGACACCATCCCCCCCCTTCTCTCTTTCTCCCTCCCTCATTTTTCTGTGTCCTCACCCTCGCTCCCTCTCTCTTCTGTCTCCATCCTTCCTCTCCCTCTCTCCCTCCTCCCCTCTCTCTTTCTCTCTCCCCCTCTTTTTCTCTCTTTTTCCTCTCTCTGTCTCCCTGCTTTCTCCTTCCTTTTACTTCTCTCTCTCTCTCTCCCTCTGTCCCTCTCTCTCTCCTCTCTTTCCCTCTCTTCTCTTTCTCTCTCTTTCCCTGCTTTCTCCTTCCTTTTACTTCTCTCTCTCCTCTCCCCTTCCCTCTCTCTCCTCCCTCTTCCCCTTTTCCTCACTGCCCCCTGCCTCCATTCTGCAGATGACCCACGATGCCCTGAACGCCCCCTTGCCGATCCTCCGGGCCATGTACGAGCTGCAGATGAAGAGGACGGATTCCTTCTTCCTGGAGGTTCAGAGGAGGTCAGGAAGCCAGGGAGGACAGTGGGGACACAAATGTCGAGGTGTCCTGCAGCCCCTCTAGGGCAGGCACTGTAGGGGTACTAAGACGCTCCCTGCCTTCAGGGAGCTTACATTGGGGGGGAGCAGCCACACAGACCCACATGACCAGTGGGGAAGGGGACGTGGGTCCTGAGGCTGGCTTGGTCCCTGAGCCCTAATGGAGCCCTTCACCATTCCTGTGAAGGTTGGCGAGCCAGCCCTACGACTGCTGGAGCCCCTTGGGGCGCGGGAGGCGGCGTCTTACTTTGATTCTCCTTCCCCCCATCTATGCTAGGCCCCTGTGGGGGAAATTGTTGATGGGGAGGAGGAGCCTGGGGCCGTAGAAGTGCTCTGGGGGTGGACCATCGCAGGCCAGGCTGTTGAGGCACCTCCTGGACTACCATCCCAGCACTGACCAACCACTTTATAGATAGAACCCCCATTTTACACGAGGATGAGGAAACTGAGGCAGCAGTGAAGTAACTCGCCTGGGCTGGGGTTGGGGGGGGGGTGTCACAGCGCCAGGAAGTGCCCAGGTTTGGATTTGAAGTCTGATCTTTGTGGCCCCGGGCCCCGCATGCTCCACTGGCTGGTGCACTTTGCCCAGAAGTGTGCACTTTGTTCTCTGAAGGTTTGATGGGGATGTGATCACCACTGACGAGCAGATCCGGAGCCTCGCCCAGAAATGGCAGCCCCGGAAGCACCTGCAGCTGGAGGAGCCGAGCTCGCGGGCCGTGGACACAGACATCATGGTTCTGCCGTGCTGGGTAGGTCGCCGGCCCTTTAGGGTCTGCTCGGGGCGTGGGCCCCGGTGAGGCGAGCGGGGCAGGGTCTTGACTGTGGACTCTGTGTTGGCAGTCGAAGCCCGCGGCCTGCGACCGAGCAGCCGAAGAGTCTGACCCTGTGACCCAGAAGTTGATCGCCAGCACCGAGAGCGACCTGCAGGTCAGCTATGCCAAGCAGCAGCGGGCCAAGAGCGCCGGGCTCCTGCACAAGGAGCTGGGCACTCGGGCCAAGAGCGCCGCCCGCACCTATCTGCACCACGTGAACGAGGCCACGGCTGTGCTCTATGCCAGGCACGTGCTGGCCTCCCTGCTCGCCCAGTGGCCGGAGTCCGTGCCCATCACCACCGACGTCCTGGAGCTCGGCAGCCCGGCCCATGTGGCCTACATCCTGGACATGCTCATGCAGCTGGAGGAGACGCAGCTGTGGGAGGAGGGGAGGGGCGCACGGGGCGAGAGCCGCGACCCCTCGCCGACGGGTTTCTCGCAGATTCTGCACAAAGTGCTCCGCGGCTGCAGCGAGGACATGCTGGGCCCCGTGGCGCTCACGGCCTGCCACTTCATGGAGGAGCCGGGGACGGCCGTGCAAGTGCGTGAATCCAAGCACCCGTATAAGAACAACACCACCTTCGAGGTGCGTACGGGCAGCGGGCGAGGCTGCGAGTCTGGGGTGGGGAGGAGACCGTGCAGGGCTGCTCCTGCTTCACTGGTGAACACTGATGAAGTGCATACTGTGTACCAAGCCATGGAGACGGCAGTAAAAGGAAAGAGGCCCTGCTCTCGAGGAGCTTACGGTCGAGGGGGAGCTGGCAGGGAGCAGGCCCGCCCTGCGGTCGGTGAGGGGCGGCGGGGGCCAGGCTGAGCTGTCCGGAGGGAGCGTCCTGGGCAGGAAGGCCCGGTGGGGACGTCCGTGGGAAATGCCGTTTGCGGTCATCCCCTCCCAGGACAAAGTTCACATCCCCGGCGCCATCTACCTCTCGGTGAAGTTTGACCCTCAGTGCAGCACCGAGGAGGGCTGTGACGAGCTCACCGTGTCCAGCAGCACTGACTTCCAGCAAGACCGCCACAGTTTCAGTGGCTCTTCCCAGAAGTGGATAGATTTTGAGCTTCCAGGTAGTTGGCACGCCCGCGTTTGTGAGGGGCCCCCAGGAGAGGGTGATGGATGGGCCCCCGTCAGGTGCCCGTGGGCCGCCCCCATGCCCCCTGCCCAAGCACCCACAGACGGCGAGGAGCGTGCCCGGCCCCTCCGGCTCCACGGTCAGAAAGCATTGGGAGGTTCGCGGTCCGCCAGCCTCCCAGGCTCCGGGCAGCGCGAGGGTCGTCTTAGACATCCAGTGAGTCCCCCGCGATCATGCCACTCGGGACCGGCATGTGGGGCTCTCTGTGTGTGCCCTTCGTGAGCGGGCCTAAAGAAGTTATTACTTCTGTTCTCCAGACACAGAAAATGACTTGTCTGGTCCTGTAGCTGGCTAGTAAGTGCCCTCATTAGGATCTGAAGCCAGGCCTCTGCCATTGCCAGGATGCCCCAGTCACTGCGCCTTGGGGTGGTGGTGGGTTCAGTCTGTCGGCCGAGGGGGTCGAGGAAGGAGGTCGTAGGGCTCCCTGCGGTTCCCGTGAGCTCAGGTGTTGGGGCTGGCAGGGAAGGCTTCTCCCGTCCCTGGAGGTCTCCCTGCAGAGGTGGGCAGCCTTTGGGGGGTCAGCAGGCCTCATCTCTGCTTTTGGCTCTTGGCTCACTGCAGGAGACACACTATACTACAGGTTCACGTCCGACATGAGCAACACGGAATGGGGCTACAAGTTCACCGTAACTGCGGGCCACCTGGGCAGATTTCAGACAGGTAGGGCTGCCGTCCCCGACAGAGTAGAGGGTGTAGCTCCATCTCCGTGGGCAGGCACCTGCCGAGGCGTCAGCACGCACCTGCCTAGAGCCACCCCAGGGTCTGCGCCAGACTCTCTGACGCTTAATTGTGGCCTTTTATGAAAAGGCCTTACTGGCCGAACCGTCCAAAGCCTGGTCAGGTAAGTCCTTGAGAGGCCATGCAGGGTGGTCCTGGCAGCGAGGCCCGGCTTCAGCCTCTTCTGCCTCTGGCACCACCTGGCCGTGTGTCCCAGGGCCACACCCCCTTCCCTCTGGGCAGCCGAGACACGTGTGCAGGGCTCTGGGCCACAGGCTGCCATCTCTGCAGAGTCAGGACTCAGGCACTGAGAGGGCCAAGCATGGTCGTGGTCATTCGTGGGAGCATTTTTGGCACGTACTTTGCCATTACATTAGTAACCGATCTGTACGGCCACCTCCAGGCACCAAATCTCTGTTGTTTCTGGTTTTTCATCATTAGAAATGATGCAGTCCTACGAGGGAATGGGGAGCAGAGGATGGGACAGAGGCCAAAAATGTGGTTGTAAGATGTACAGAAATTGGCCACTGCTTGGATAGGAGGATGATGGGAGAGACAGCAGGGCCTGAAGCAAATGAGCAGACGAGGCAGCAGGAACGTACGCCTGGGGTGTGGGGCGGAAGCTGTTTCTGCAGTCTGGGAGTGACCTCAGGAGGCAGTTTTGGGGACGCTGTCCTTCCCTACCCCTCTGCCTCCCTTCCCTCTCTCTCTCTGTCCCTTCCCTCTTTCTCCCTTCCCTCTCCCCTCTTCTCTCTCTCTCCCTCTCTCTCCCCCCCCCCCCTTCTTCCTCCTTCCCTTCCCTCCCACCCCACCCACAGTTCTTCTCCTCCCTCTCTGACTGCTCCTCCTCCAGACCACACTCCTCAACCATGGGTGTCCCTCAGGCTGTGTCCTGGGCCCCCTGCTCTTCTCCCTCTAGATGCCTTCACTTGGTGACCATCTCTGTGCTGATGGTTCTCAAATCTGCCCCAGCCTCTCTGCTGTCCTCCAATCTCACACCTCTGACCACCTTTCAGACATCTCAAACGGGACATCCTGTAGCCCTGTGGAACTCGTGTCCAAAACAGGACTTGTCACCTTTCCCCCTAAACCCTCCCCCCCACCTCCCCTTCCCTATTACTGTAGAGGACAGTGCCCTCCTCCCAGACCCTCGGACTCCTAACTGGGAGCCATCCTGGTCTCCTCACTAACTCTCACCCTGCCCCCCCATCCAGTATGGCACCAGAGCCCATCCAACCCGGAGGATTCAGCAGTGTGGGTGTGACGTTTTGGGAGAGCCGGGGCAGGTGAAGGGGCCAGGGCTTCTGGTTCTTCACCGCCCTTCTGGTGTCCACGGCCAAGAAGGCTAGGGACAGGACCTGGCTGGGGCCCCAGGTGGCCAATGGGAAGGTACAGAGCACCAGCCTGAGGCCCTGTGAAAGGAGGCCAGGCCTCGGTCACCTGCCCTGGGCAGTGTAGTGAGCTTTCGCTGGCAACATGGGGCCATTTCAGTTGCCTCAGTGGACGATCTGAGGATGGCCTGTGTCATTTCGGTCGTTTACCTGGCCCAGAGCAGGCGGCTCCTTCTGGGCCTGATCCTAGCCCCGTTTTGCAGTCCCCACGGAGCCTCGTTCCTGTTGGGCGCGTTCTCTTCTGGCTTCTCAAGGTTCCAGAATTTAGGGGTGGGGCTGCTGAACAGAGCTCATCCCCTTTGATGACAAAGGGCTGTTTTTGTGTGTTTTTGTTCTTGCCAGGATTTGAGATTTTGAAGAAGTTGTTGTCAGAGGAAAAGATTATGCCACACCTGCCCCTGGCCGAAATCTGGGCATGGCAGGTGAGCGTGGCCTGCCGCCAGACGGGTCACCAGCGCCTCAAAGCAATCCACTTACTTCTGAAGATGGTGCAGTGTGGTGCCCCTGGGTAGGTGCCACGGCCAGGGTTATCCCTTTTTACATGGTGTTCCTGGCCACACTGCTTGAGCCCCTCTTCTGGAGGATGTTCCGCACCTGGCCCCTTGGAAGTCTGATCCAGAAACAGGGTCAGGGGCTCGATGCAGAGGGATGGGAGGCCCCTTCTCCCTGGGCCTTGTCGTCCTTGGCTACAAAGTGACCATTCACCCCCTGCAGCAGCTGGATTCCCTGGGGCCTCTCCAGTGTGTGTGTGCAGCCCGGTCCTGCACACCTCCAAGGGGCCGGTCCTCTGGTGGGTTTGCTGGGGGGCATGTTTGTCTGGATCAGACACGAGGCTTGCAAGGCTGTGGACCACACCCCATTATGTTGCTTCAGTGGCGAGGGGGCGGAGGGTTGTCTACTCTTCTCTGGGACGTGGGCTACTTGGGAGACCCGCTTCAGGTGGTCTGTGTGGCCAGAGCGATACTCAGCCAGATTCTCTGGTCCTTGGCAATTGGGGAAGTTCTGTGGGGCAGTGGATAAGGCGCCTGAGATCAAATCCATTCTCAGACCATCACTAGCTATGTGACCCAGGACAAGTCATTTCACCCTGTTTGCCTCAGTTTCCTTACCTGTAAAATGAGCTAGAGAAGGAAATGGTAAACACCTCCAATATCTTTGCCAAGAAAACCCCAAATGGGGTCAGGAAGAGTCAGACATGACTGAGAACAACAGAACAGCTACCGCCATCTTGGGAATTGTCTCTGTTGAACCCAAGACCAGAGTGGAGAGGGGAAGTGCAGGGGGAGGGAGAGCCATGACAGGTGCCTTCTGCTGAGGGGAAGAGGACCAGGAGGGGCAGGGCAGAGCCAGGACAGGGGGTGGAGGACAGGTGGTAGAAGACCCTTTCGGCTCTAACCTGGGATTCTTTGGGGAAAGGGTACCCAGATGGTGGTTTTCTCAGTGGTGCTGACCAGCGGCCAGGAACGCAGAATTTGGGAAGGGAATGGCAGATGGTTAAGAAGAGAGTGTCTGAGAATGGACCATGGCTTAAAATAGAGATGCTGGGCTCAGGCTGGGGATGGCTGCACCTGCCAGAGGCTGCCGCCTTCTTCTAAAAAAGGGAGGGAGTAGGAAACGGGTCTGCAGACACCCGCCAGGCTTGAGAGCTGGTGTTCAGCCATGCAGAAAAGGGGGCGTTTCCTTCTCCTGCCCAGACCCAGGCATGGCCTCCGCTGTGGGTGAACTGGAGGGCCTCCCGCCAGGGGAGAGCTTGGGCCTCTTGGTGGGGGGGGTCGCGCACCATAGGGCTGTCTGGGGAAGAACACGTGATGGGTAAGAGGGGCCTTACGGGCAAAGTCCCTCGGACCCTGGCTGGGGCAGCCCTCTGCCAGCAGGGCAGGAGGTCATTTCTTGACATGAATGATTCATATTGTAACCCTCCAGAAAGTGGCGGCAGCTCATGAGGGAGCTTATGCTGGGCCTGGTTCTGACGCATCCTAGCCGCTGGCATAGCAGGGCCACGGGCCATAGCGCACACTAGGTTTGGGGAGAGTGCACGTCCCACCAGTGGCAGCCAGGCCACTGCCGGGCATGGGCAGCGATGTGAGGGCCTCACACCGCAAACATTGGTGGTGGGCTTGTCTTCAGACAGGATCTCCCGGTCTTGTCAAGGCTGCAAGCACCAATCTCCTTGTCTTGGTCCTGACATGCACACTGGGGCCCCGGTTTGCAGGGCTTAGAGCTCCCATGCTGGTCGGCCGTGGCCTTACCCCATGCCCAGCCACCACCCACATGTACAGGGAGGTTCCCAAGCCTTCCCGCAGCCCTAGCCCTCTCTGTGGGGACACACATTCCAGGGAAGTCCTGGACAAGTCACAAACGGAGTGAGAGCAGTGTGAATTGCCCTTCAGAAATGAGCGGTCTTCAGCACACCCACCCTGCCCGCTCCCTGTGAGCAGGGAGCAGACGCGTGTGTGCCAGGATGAGGTGGGAGGGGCAGAGCAGGCGGGCCCCAGAGCACCCTGCTGAGGTGTGCCCACAGGGGCCTTTCTCCCCTTCCTCCCACCCTCCAGACGCTTAGAGAGAAGGTGCTGCTCAGCAGCCCCCCCACCCCGCCTGCTCCATTGAGCTCTTCTGGGTTGTCTTGGCGTGATGTCATGAGCTGCTGTGCCAGGTAACTCCAGTCTCCTTCACTCCTTCCCTTCTAGTGACCTCTATGACCTCACCCTTCTCAAGCCCCTCTGGCAGCTCTTTGCCCAAATGGAAAAGGGCCTGTGCCAGGATGTGAGTCAGCCCAGCATCCTCCTGCCCCTGCACCGAGCCCTCACCGAGCTCTTCTTCGTTACCGAGAACAGAGTCCAGGTAAGGCATCCATGTCTGTCCTCTGCCCTGAGCACACTGAGGGTCTGACCTGTGAGAAGAGCTTCCCAAAGGGGCCAGAATGAGAGTCATTCAAGCTGGGGGGGGGACCTTAGCAGCGACGACCTCCCTGCCAGGTGACGGGCCGGTGATGTGACTTGCCAGAGGGAGGGCGCAGTCCAGACACCCCTGCCCATCACTAACCACTGCGCTGCTGGGCTGTTCCTCCCTCCGCCTCACTGGGCGCGCCTTCTGCCCACAGGAGCTAGGCTGCTCGCAAGACTACGTGCTCGCCGTCACGACAGACGACTACCTTGTGTGCTGCACGGCCCAGGTGAAGTCTGGGGAGTAGGGGGAGGGGCCCAGGAAAGTCAGCTCCTCCAGGAAGGGCACCGGTGGAGGGCAGAGGCTCCCACGGCGGCCTGCGCCTGGATGGTGCCTGCTCAGAGCAACCGGCACTTGCTAGAACCTTCTCTAGAGGCACAGCAGGTGCTCAGCTCCAGGACCAAGTGCCCTTGAGGCCTGCCTTTGGCAACCTGGACAGAATGACCTGGAAGGCACAGGAGCCAGGCCTGCCAAGCTCATCAGTGACAGGGAAAATGGGAGAAGGCAGAAGTCCCAGTTTTTACAAGGCCAGCCAGCCAGGGGTGGCGAGTGAGCCGCCAGACACAGAAGGGATGGTTTTGTGTTGTTTTTTTTTTTTTGGTGAAGCAGTTAGAATTAAGTGACTTGCCCAGAGCCACACAGCTAGTGAGTGTTATGTGTCTGAGACCAGATTTGAACTCAGGTCCTCCTGAATCCAGGGCCAGGGCTCTACCCACTGTGCCACCTAGCTGCCCCCTAGAAAGGATGATTTTGCAGGGCCAGCCAGCCAGGCTTTGCTGTGGGCCACTCACTCTTCAAGAGCCGCATGCATAGAATGGAGCGTGCTCGGGCCACGAGAGTGGCAAGGGATGTTGAGAACCAGTCTGAGGGTGCTGAGACCAGTGAAGAAAGCAGTCAGCACTGATTTAAGTAGGAAACCTGGACAGTTTAGTGTGCGAGAAATACGCAGGAGAGGCCGGTAGTGGAGAGAGAAGTGGGGTGAGGCTTTTTAAAATATTTTTTTCCAATTTATATAAAAACAATTTTTAACATTCTTTTTTAAATGTTTTGAGTTCCAAATTCTTGCCTCCTGTGCCCCCTCATTGAGAAAGCAAGCATTTGATACAGCTTGTGATACATGGGCAGCCATGCACAACATCTCCGTATTAGCCAGGTCGCAAAAGAAAACAAGAAAGATAAAGTGAACGATAGCCTGTTTCAGTCTGCATTCAGACTCCGTCAGGTCTTCGTGTGGAGGGGGAGAGCAGTTTTCCGCATGAGGCCTTTGGGGTGGTCTTGGGTCATCGTACCGCTGAGAAGAGCCAAGTCATTCACAGCTGGTCATTGTGCAGTCATTGGTACTGTGACAACGTTCTCCTGGTTCTGCTCACTTCACTCTGCATCAGTTTATGCAAGTCTTTCCAGGTTTTTCTGAAACCATCCTTGTTAGTCATTTCTAGTAGCACAATTCCATCATAATCATATATCACAACTTGTTCAGCCATTCCCCAGTTGATGGGCATCCCCTCAATTTTGTCACCACCAAGAGAGCTGCTATAAATATTTTTGTACACATTGGTTCTTTTCCCTTTTCTTTGCTGTCTTTAGGATACAGATTACTACTTGTATTGCTGGGTCAAAGGGTATGGCACAGTTCTCTAGCCCTTTGGTCATAGTCCAGATTGCTCTCCAGAATGGTTGGATTAGTTCACAACTCCACCAACAATGTGTTCATAGCTTCCTCCTTTAGAATGTCAGAGAACTCGAAACAGTCCCCATGCCTAAAGACTCAGGGAATGGCCAACCGTGGGTGATGCTTGCTAGACTGGTGCATACTCAGGCCAGTTTTCCCACATGCCCTCCAATACTTGTCATTTTCCTTTCCTGTCATATCAGTGTGATACCTCAAAGTTGTTTTCATGTGCACTTCTCTCATCAGTAGTGATTTAGAGCATTTTTTCATATGACTATAGATGGTTTTGATTTCTTCTTCTGAAAACTGCCTGCTCATATCTTTTGACCATTTATCAATTGGGGAATGACTCACGTTCTTATACATTTGACACAGTTCTCTATGTATTTTAGAAATGGGGCCTTTATCAGAGATACTTGTTGCAAAAAATTTTCCCCAGTTTTCTGCTTTCCTTATAATTTTGGTTGCATTGGTTTTGTTTGTGCAAATTTTTAAAATTTCATTAATCAAAGTCACCCATTATGCTTCCTGTGATCCACTTTATCTCTTGTTTGGTCCTAAATTCTTCTCGTCCATAGATGTAGCAGTTAAACTATTCCATGCTCGCCTAATTTGCCTCATGGGACCTTTTGGTATACAGTGTTGGTCTGTACCTTAGTATCTGCCAAGCTGTTTTCCAGTTTTCCTGGATATCTTTGTCGAGTAGTGATTTCTTGTCCCCAAAGCTCGGATATTTGGGTTTATTGTATAGTGTACCTAATCTATTCCATGAATCCACCACTCTTTCTTAGCCAGTATGCGATTTTTTTTTTGATAATTCCTACTTTATAATATAGTTTGAGATCTGGTGTTGCTAGGTCACCTTCCTTCATACTTTTTTTCCATGAATTCCTTTGATATTCTTGACCTTTTGTTCTTCCAGATGAATTTTGTTATTATTTTTTCTAGCTCTATAATTTTTTGGTAGTTTGATCGGTATGGTACTGAATTAGTAAATTTAGGTAGAATTGTCATTTTTTAAAAAAATAATTAATGTGTTTATTTTTAGTTTTCAACATTTACTCCCATAAGATTTTGAGTTGTAAATTTTCTCCCCCTCCTTCTCCTCCCCCCTCCCCAAGACAGCATGCAATCTGTAGGTTCTACTTATACATAGAATTGTCATTTTTATTATATTGGCTTGGCCTATTCATGAGCAATTAATATTTTTCCAATTGTTTAGATCTGACTTTATGTGAAAAGTGTTTTGTAATTGTGTTCTTATAGTTGCTGGGTTTGTCTTGGCAGGTAGACTCCCATGTATTTTATGTTGTCTACAGTTATTTTAAATGGAATTTTCTTTCTATCTCTTCCTGCTTGGACATTATTGGTAATAGAGAAGTGCTGATGATTTATGTGGATTTATTTTAATTATTTCAAGTGGTTTTTAGTTGATTCTCTAAGATTTTCTAAGTGCACTATAATGTCATCTGCAGGGAGTGACAGTTTTGTTTCCTTGTTACCTATTCTAATTCTTTCAATTTCTTTTTCTTCTCTTATTGCTATCACTAACGTTTCTAGTACAAGATTGAACTATAGTGATGATAATGGACATCTTTACTTCACCCCTGATCATGTTGGGAAGGCTTCTAGCTTATCCCCATTATAGATAATGCTGGCAGATGGTTTCAGATAGATACTAGTTATCATTTTAAGGAAAACACCATTTATTCCTATGCTTTCTAGTGTTTTTAATAGGAATGAATATTGTATTTTGTCAAAGGCTTTTTCTGCATCTAGTGAGATAATCATTATGATCTTTGTTGTTATCTTTATTGATATGGTCAGTTTTGCTGACAGTTTTCCTAATACTGAACCAGCTCTGCTTCCTGGTATAAATCCCACCTGTCACAGTGTAGGATCCTTGTGATATATTTCTGTAATCTCCTTGCCAGTATTTCATTTAAAATGTTTACAACAGTATTCATTAGGGAAATTGGTCTCTAGTTTCTTTCTCTATTTTAGCTCTTTCTGGTTTGGACATCAGCACCATATTTGTGTCATAAAAGGAGTTTGGCAGCACTCTTCCTTCACCTATTTTTCCAAATTAGTCTATGTAGCATTGGCATTAACTATTCTTAAAATGTTTGATAGAATTCACTTGTGACTCCATCTGATCCTGGAGATTTTTTTCTTAGGGAGTTCATTGATGGCTTGTTCAATTTCTTTTTCTAAGGTGAGGCTTTTTAAATATTCTATTTCCTCTTCTGTTAATTGGGTCAATTTGTATTTTTCAAATATTTATCCATTTCACTTAGATTGTCAGGTTTATTGGCATATAATTGGGCAACATAGTAATAATTTCTAATTTCCTAGTAAATTTCTTTAATTTCCTCTTCAGTGGTCGTGAATTCACCCTTTTAGTTTTTGATACTGGTAATTTGATTTTCTTCTCTCTTTTTTTAATCAAATTAGCCAGTGGTTCGTCTATTTTATTTGGTTTTTCATAGAACCAATTCCTAGTTTTATTTATTAGTTCAGTAGTTTTCTTTCAATTTTATTATCTCTCCTTTGATTTTCAGGATTTCTAATTTGGTGTTTAATTGGAGATTAATAAAAAATTTTTTTCCTAGTTTTTTAGTTGCATCCCCAGTTTACTGATCTGCTCTTTCTGGTGTGAGGCTTTAATTGTGAATGATAGAGCTTATGACCTTCTGTATGATCACTTTTAAAATTTTACTGGAATATTTTTGATGATTACTGACTTTAGAATGAGGGAGTTAGGTGGCTCAGTAGGAAGAGCACCGAACATAGAGTCAGGATGAACTGAGTTCAGATCTGGCCTCAAACTCCTCCCTAGCTGTGTGACCCTGGCCAAGTCATTTAACCCTATTTGCCTCAATTCCTTATCTGTAAAATGGGGACATAGTAGAGAAAGAAATGGCAAAACCACTGCACTGTCTTTGCCAAGAAAACCCCATGGACTTGTCGGTGGGCTCACAGAGTTCAATATGAGGGAACAACAACGACTTTAGAATAAAAGGAAAGCTCTGTGTGCCTCAGGCTGTGATCGCAGGATGGGTAGCACAGCATTGTTGGTGAATGTGGGCCTGAGTTCAAATCCTACTTCTGACATCCGACTAGTGGTGGTAAACCCTGGATATTCATTTAGTGTCTTTGAACCTCAGTCTCCTCATCTGTAAAATGGAAACAATAGCTCCATAATGTCTATTTCCCAGGGCTGTTGGGAGGCCCAGTTGAGATAGTCCGTGAAGAAAGACTGTGGGAATGTTGGCTTTTATAACGAGGGATAGCGAGTCTGCCCTCAGCTAGAGCTTTGCCGCTAACCTTGAGTTTAAAGAGTGTCCGCCTTGGATCAGACATTTATCATGCGCCTGCTGTGTGTGTGCCTGCCGACAAGATAGGGGAGGTGGGGGAGGGGGTGAGCAGACCTGCCAAAGAGGTGCAGTAATGAGAGGTGGGGAGCCGTTTGGTCGTGGAATGGGAGAAAGGCTTATTCCTGTGGTATAGGCCTGGCAAGGTAGGTCAGGACCAGGCTTTTAGATACTTTGGGATCTGATTATCTGCCTCCCCGGGAGAAAACCTCCCCCTGCCCTTTCATCCAAGCACTTGAGGGATGTCCCTTGGAGGCCCGGACGAGGACCTCGTGCTGGTCGGGGGGCAGCGCCCCCCTGTCTCCCCTTCCCCGGCCCTGCCTGTGGCAGCCGTCCAGGGAGCCTTTCCCCTCCGGGATCCCTGATCGCCGCCTTTCTCCCTGCAGGCTTTGAGAAACGTCGCCGCCATCAGTCTCGCCATTGACTACCCAAACAAAGCGACCGGCATCTGGAAGGGCTAGCTCTCCGCTGGCCCCCAGCGGGACTCACGTCCTCAGCCACCCTGTGTGCCTGGGCCCGGGCGTACAGGGAGCGCGGGAAGTCCCGGTGCACCAGTGCTTTCATTATCCGGGTAGGCCAGCAAGAAGAGCCATCACAGGAGGCCATTTCTGAAGGGCCTTCCTCCTCTGAGGAGTGCTCTGTCCGAGCGGGCACGCCTCGTGGGGAGCAGCTGTGGGGAAGCTTTAGCCATGCTGGCGGAGAAACCCTTTTGGGGCCAGCCCTGGAGCGATCGCGGGCAGACAAGTGACCTTTCGGAACCGAACAGACTAACACGGTGCCCTCGGGCCCCTGTATCTGACGGCAGCCGAGCTTCCTCCTCTTGCCCCCCGGAGCGTTTCCACGAGTGCACGGGCTCCTCTGAGTGATCTCCTTACACGGGCTGGCGCCTGGGGGGAGCAGAAGGCCCAGGACCATGGATCACTCTTTGAAAGCATGAAGGATTATCTGCGTTTCTCCCCCTCTCTGTTACTGGTGATTTCAGATTTCTTAAGGGGCAAACACTGAGCAAACTGACCTCCAGCTGTGGCTGGAGCAGCTCTGAAATCAGCAGTAGAGCAATAAGAGTGGGCAGCTTTAATCTCAGCCTTCAGGTGTTGGCTTTTGAAGAAATAGGAAGACAGGGTCGGAGGAAACATCGCCCACAGGTTCTCACCATACCCCAAGGCAGACATTGGCTGCTGCTGTGCGTGCAGCCCTGTGCACTGTGGATAGGAATGTCCAAATGGGAGCCGGGGAAGACTCCGGGTCTGAGGAATGGGCCAGCCGGTCCCCGTGTGTCTTCGCTCCCCGACCTTGCTCTGCACAGTCCAAAACGTGACTTTGGTGAGGCTGTCGTCCACGCCGACCCGAGATGTCATGTGGCCGGACAGGGAAGGGCTTCCTGCTCGGGCGTGTGGGTGTTCTGTCCCCCCAGGGTGGCGCAGCCGGGCCCTGGCTTGCCGGAGAGCAGGGATGTGGGCGGGGCGGGTGCTCGGGTCCTGGAGTGAAGCGGCCTGGCTTGCGGCCTGGCTTGCGTGGTGCAGAGCTCAGACCCGCCTCAGGACTTACGCAGGAGCCTTTCCTTTGTGGCTTCAGGAAGATTAGTTGCCAGTTAGCCCTGAACTCATCATGAGATCCGTCCTCTTCTGGCTGCTCTTTTGTTGCTTGGGCAGTCATAGGAAAGCCAAGCAGACCACTTCTGTTGGCCGATCATCCCCCGCCCGAGTTCTGCTAAAGGACTGTGACCCCTCAGACACGACAGAGTGACTGTCCAGTTCACACTGCCTTATAGCTGACATCCGGGATTGTCCCCGATTTGGGCAGGAATACAGAGGGATTCTTGAAGACCCACATGCTTTGGGCCCCCGCCAGCGATGCCTGTGGGTCAGAGGGAGGACACGGGTGTTGCTAAGAGGTATGCTAGAAATATGTGCCTAATGAAGATTAAAACAATTCTTTGCTCCAGATCATTTACGATGTAAAAAAATTGTACTGCTAATGAAACGCACTTATTTTCATTAAACACAGTTTCAGATTTCTTTTCTTACAGGTTTACTATTTTGGATTTTTATTTGGTTGAAAAAAAAGCATTGAGGTGATACCAGTTGAGTTCAGCCTGTAAAAAGAAAGTTGTGGGTATAATGTACAAATGAAGAGAAATATATTGTAAAAATTCTATATAAAACCAACACCTGTGTCGGGCTTATTTTTGTGCCGCCGCACCCCAGCCCCTCCAGTGCCTCTACTCACAGCTCTCTCCAGGAACCCACTCTGACCCCTTCCCATGGACCTCCGCTGTGCCAGTTGCTGAGCACACAGAGGGGCATGGATGGGGTCTCCCAGTCTAATGGGGGAGATTGGGAGGAAGTTGTGGAGGAGACGAAACCCGGGGGGGGGGGCGGGACTAGGAAAGGCCTGTTGGGGCATGGGGAGATGGGTGGAGAATGAGGTTTTAAACCTAGATGAGGGGTCCGGGGAGATTCTCGGTAGAATTGGGGAAGTTTGAAGGCTGGGGGGAAGGAGGAGATGAGTTCCATTTTAGAGGTGGTTTCAAGATGCTTCTGGTGGGCCTGTCCAACAGGCATTGAGCAATAGAATTGGGGTTCAAGGGAGAACCTCACACTGGATCTGTAGACCTGCTGGCCACCCGCATAGAAACCACTGAGCCCATCGGGAGAGAGAGTCTTTCCAGGTCTTTCTGAAGTCTGCCTGCTCATAATTTCTTGTAGCACAATAGTGTTCCATCCACATTCATGTACTACAACTTGTTCAGCCATTCCCCAGCTGATGGGCATCCACTCAATTTCCCACTCTTTGCCACCACAAAAAGAGCTGCTATGAATATTTTTGTGCATGTGGATCCTTTTCCCTTTTTTCTGATCTCTTTATGATACACACCTAGGACTGGTGTTGCTGGATCAAAGGGCATGCGTGGTTTTATAGCCCTTTGGCATAGTTCCAAATTACTATCCAGAATGGTTGGATCAGTTCACAACTCTACCGACAATACATTCGTGTTTCAATTTTCCCACATCTTCTCCAACATTTATCATTTTACTTTTTTGGCATATTAGCCAATCAGACAGGTGTGAAGTGATACTTCAGAGTTGTTTTAATTTGCATTTCTCTAATCAATAGTGATTTAGAGCATTTTTTCATATAACTATAGATAGTTTTAATTTCTTTCATCTGAAAAGTGCTTGATTATATCCTTTGATCATTTATCAATTGGGGAATGACTTTTATTTTTATAAATTTGACTGAATTCTCTATATATTTAGAAATGAGGCTTTTATCAGAAACATTGTCAGCAAAAATTATTTCCCAGCTTTCTGATTTCCTTCTAATCTTGGTTGCATTGACTTTGTGCAAAACTTTTTTAATTTAATGTAATCAAAATGATCCATTTTGCATTTCATAATATTCTCTATGTCTTCTTGTTTGGTCATAAATTCTTCCCTTCTTCATAGATGTGACAGGTAAACTATTCCTTGCTCTCCTAATTTGCTTATGATATCACCCTTTGTGTCTAAATCATGTACCGATTTTGACTTTATCTTGGTCTACAGTGTAAGATGCTGGTCTATGCTTAGTTTCTGCCATACTGTTTTCCAGTTTTCCCAGCAGTTTTTGTCAAATAGTGAGTTCTTATCCCAGAAGCTGGAATCTTTGGAATCAAGCAGTAGATTACTATAGTCGTTGATTACTGTGTCTTCTGTATCTTACCTACTCCACTGATCCACCACTCTTTCTTAGCCAGTACCAAATAGTTTTGATGGTTGCCACTTTATAATATAGTTTTAGCTCTGGTACAGCCAGGCCACCTTCCTTTGCATTTTTTTTTCATTAATTCCCTTGATATTATTCACCTTAGGTTCTCTCAGATGAATTTTGTAATTTTTTCTGGCTCTATAAAATAATTTTTGGTAGTTTAATTGGTGTGGCACTAAATAAGAAAACTAATTTAGGTGGAATTGTCATTTTTATTATGTTAGCTTGGCCTACACGTGAGTAACTGATATTTTTCCATTTTTTTAGATCTGTCTTTATTTTTGTGAAAAGCGTTTTGTAATTGTGTTCCTAGAGTTCCTGGATTTGTCCTGGCAGGTAACTCCAAAATGTTTTATGTTTTCTGCGGTTATTTTAAATGGAATTTCTCTTTCTGTCTCTTGCTGTGGACTTTGTTAGTAACATATAGAAATGCTAATGATTTATATGTGTTTATCTTACATCCTGCAACTTTGCTAAAGTTTTTAATTATTTCAAGTAGTTTTTTAGTTGATTCCTAGTATTCTCTAAATATACCATCATGTCATCTGCAAAGATTGATAGCTTTGTTTCCTCTTTGCCTATTCTAATTCCTTCAATTGGAACTCAGTTTTTAAAACAAATGTAAAAAATTGTTTTTACATGTAACTGGGGGAAAATACTAAATAAATGAGAGAGAGAGAGAGAGAGAGAGAGAGAGAGAGAGAGAGAGAGAGAGAGAGAGAGAGAGAGAGAGAGAGAGAGAAAAGAGCACCAGATGTGAAATCTGGGGACTTTGGTTTAAATCTTGAAAAAAATAAAAACAAGAGATACATAGAGAGAAAAAATAAAGGACTGAAGTAGAATTTAGTGTGCTTCAGCAGATATAAAAATAAAAGGAGGGTAGAAGTCATGATCTCAGGCAAAGTTAGAGTTAAAGCTAAAATAGATCTGTTAAAAGCAATAAGCGGGGAAACTGCATTATATTAACAGGTACCATAGATAATGAAGTAATATCAACACTAAACCTATGTGCACCAAATGATATAGCATCCAAATTTATGAAGGAAAAGGTAATAGAATTACAAGTGGAAATAGGTAGCAAAACCATAATAGTGGGAGACTTTAACTTTCCCCTCTCAGAACTACATAAATCTAACCAAAAAATAATATAAGAAAGAAGTCAAGGGGATGAATAGAATCTTAGATAATCTAGATAGGATAGCCAACTGTAGAGAACTGAATGGAAATAGAAAGGAATATACATTTTTCTCAACAGTACATGGCACCTTTACAAAAACTGACAATGTGTTAGGACATAAAAACCTTATAGTCAAATGCAGAAAAGCAGAAATAGTAACTGCATCTTTTTCAGATCATAATGCAATAAAATTACATTTAATAAAGGACCATGGAAACAGATTAAAATTTTAATCAGAAACTAAATAATTTAATCTTAAAGATTGAGTAGGTCAAAGAACAAGTCATAGAAACAACAAATAATTTTATTAAGGAGAACAAGAATAATGAGACAATATACCAAAACTTATGAGATGCAGCAAAAGCAGTAATCAGAGGAAAATTTGTTATCTTTATGTGCTTACATCAGTAAAATAGAAAAAGGCAGATCAATGATTTGGGCACACAATTTTAAAAAAAACTAGGAAAAGAACAAATTGGATATCCTGAAAATTAAAAGTGTGATTAATAAACATGAATGTAGGAAAATAATTGAATTCTAAATAAAACTAGGAGTTCATTTTTATGGGGGAAAAACAATAAAATAAACCATTGGTTAACATGATTTTTAAAAAGAAAACCTAATCACTAATGTAAAAAAATGAAAAAGGTGAATACACTTAATGAAGAGGAAATTAAAGCAATTATTAGAAGTTATTTTGCCCAATTATATGCCAATAAATACAACAATCTAAGTGAAATGGAAGAATATTTACAAAAATGTAAACTGCCCGGATTAACAAAAGAGGAAATACAATATCTAAATATACCTATTTTAGAAAAAAAATTAAGCAGGCCATAAATGAGCTTCCTAAGAAAAAAGCATCAGGACCAGATGGATTTACAAGAGTATTCCACCAAACATTTAAAGATCGATTAATTCCAATAGTAAATAAATTCTTTGGAATGATAGACAAGGGAATCCCACCAAACTCCTGTTATGTTTTTGTTTTTGTGTTTTGTTTTTGGGTAGGCAATGGGGTTAAGTGACTTGCCTAGGGTCACACAGCCAGTAAGTGTTATGCGTCTGAGGTCAGATTTGAACTCAGGTCATCCTGAATCCAGGGCTGGTGCTCTATCCACTGTGCCACCTAGCTGCCCCAGAAACTCCTATTATGAAACAAAGATAGTGCTGATACCTAAACCAGGAAGAACAAAAGCAGACAATGAAAATTATAGACCAATTTCATTAGTGAATATAGATGCAGAAATCCTAAATGAAGTACTAGCTAGGAGACCACAGCAATATAACACAAAGATTATACATTGAGACCAAGTGGGATTTATACCAGGAATGCAGGGCTGGTTCAATATAAGGAAAACCATTAACATTTATTATATCAGTAACAAAATCAACAAAAATCATATGGTTATATTAATAGGTACTAAAAAAAAGCTGTTGATGAAATACTCGTTCCTATTTAAAAAAAAAAAAGCACTTGAAAGCACACTTATACACGAATTTTTCCTTAAACTGATAAGCATCCACCTAAAAACATCAGCAAGCGTTATTTGTGATGGGGTAAGCTAGAAGCCTTCCTAATAAGCTCAAGAGTGAAACAAGGATGCCCATTATCACCCATATTATTCAGTATCATGTTAGAAATGCTAGCAATAGCAATAAGAAAAAGAAACTGAAAGAATTAGAATGGGTAATGGGGAAATAAAACTGTCTCTTTTTGTAGGTGATATGATCATATATTTGGAAAATCCTAGAGACTCAACTAAAAATTTAGTTGAAACAATAATTTTAGCAAAGGAGCAGGATATAAAATAAGCCCACATGAATCATCAGCATTTCTATATGTCACCAACAAAGCCCTGCAAGAAGAGATAGAGATACTTCATTTAAAATAACCATAGACAATGTGAAATACCTGCCAAGACAAACCCAGGAATGACATGAGCATAATTATGAAACACTTTTTAGTCAGATTTAAATAAGTGGTGAAATATTGTTTATGGGTGGGCTGAGCCAATATTATAAAAATGCCAATTCTACCTAAAGTGATTTACTAATTCAGTGTCATCCCAAACTACCAAAAATTAGTTTTATCAAACTAGAAAAAATAATAACAAAATTCATTTGGAAGAACAAAAGCTTGAGAATATCAAAGAAATTAATGAAAAGAATGTTAAAAAAAGGTTTCTCAGTACCAGATCTTAAGCTGCATTACGAGGTGGCATTTATCAAAACGGTCTG